CCCAACGCTCGTTCTTAATGTATGCAACCATTGCGCAGAAAGTCGGGCAACGCGACTCCTTGGGCACAGTATCATCCTCCAGGTAACCGGGCTTGCTGCCGTCGAGGGAGCGGCCGTATTGGCCGATGATGACGTTCTTGGGCTCAATAGGATCCATAGCGCGGAGAACACGGACCTTCTCATCGCGAATATCCTCGGAAGAGAAGGAAATGGGGCGCTCCATGGCGAGCAATGTGAGAACTTGCAGAAGGTCTATAAAATTGTTAGCATCTTTTCCTACATCTAGACAGTGTGATTTAATATACGTACGGTTCTGCATAACGTCACGGATAATACCGAACTCATCGAAGTAACCTCCACGGCCCTCGGTGCCGAAAGGCTCCTTGAATGTAATCTGCGGCCGATGTTAGAGCCCATATTCCGGAATGAGATCATCTCATCACATACCTGAACGTTATCGATGTGGTGACGGTTCCATGTGGCGTTGAAGAACTCGTTGCCGAATCGCAGAATTAGGATGTTCTTGACCATCTCCTTACCAAGGTAGTGATCGATACGGAAGATCTCCTCCTCCTTCCAGTTAGGCTCCAAGGCCTTCTGGAGATCGCGCGAGCTCTGTAGGTCCTTACCGAAGGGTTTCTCGACCTATTAAAAAATAGTGTATCAATACGGGGTTCGTCTCGAGCAAGCTTGTCCAGGGAAACCCACAATAATGCGAGCGAGACCGCTCCTGGGGTAGCAGTTGCGCTTCAACTGCTCGGAGACGGTAATGAAGACACTGGGAGGCAGTGCCATGTAGAACACGCGGTTCTGCTCCTTCGACTGGCGCTTGTCCTCGATCTCCTCGAGGTGCTTGTTCAAGCCGATGAACGAATCGTCTTGGTCGTATTGGCCAGAAACGTAGGTGCACATCTTGCAGAACTGATCTAATTGATCTTCAATCTCCTTTGTGGGGATCTTGATGTACGAGCGAACGCGCTTGAGGTATTCTTCGGTGTCCATTTTTGTTCGTGCATATCCGACGATCTTGATGTCCTTGGGGAGGAATTTGTTGCGGAACTATGACAAAAGTGTCAGTGGATAACAACTAGAATAGTCAGTAGAAATAGCACATACAAGGCCAAAGAGAGCAGGGAACTATCAATTAGTTAGTACGTCAAAAGAGTCATCGTATCCTGGAGGGGTACGAACGGTCTTCTTCTTCGCCAGATCACCAGATGCGCCTAGTACGACGATGATGGTATCATCTTTAAGTTCGACGGTGCTGAATGCGAGATCCATTGTTAGCGGGTCGAATTGACCGAAAAAAAAAAGAATTTGCGATCGCGGCAATTGAGGGGTTGAGCAAGGAAGCTCTCTGGGCAGAGAAATTCTGCAAAAACGTTCAAGGAATGGATTGGCTATTGGGATGAAGGCAAATAACGTCCAAAACAGCAATCTTGGGGGGCAAGTTGAGGTTGAATTGAGGCAATCGGTGTTCCATTGCCCGAGGAGGGGGGAGTGATGTCAGAGATACAGGAGGGAAAACTCACCCAGCACCATGGCGGTCATCGGTCTGGTTGATCACACTAGACATCTTGCCGCTTAATCAAAGAAGTTTGAGAGAGTTTGGAAAAGAAGAAAAGGAAGAATGTTGAGAAGCAACAGGATCCGGCGGAGTACTTTTTAACGGAAGTCGCTCACAGCTTCGGCTGGTGGGGCTTTGGCTCTGGGTATTGTATGTGTTTTATGACTTCAAGGTATTAATCACTTTTTGATTACATTTATTTTTTTATTACATATGACGATATAGTCATATTTTGTTTCTCTTTTGACTACTTAATGCCCTGGAACCTAGCAAATTCCAGGTCAACTTTCTTATATTGAGTCTTCCCGATCTTCTTCGTTGACCTTGAACTTTACTGAAATCCCATGGGATACCCGTTTTGATTATCAACCCCGCGCAGACTAGAACTTCCACTGCTATCAGCGCTGCTTACTGGGGTTCGGGCTCGGGGTGATACACCGGAGGAATTATCAAGTCCGACGTGAGGTCGCTTATTCTTATTAACAGCTTTCAGAAGCAGGGGATGAAGATCATCTGACTATATAGTGATGCAGTTCACTTATAGGTGGGGATCACACAGCCAAAACAGGCTGGATTCGACTATGGAGTGATACGTGTCCATAACCAAGTAGTATGTTCAATGTTTTAAACGGGAATTATAGAGAGAGCTCGTCCTGTATACTATGCAGTACATGTATCCAAAGCGGAGCATTTTGAACCGCATCGAGGGGAAGGTTGCAGTACACTAAAATCCGAAGGTATCAAATTAAAGTACCGAATCAGCAAGAACAGGTACAATACCATGTACCTTGAGCACGCAACTCGATAAGAACCTCGACCGGTGACCCAAATCGTGGGGACGGATCGGCGCATTTGTCATTTTCTCGAGCCAGACGGATTCTATTTTCCCGACGCTTCTTTCAGGGCTATTAACCCGTACGGTTGAAGGCTCACCGAATCCGGAGCATATTAACCGGGGGGCTATTATACTACCTAGAACACTACCCTCTCTAGTCAACTACTTGATTACTCTTATTATATTGGTTTAGTTTTTGGTCTCTCGGACGAGTCGGCTTGTAAATTGCCCCCAGTTTTGATCAATACCCGGTCGCAAATGTAATCATCGATCCGACGTGGTGGGGCTGGATACAGGAACTTCTAGAGTTCCCAATCTGGTCTCGGTCTGAAGTATATGCACCGGAATGCTACCCGGATCATGTCATCTCCAGGTTGAAGATATCGATAATTACTCTGTGTTCTCAAGGTGGGATGAAAAAGCGTTCACTGTCTACTCCATACAATATGCTACGTAGATCTGCCGGTGGCCTTGTGCATATTGCGTTTTTGAACCCTTCCAACCTTCCAAAGTTGGAACCCCTGTCGTCATTAGGTTTGTCAGCTGGAAAGCTGCATTGGAGAGCCGAGTCGGACTACTGTAGCCCGAGCAGAAACAAAGGTGGGTAAATTTGGATCGGAGAAACAAAAGTCCAAAGCTTATCTCATCTCAGATTCTGCCTATCTAATCGCCGACAAAGCGGTGTGACTATCACGGGATCTCGCTTAGCCCTGACTTGTCACGTGAAAATGTGGCTCGCTAAGATCCCGTTTGGGCTAGGGCGAAAGCCAACACACCGGCTGGAAATTGATTGTGCGCCTGACTCTATCGAAGCGACGACAACCACGACAAACGGGAACGACTTTTGATCTTGCGGGTCATTCCTTCGACTTTCTTTCCTTGCCCGCTCCCCAGAGAAACGCCGACACAATGCCTTCGGAACAAGGACACCGCCGTGAGTGAATCCCTCGAAGTTCTTATCGATCGTCGTTTTGGTGGTCTCGAATTCGCAAAGCCGCATCTCGAGCAGGCACCTTGTGTGCGACGACGGATTAAAAAAAATCATGTGCTAACTATTTATTCTCTTCTAGTCTACGTCAAGTAAGTTACCACCGCACTTTCATCATCGCATTCAAAAGGATACACCAGTTCGACATGGAGGACCGATTTGGGGGACACAAGACATCGCCACTCAAATCGAAGCAACACACGATATGAACAGAGCATTAATACGAATTTCTTTTTCACAGGGGACGTCACCTGAGCTTCCAGCGCAGCAAGCACGCCCTCACCCCCAACACCAGGTATCTATACCCTGCGCACAAAAACTGAATACGATGAATGGAATCTGATATATGGTTATACAGCTTGGTCAAGATCGAGGGTGTTGATGACACCAAGTCCGCCAAGTTCTACCTTGGCAAGAAGGTCGCTTTCGTTTACCGTGCTAAGCGTGAGGTCCGCGGCTCCAACATTCGGGTGATCTGGGGCAAGGTCACCCGGCCGCACGGTACGTGAATTGGAGCCAGTCTCAAGAACCATCTCGAAAATGGACCCTCTTGAGTCTGGCCATCTCGAACTCGAATTTCGTTTTATCTGACTCGTTCCAGGCAACTCCGGTGTTGTGCGCGCCAAGTTCCGCAACAACCTCCCCCCCAAGTCCCTCGGCGCTACCGTCCGCGTTATGCTCTACCCCTCCAACATCTAAACGGCTTCTATGTGTTGTTTTTAGTGGGCGATTCCCTTCTTCGCACAGACGGTCGGTCAGGCAAGGAAAAGTCGACGGAACGAGCCGATGTTGATTTGAGGTGATGGAGTTGGCGGGTTGATAACGTTTTGTTCGTGGGAGAAGGCAGGGCCAACAAAGCCCTACGAATCAAAAAAAATTTACACTTTCATAGCTGTGTCGACCCCAAGATGCTGGGAACGAGCTTCGTCTCGATATTTCTCCTTGTTCTTACAATTGGCGAGCATGATGTGTCTGGTCGCGCAGCGTCACTTCTCCCATTGTGTATCTGACGCTTAAACGCACCAAATTCCATACCATTTCAAATTTCAACAGACCGGTCAATCGATCCGCTTCTTCGTGCGTTCTTTGCGTCCGTCCGTCTATTGTTTTAGAAGAAATTGTATTTCATTGCTCTGGCTCCAATATACCATGGCATGCTTGTTTTTTTGCGGACATAAATTATACTCCCTTGGCAACAGGATAAACAGACCGTAATATTTTCAAATTAGCTATAGCTCCAGCACCCATAGACCCTGCGCGGCCTTATTCGGCCTGATTCCCCAGGTTGTGGTGTGGATCCTCCCCATGTCGTGAACCACCTGAACTTGGAAATAGAGGGCACTCTTTTGTCGCTCTATCAAGTATTATATCGGTGTTTTATGTTTTTATCTTATTCCAATTTCCATTTCATTGCCACACACTATTCTCTATAAAATTGCCTACAAATTCCACAGGGGGGAAAAAATTCAATATATATTCTGCCATAAAATCCGATCCGAACTCCACTCTAGCCGAAGTATATATATCCCCGAGTATATAAAAGCAAAAAAGAACACCAGGTATTCTAAACCCCCAACACCAAGACATTTCATCATATCCTATCACGAGTCTTACAAGATCTCATTGTGAATAGATTGTCTATGCGCTTTCAAATTCTCCCGTCGACTCGAAGCATGGCCACACCAGGGATTGGGACACTTGAAAGCCCGTGGATTAACATGCTGAGTCTGGATGTGCCGCATGAGGACGCCTTTGCGCGAGAACAGACGGTCATACGGACAGTCCTTCCATTCACATTTGAATGTTCCGTAACTCTCGCTGTCTCTGTCCCTAGACGAATTGCGTTCAGTATTTGCATACGATGATTACGATTCGGAAAAAGAACATAGGAATAAAATACACACTTTATTTTGCCTCCACGGCGGCGAGAACGATAGGGCCGTTTGGTTCGGCTAGGCTCTGTGCTTGCCTCATCCGACTCAAGGGTCTCTCGTATGATGGGAGTTGAGACTGGAAGATCATCCCAGGGACTGGGATATCCAGGGTCGTAGAGGCTTTCCGGCGAGAGTGCAGGTACGGTGCAGATTGCGGGGGCTGGGACAGCTCTTGGACTGTGGTTGTTGATGGGCTGCCTGATGGTTCCTGGGTCTAGGTACGACAACGAAGGAGTGGGGGATGTCATAGCCCGGAGGGCAACCGGGGTGGAGGGGTACTGCATGGAGGAAAGTCGTAGCGGATAGCTGTACGAGGAGGGTCCAGCAGTGAGCGTTTTCGCGTTGATCAATGGACTAGGCGAAGGAGGAATGAAAAGGGCCTCGGGCTGTTTGAGATTGAGATACTCGGTACTCCAATTCTCCAACTCTGCATTGGGCCACGGAAATTCGGCCCCCGGGATAGTTGAGTTGTTGCGTGTGGACCATGCCATCATATGTATAATTGGCGACCTGAATGTAGAGAGTAAGCGTTGAGAAGGTGGAGACAATCTTGTCATAGGAGTGATAAGTGGGCGGTTAGATAGAAAAGTGTTTCTTTGAGTTGATGAAGAATATGTGGATATTTATACTATTTACGTCAATGTGGCCCTGGGCACACGGTAGGCTCACTTTACTAAAAGCCGCACTCTGGAAGACTACACACCACTGATAGTGTAGATGGGCAAAAAAACAACGAGAAAAAGGAAACAAGGGTGGAAACAAACTTGACCAGACGGACGCAACTGGATTGACCCCCGGATTTGTTCCAGAAGACCCATATTATTCTAGAAAACTTATCTTACGTTCTAGAAACAGGGATCATGGTCTCTTCCCCGGGTCGATGTCCAACATTTCTAAATGCAGACAAGGATGATTCCAAATAGAACGGGCATAATTGGTCGTGGCTTTCTTTTAGTGGGCTGAGTATAACACCCTGGTATCTCAGATCCTGGCTACAGGAAACTCGTCATTTGTGACCTAGCTCTCTCACTCTTCCGGAGAATTGGGAAACCAAAGTGGCAGGATAATTTGAAGTGTGATAATCCTGCAGACTGCAAGCCAACCAAATCGAAACAGCATTGACACTGAAAGAAATTGAAAACGAAGGGCGAAGCGTGATCAACACGTATAATGATCCTCGAACTTGGTTAGGTCGTTACTAGCTCTTATGGGGTATACAGTGTATTTTACTCTGGCTTGTAAAATAAACACGCAGCTGAAGTGTTGACGCATTTTCCATAAACCCGGGCGTACTTTGTGGGGTTCAGGTCCTGTCCAATAGCACGAACTTGACCTGCTTGGCAGACTCGTCTTGCCTAAAACTGTAGATCAACATCCTCGCAAAGTCCCACGGTTGATTGGTTATACGAGCGATCGGCACATGTTCATTCAGTTTTCTTTTTTCTTGACACTTTTTGACACTTTTAATGTCTTTTTTCTCTTTACGGTTGTTTCATCATGCCGTTAGAATCTGATGGAAATAGAAGATTTGTTCAAAAAAGCCTCACTGTGTGAACAATCTATATAGATTGAACATGGATGTGTGACAGGGATCAAGGTTACATTGCACCAAAGAGGTCTAGCGCTCCAGGGCGATTGGAATATTATAATATCAGAAACTCATTACCACATCTATTCTAGAGAGACCAAGTAGCCATAGCATGACGAGACATTAAATGTCCGATATTGATGCTAGAAACGTTGTACCGTCAAGTTAGGGTTCCGGGAAGTTTTCAATTTACAGAACGGACGGTCCCCGCTTTACCCCAGAAGTTATAAAAAGAGGCTCAAATATTGGGGCTTAAGCGCCTGTTGCATGTGACGGGAGCTACATATGCTGGGCTCGTATACGCACACAATGGGGCGCAGCTCAGCTGATATGTCCTATTATTATCATTATCCTACTTCACGCCTATTCCACTATCGCTTGCTCCCAATCGAGAAGATCGTGCCAAATACTTACGCTCCGGGTATCATCGAATATCCCCAACACCCGATCCGCCATAATTCAAAATCAACTCAAATCCTCCCAGTGGCTGCTATGCCACAAATTGAATATTTCAATTAGGCTCGCTTCAGATGAACTCTTCCTAGGTGCTCGGTCATGTTATCCCGTCGACAGAATAGCTGGCCACAGACTGGGCAGTCGAATGAGCGTGGTGCGACATGCTGCGTTTCTATATGACGCATAAGGACTCCCTTACGGGAGAAGACGCCGCGGTATTTGCAGTCTTTCCAGTTGCATTGGTACGTGCGGTGAAGTTCCCTAGAATACAAGTATGATGTTAGCTTGCGATATTATGCTAGCTTGACAATAGAAGGAAGGCTTGCGAGTGTTTCCGTTTGAGTGGTCGTCCACCGCCACAGAGAGTCTGGACTTTACGTCTACTCACACCTGGTTCGGGGGTGGCTTGTATAGCGGGGGTGGATACTCCCAATGCCGATGGTGTGGAACACATAGTACTATATCCAGAGCTGAGATAGCCCATGGTTGAGGTCTGACCAGGTCTATTGTTCCCAATCGAGGGATGGTGTACCGTGTTCTGATTGGGCGGATTGAAGTCGGCATGCGCTTGGGTAAAATACGTGGAGTAGCTGGGATGGACTGGTGTGGAGGGGTGTTGCATGAGGGTATTGGACGGAAATTGGTTATTGGAGAACATCGATGACTCTGTCGCCAGCGAGGGACGATACTGATGAGCTATGGACCCATAAGGGTAATGCAGATCTCCGGCACTCTGACCGTAGACAGGCGTACTGGAAGCGTTCGAGGAGGCGTCGTATGGAGACCAATCCATGGTGATATGGGAACAGTGACGGGGGACTTCGTAAAAGATGATACTATGGAAGCAAAGTAGCATGTAGGACACTGCTGGTGGGTTAGATCAGTCGGATGGGGATATGAGATTTATAAATCCGAAAACTAATGGCGATATTACGTTAAGTGCCCAACTAGTGAGTGCATGAAAATTTGACTTTGCTGCACCTTATTACAAGCCACAGTGTTCTACAGATTTCAGTACGAGATGTATGCCAATAAGAGTAGAGGAAAGTGAACTGGGCAGTGGAGTCGAGGTCTAGACGGTTGAGTCGATCCCAAGTCTTCCCGAATAATAGATAGTATACAGGCTAGACGAATAAGATGTGACTTGGATATTACTTGATGAGGGTGAACAGAGGGGGAAGGGGGAAACCGGAGTAGGTAGATCGGCATTTTGCTCCATGTGCTCGGGCCGATGAAATCAGCCTCATATTGAGCCTCCATGTTAAAGTCTGAACGTGGCAGTGCGGCATACGGATGTTTCCATGCATTAGCATGTTTCATTGCTCCCTGCTTCATATTGATCCTCCGTGCCCGAGCTGTGTTATCCACCGAATCATTCCTTTGTATTGTGGATGGGTGGAACACCTGGGCGACGAATTGACTCAGTATAACACGCCCAACCCCGCCTTGACATGTTTATCCGGTAGGACGAAGACAATACATCGATTTACAGACCAGCTGTATCAGGATCTTTGTTCTTGCGACCTTATCTTTTGCTTCGTGTTGACAACTTGACAAGTCTGTGCTGAATAACCGACGGCTTCCAACCTAAGGTTCTAGAGATTTACACACCGTGGGAGCGAGTTGGCAGGGGACGATGACCGGTCACTACGTACATGTATGTACTTATACTACCGAGCGACATCAATAAGGCTAAAATCATAAAGGTGCCGCAAAAACTATGCAGAGAAAAAAGGCCGACCAACAATTTGAAATGGGCGACTACCTGGAGCTATAATGTTTGAATGTACTACTGGCTGGCACAGATCATAAAAATGAGACAATACTGTGTGTATTCGACCGCTTTGTCCATTCTGACGAAAGAGTTCAAGGCAATGACTGCTCCCCGGAAGATCCAGCCTCAGCTGGACCCACGGCTTGCCTCTTATGACGGTCGCCTGCGGCGGCATCCCACTAGTTGGCTGAAAGCACACGACAAAGCTAGGAAATCGGACTCTCAAAACGGACGCCAGCGTTAAGAGCTCGCTCATCTTCAGCTTGGGTTCGTCTAGCGCGAACGTGGCCATTTTTATAGAAGTTGACTGAGTATTTCTCGCCGTGCTCCACAGCTCTAAGTGTTTTGGATGCCATGTAGATAGACTCCTTCATCGGAGAGCTTGATTTCGTTCAGCGGTGCGACTTATTCCGCGTCGCTGTCTGGAACTAGTTTCGGACACGGGAGACGGAAATTTCCCCATAATGAAGCCCCGAAGCTTGTGGATTCTGGGAGAGATTTATCACGGCCCGATCAACAGAAATTCCGTGGGATTTGTGGACCGTGATAGCGGCTAACAACAATAGGAACTGCAAGCGCGTAGAGCACCCAAGGATTGCCCTTGTCGGTTATCTCGCTTCTGACTCGATAGTATTGTTCGAATAGCTCATTTCTTGCTGGTATGGAAGATTGACCGTGAATGCATAGGGACAGACTGGCATCTTAATTGGTATGCCGGACCACAATATCATCAGAAGCCTTCGAGTACCCGTTCACCAGCCCATGCTCCGTCCAGAAGACTTTCGAGCATCATAACGCGGCTATCAGTCGACAGCTGGACTGCACGGTGGGGACCACCGTCATCATCATTGTCATCAGTGGGAATGTCCTTTGCACCGTTACATGTATGCATTGAGCGTTGCCCCCCGTAGATAACGAAGACGGGTGTAGTCACTAGGTGCGCTTCGAAAGGCCGCGTAGAACCTCCCCCACCCCTGCGTGATTTCCAGGAACCACTTGCTTTGTTGTGGCTACTAGGCGAGGGATGAAGAAGGAAGAAGCCTTGATTCATCAATCTATGAAAAAGTAGGGAATTTATACCCCCGAAGTCTAGCAAACGATCGCTGAGTCTACTAGCAAGGAAGGAGATGGGATCATCCAACACCTCACCTGGCATGTCGATAAAAATGATTAGTTCTCCCACTTGAAGAATAGACTTGGAAATGGGGTCTTTCTTGAAGACATAACACTCCAAAGGGTCATCCGTGATGAAATTCAATAAAATCGATAAGATATCGAGATGTATACACCGTTGGCATAGGTATGCATTGTCGGCTCCAAACTATTTCATAATCCTCTAACTCATATTTATCTTAGGTTCTGACTTTTCTCTCAGTTCGCTTTAATCTCACCTTCATTTTACTTTCATCTTTCTGTCATAAGCCTTATCAACGTGTAGCTATTTGAAGCAGTGTCTATAGTAATTGATGAAAATGCGCGAATAGCGCGAATAGGAAAGGTGGTCTTCCCATAAGATTCGGGATACTGGATGTAGATCAATTTAACATTAGACAGACCAATGCCAAAGGCCTTCTTTCGTTTTTGGGAGGTGTTGTCTCCCTCTTTTATTTTCTCATGTTGAGTTTTCACAAGGCTAATCAGCTAGACTGGGTTTGTTTACAGAGAATAGCAGATTCCTTCTCTCTCTCTTCGCTTTCGCCTTTCTTCTGCCTTCTACCTATGTCGCTCTAACTCTCTTTTATTACATCCTTGTCTATGCACACTTGTGTATCAGCCATGCCTGGTCGCTATTATCGTAGATCACCTCCAACGCGACCCAAGGCCGGGCGTCGCCGAAGCAACACTACGCGGGAAGGATAGTATAGGGGGGGGGGATGGAGGACGATGACCAGGCTTAGATGTAGGCTAGCCAAAGGTTCTGCTGCCTCGATTGTCGCCGACTCATGCTTCCTGATCACAATTGGGACCCAACCTGCAAAAGGTGCAATGCCCACTTTGTCCCCAGAACTGGATGTCCAGACTTGTCCGATGCAACTCCCTGTTGCGGTTCTTGTGATCAAAATCTGACTACTCCCAATATTGACGAAACGCCAACCGCGCCTTCACCCGTTGTGTTCAGCCTTGATGAGCTACCAGTCATGGTTGTAGGATCCAAATACCGCGTATGTCAAGCCTATGCCACTAACACTGTTCTTCCTTTTCAAGGTTGTTTTTCCAGAGTTAAAGCCCATTATGCGCGCACTTTGTGACTTCATCATCTCGGATCGAACCCTACCAGTCGATTTCGCCCGTGCTCCTTACAAGATGGTGTTCAAGCCGTTGGAGGCCAATACGCGTTTATTGATATGGTCTTTGATACGGTGCCACGAGAAGTTAAGGATCTACTAGGCAGAGCTATCACTATGGAGGTAAAAGTTAAGATCTTTTCCTTGAAATAACTACTCGTCTAATCACTTACGCTTTGATCACTTATGCTTTGACTGCCTAGGCTTGAACATATTCATTTGAAGTAAACCTCAGTCGAGATGAAACGGGCTACTCGTCACGGCGGATACCTCGCCTTTGTGACACACATCCAAAGACTTGATTACTGGCGTCCTTATGTGGGACAGGCCAGCGAACAAAAATACCGGCTACCTCAGCACAACGCCGAAATGGATCCGAGAAATCGCTTCATTACTGAATCGTTAAGTAGGGCCATGGACTAAGACGTGCAAATTTCATCCGACTCTGGACCATCCCTTTTCCTGTAGGAACCGATGCAATGGTCAAATTAGTTTTCCAAAACTACTTGGAAATGATCATATGTCGATCGTTTCAATCGCTTCCCTCATTGACCTTGGAAGAGATCTTTGGGCTTTGCCCACAAGCCCAGAATCAAGGCCACTATTCAGGAATGGGGCTGAATGTTGTGTCAGCCTTACTGAAAGGGCGAGATCTCGGTCCACAGATCCAGAGATTAGCAGCTGGCCAAATGTTCGCGCTGCGCAAGATCGTCACACTCATCAGCACGGTAGTATACCCACTAGATGGCGAATGAACATTGATGACTATCAAAAGACGCTTCGCCGAGCAATTCAGACGAATCCAGTCCTCGATCAATCACTCACTTTGAAACTAGACGATTGGGCACAGCTAGAAGGCGAGCTATTGGACCTTGAAACATGGTTTCAGTCAACTACCACCAAACTTGAAGAGCAAGACCGAATCATTGAGACCGGACTAATATTGAAAGACTTTATTGGCGGGGCATACACTGATGACAACGGAGAAGTGACCCCAAAAATCCAGAGGAAAAGGAGACCAGCAAACACCAAGGAAGCGACTTTGAGCAACGGCATCACACTTTATGGGGACAAAGCCACTACGGATAGACTGGCTAACACGCTTTTACGCTACAACGTCTGGTCAAAGCCAGAAGTTGTCGACGTCCCACCTGAAAGATGCATGAGGATACCCATGCTCGACGGCTGGGAGAAGCGAGTTAAACGGAAAAGAGTCTACCCAACCGGTGTCAAAGAAAAGGAGCTCATTGACAAAGTCTTTAACGGTCTCCAGGCTGAGGGGAAGCTTGAATGATTCTAACAAAATTGTTGTGTACCATCTGGCATGCCTCGAGTCAGATTTTCTCAAGTATTAGTTTTAGTACTAAATTGGCTATTGCTTATTAACCCCTATTCTTATAGTAAGACTTGATTCCAATGATTTAATATGACAGAAACCTGAATGAAAAGTATGCTCAAATCCAGTACTATGAAACTTTCTATCTAATAGAACATACCATGATAAACGCGCGTAGATAAATAGACCAAAATGACTGATCAATATACAATGTGGGTGTTTTTCCGGACCCTCGGTACCGTGGATATTGTGGGTTTACCTTGTATCCAGAGACGTATTGGGACTTGGTATTTGACATATTCTTTGCCTCTTTAGAGATCCTGTATGATGATAGGGATTGTTCGGATGATACGTTCTCCCGGCTTAGATGTATCATTCACATTCGTTTTATCTGGGTTACCAAGCACAATTCACTCGCAGGTACCCAGCGGAGTTGGTGTTCAAACGCCGATATTTTTCGAATCGGATTGCCCTAGAAGAGTTGATTCTGAATTGGCATATCATTTCAATTTTACAACAAAATTCCAATATCACCGGCAGTTTGGCGGAGTGGTCTAACGCGCTAGACTTGAATACTTTTCATGCTATCTAGTCCTTTCGGGGGCGCAGGTTCGAACCCTGCAACTGTCGATTTCTTTTTGCATATTTTGTTTTATGCCTCTCTATCTATATTGCTTTTTTAATTGGGCCTATGTGATTTTATTTAACCTTCTGGAAAGATGATCGCATTCACTAGGTTAGAAACTAAAAGATATAGCCCCGTAACTCGGCAGACGACCTCCATCACTTCCAGTTTCGCTAAACAAAGGCGCTCGCTACCAGAAAGGTGAGATGACAAGAAGCTCTATCTTGATGTTAATGCCCAATTGCAGGACGTGCTTGAGTGAATGTTTCACACTTGGTAGTTGGATAGCTCGTGAGGACCGAGGTCGAGGATTGCCGATGATTGCCTTGCATTTGCACGTAGAGATACTTGTAATATTCGCTGAGCGAGGTGGCGGCGTCGTGACGAGAACGAATCTGCCACTCACAAATCTGACCTTCTTCGACTACCAAGCTGCATTGTCAATAGCCATCGGTGTGATGAGAGAGAACTCCTTGCCGGTCGACCACGTTCTTGCTTCCTACCCCGTATTTCATAAATACGAGCTGGCACACCCGCAGTGCTAGCCAAGCATCATAACAGGCTTCAAGTGGCCTTGGATCTGCTAATATAGCCTCCCAATAATCAGAAAGGTCCGCAAGATCTTGTTTACGGTCCACACGGAGCCTTTATCCCGCGATTGGGATTTTCCTAGGCCTGTTGTTGTAGGTCTTCCAGGTCCTCGAGCAAGCCATTGTGATCCTTCCATAGACTATGACCTTCTTCGCACGTAGGAATTCAAGGAATCCCCGGGACATACTCGCTTGTTGCTTGGTCAGGTCAATCAAGGGCTACGGGTGTTCTCATATGAGGTGGCCTCAGCTCCACCTCCTGCATCTATACCCTTGATGGCCATTCGTGAAGAGTTTCATAAAGGATGCCCTCAGACCCCTACGAGGTGGGAGGTCTTCAGCTGGGCAACCCTATCTTCACAGATCTTCAGAACACCCATGATGATGTCGATGTAGACATTGGACGTTTAGGTTGAAGTTTGGAAATTCTGGTCTTCAGGATTCAGGTTCAAAGTCTTGAGATTCGACTTGTCAGAGTTTAAGTTCAAGTTGCAAGGAGATTCAGGTTGGCTGTAGCGAGGAGATTCGACTTTCAGAGATATTCGAGTTTCGAGGAAAGAGAATACCTGTGTTACTGTCACCCGTAAAGTTTAACAGCTACTAAGCCCATCTAGGTAATATCCATAGCTGTGCAGCTGTCACAATGATGTACGTTAGTAATGTCTGAGAAATATACCCTGAATCATGTGGTGGAGCGATATTGACTTCGAGTTTCGCTTTGTCAGTGGGATCTGCGCATTCGATGTGATATCCCTGTAGGTCGCCTCATTCTGAGCAGCTGGCTTTGGGTCTTCCTGTCCTCATTCTGGTGAAGGATTCTCCATAGGTCTTCTTCGATAGCTCCTGGATCTCTTGGAATTGCGACCTCGTGACCTACAGCGTATGGATGAAGGAGTAGGCAGGCTATGTTTGACTATAGTTGCCAAGTCATTGTCAGTTTTAGCAAAAGGCTAGAGAGTAAATTCTTTCAGAACGTACCATGGGTATGCTAAAATACGGGGCCATGGATAAGAAGGGTCAATAGAGAAGTAGGGGCCAAAGAGAAGCAGGGGCAGAAACCAGTTGGTATGCTTGAATGATGGAGAAATGAAAAGAAAGTAAGAAAAAGAGAGAGGTGATTTCGAGAAAGAAGTAAAGAAAGACAGAAGGAGAATAGAGAGAAAGAGAAATAAGAAGTGAAGCTCAAGAGAGATGTGCTTGCTGATGACCTGAGATGACCAATACTGGATCGAGCTTTAGTGACATGTCAAGATGGCAGAGCATGCGGAACGTGACCCAGTTCATGGTTGCAGGGCTGCCAGTCGACACGGCCGATGGAGCAGGCGCGGCTGAGGGATTGCTAGGGGAACCGTATTGGGACCCGATCGTACGTTAAAGACGCGAATCTCAAGTAAGGTTGGAGATATAACGGTGAAGCAAAAGTGGAGTAAGACCTTGGATGGAGCTACGTTGATCGCCAAGAGAGAGATGGAGAATGCGATGCGAGAGCAAGCTTATGTAGGAGGAAGTCAGGTGGTTCTAGAACGAAGCTGGAGGGAGAGATGAAAATTTTGAACGCCACGACCCTATGCATGGCTTGACCAGGTCTCCCATAGCAGTACTATAAGTTTAAGGTTTCTCAGCCTACGATGGTATAAATCAAGTCATGGACAGAGGGCAGCTGGATGCCTATAGGCTAAGAGATATCATCTGTGAGTCAAAAATTCTGATATGTCGACATGTACTTATAGAGGTGAGTCCAGGAACCAGCGGACAAACAAGGCACTCAGGGGTCAAACTTTGCATAGATTTCTATGCATTTCTGTGCGATTAGCTCTATCTTTGTACACAAAGGCTCAACATGCATCGTAACTCATTTGCAAGCAGCAACAAAATATAACTCCAGAATAAACCAAGTGAGAGGCGTTTGAGGCTGCAATGGCAAGACCCGATTAAACAATATGCATTAACTTTTGAGAAAAATATGTACCAAGAACCACAGAGTTGAGAAATTAATAATGTATCCAGAGGGTAGAGATTAAACCTCGATTTCAGGCTTCGACGCAGCATTGCGCTCAGAATCGACACGCTCCTGACGGGCACGCTCTTGCTCAGCAAGACCCGTCTTCTGGACCGTGTGATGGCGAGTCAGCTCACGAGGGCGGATGAACAAAGCGAGAATAAGGCCAGTACAAGCAATGCAAGTATAGAAGATCCACATGCGGTTCAGGGAATGTGTGTAGGCGCCTAGGATGACCGTGCGCTGGGAGGGAGTAAGGCTCTGGAGGAGGGACTTGGAGGCGCCGCCAAAGGAAGAAGAAACAATCGCAGCGGTCTTGGGGCCGACCGCAGCGATAATCTCGGCTGATTGTTTGCTCATGATGTTTTGGTAAATGACGGTGCCCAGAACGACGGACATCGACGTGGAAAGTTGACGGATGAAGCCGAAAGTGGCTGTTGCTGTGGCCATGTCGGAGGGGCGAATGTTGGCCTGGAAAGCGACCAAAGGTGCCTGGAAGTTGGGACCAATACCGATACCGGCGATTAACTGGTAGATGATGATACGGGGCCATGAAGCGTAGGGCTTGAGATCGATGAAAAGACCGAATCCAAGGGCCATGCAGGACATACCACCGATAATCAGCTCGCGGTAACGGCCAGTCTTTTTCATAACGACACCCGTACCCGCGGAGCCGAGGGCAAGAGACAGAACCAGGGGCAAGACGTACACACCACTCATGATGGGAGTTGACTGGATGACTGTTTGGAAGTAAAGCGGCAGATAGTAGGTAGCGGCGATGAAGGTGGCACCGTGGCAGAAACAAACGAGCAGGATGAGGATGTTGTACCACTCGTTGAACAGCCGTGGGGGAATAATCGGGAACTTGGCAACCTTCCATTCCAGGAACATTGCCAGCGCCCAAGTGAGCACGCCAAAGACAATCAGGCAAATGACAGTAGGTGAGGCCCAGGGATAGTTGACGCCTCCGAACTCCAACCCGAAGAGGAACATCAGGGTTCCACCGATGATCAAGAATGTTCCTGTCCAATCAATGCAGCGCACACCAGCCCAGAAGGGAGTCTTGGGCGACTCAATGTGAAGGAAGAGGATAAGGATACACAGTGAGACACCTCCGACAGGAAGGTTGAGCCAGAAACACCAGCGCCAAGACACATTTGTAGTGAACGCTCCACCTACAACCGGACCAAGAGCGCCTGCGACAGCCCAGACTGCACCGAAAAGACCATAGTACATCGGGCGATCTCTGTATAGAAGTTAGCCTCATTCCATCCCCACACCAACAAGTCATCATACCTCAAGCTGAAGAGATCCGAAACACTGATATTCGCCAGGATAATAATACCACCACCACCGACACCCTGAATCGCCCGACCTGCGAGGATGGTGGCCATATTATGTGCCAAGGCACAGATCAAACTGCCAACTAGAAAGACAACATTTGCCAAGACAATAATAGACTTTCTTCCCCAGATATCACTGATCTTGCCCCACAGGGGGATGCAGGCGGCATTTGCGAGGAGATATGACGATGCGATCCATGAGAAACCGCTCTCGGAGGCACCGAACTGCGCGGCGATAGTGGGGAGGGCCGTGGAAATAATAGTCTGCAAGAACGTTAGAAATGCCCCGAGCACGTGAAATAGAAAAAAGAAAGAAATGAGACGTACCATATCCAAAGCTGCCAAGAATAGCGCCAACTGCAATGTCACCCCGAGTTAGCTGCCTGTACTTCCCGAGCCATTTCTCCGCTTATAAAGATTTTCTTACACAAAGCGCCGTCATCACGACTATGATCTTCTTCTTGCCCATTTTCGCTGCCTGTGAGGGTGCGCGATCCAAAGGCGCACCCTCCGTTGTCTTTTCCGTCACATTCTCCGCATCAGGTTGGTCGGCTACCGTTTCCTGTTCGGCGCGTGTATCAAGGGGCTTCTCCGCTTGGGGTTGATCGAGATCTGTATTACTGCTCGAGGAGTCTGGTTGATGGCGCTCACTCATGATGCCTATGTTGGGGGAAATAGAAGGGAAGAAAAATTCTTTAGAAAGAATTCGGAGATAAAAGGCCCGTTCTAGGCAAACAAGCTAATTAAGAGTTTCCCGATCGTGATCGATCGAATATTTTTTTGCTAAAATGGTAGAATCAATATCTATTTAAAGGGGTCAGCAGCTCGGATTTCGTATTTTCGGGGTTTAGAAGAATAAAGCGAGGCCGAAGAAATTTAATTTGGATCTGGAGTGAATCGGCGTCGGGCCTGGGAGAAGCGCCGAGCCCGTCCAGAGCTTGTTTTTATATAGATTCATTTTATCATCTATTACTTAAATTTGCGACAAAATGTATTCCAGCATCTCCCATACCACAGTGAAAAAAAGCATCAACCTCAAATGGAACTCGAAAAATGCGACTGACGCATAAATCCCCGAAAATACCTCCACATTAAGTGAGATCTTACCTCCGAGTTTTGCGGAGTTAACATATTCGCATCTCCAGAACACATCAGGATTATATCTCACCACATGATTTGATTTTGTCATTCGCTAGAGTTTTTTAACGCTATGTGTTTTGGAGATGGCTTACCAAACACGTTAATGGCTGGCTGTAAGACGGCTTACTAATGTCTGGCTGTAAGACGGGGTTCCAAAGGGAACGTTAAACACGAGTAGCCATATGTTTCAGCCTAAAGATGCACGGTGACGGGCCAAAAGGTACTTTTCTTGTCAACGTGGAAACATTTCGCCCTAAAGCACAAGGCCGAATGCAGGGCTAGGAATTGAAATGACGCTAGAGAGGTAGCCTCCAAGTCAAATTTAAAGTATTAAGGTGTCAGGACATGCTTATACTTTGTTATTTTAACTCAAACACTGGAAGTCTTCTGATTCTCTACATTGTTACGACTACGGGGAAATTCTGTTCGCAAATGACAATCACGTATGCTCCGTCGCGAGTTTGAGTCCATTGTAGGTATTTTTCTGACACGGGCTTTTTCTGGCCTTTATACTATGGTGTAATTGTCTCATGGGGTTCTGACAGGATCCCTTTGATTAGACCGGTGGTTCCCTCCCACTGAAATCCGTAACGAATGACGAGATAGTTCGAGAGCGATAACTCATTGGTTACCGCCTCTATTCTTCCTTTGATTGTTTAAGCTCAAAAGCATAATCTTCATGAAGTGGAGTCCGTCATGGGTCAACTCCTTGGGCGTGGGGGTTTTCGAGCAGCCAGAAGTAGGATCGGCGTGCCAAACCGGGCATGACATAGTAATCTGAGAAGATCGCCACAAATAAGGTGGGAAGCCATTCTTCCACAAGATCACTGGATGGCCAATCGGCCATTTTGCATCTCTTCCACATAGCGCAACCCTGTAGGTGGCACCCATCACAGTGCCCACCATTTGACCACATGCTTCACTGTCCAAATACGAGAAACATTGTGAATATTGAACTTAGCTCGTGTTAGCGAATTAGTCGGAGAGCTCGTAAAATCGTAGTTAGAAGTCCTTGTTGGAGGCCAGCAAGATCGAAAAGTGTAGCTAGGAAATGGATTCCGAATGCCGGAGCTCAATGCCAGTCGAGGGAATCAATGCGAGGTATCCGAAACTGAAAGAGGGTGTTTGAATCCAGTGAAGTCGTGTCCATAGCGAGGGGATTCGGATTATCCTCGACAACATAGGAGGTATTGGGATGAAAGTGGCAACCGCAACCTTGAAGGATACCGAGGCATGCCACCTTGGTGACCACGATTTTGCAGACTAGAAGGGTAAGAATCATCGCGTATATATGCGCCTTGGGCTCGGAATGCTCACAGTGATGTTTGATGATGGGTGTGACATGTTGTAACACACGGACCATAGCAATCAAACTAAGCGGACACCGCGCATTGGAAAAGGAAGTGCAGAAGCGAAGCTATGAAGGATTACTCGGAGCGTAAGAGAATTTCCGAGCTTATTTATGACAGATGGAATTTTTCGGGGCGATAGAGGAGTCAGGGAAACGTAAATGGAGTCCCTTTTGGTGAATCCATGATCGTGGTTCGGATTGTTTGGGGCATTCTTGGCCGTGGTTTGGGTAGTTGACTTTCTAGGCCACACCCCAGGAGGCTTCAAGAAAGCGATGACCAAGTAGATGTTAGAGTTAGGCACTTTTCGGTATTTATAAAGCGCGTCTGAAGCATAGGGAGGGTTCTTCGATGCGCCAAGGAGTGTGTCGAGAGGAGTTTTGGCGAATTGATGTTGGAAGATGGGAGTGTCGACGGATTTTAGGCAGAGAGGCCTGGGTCGTTCTTTCCATGATTGGATGACTATTCCTGTTGGAGGTTCACGGTTGCCTAAATTGTACATAATTGCATCAGGCGATTCAAATGGATCTTTCACGTATTCTCTCCAACCCTTCAATATTTGTGTTTATAGAAGCTATGATTATGCCCGTTACGCCCTTGGAGGAAATCCAATTCGGATGTCTTCCTTTCTATCCCTTTCCTTTGGCTCGTTGCTCTGCCACTGCTATTGGGCCTGGTTTTTCCGACTTTCATATAGGAAAGACAGGTAGGGACCTGTCTTTCATCTGCATTTTACGGAGGATGAGATGAACTAACAGTCTTGCTACCCTTATTACAACCCGCTTCTCTTAGATAAACTACCTACTATAAGACAATCTGAAATCACACAGATTATGGGCGATAATAGATCACCCACAGGGCGTAACATGAGTTGCGAGTTTTGTGGTATCTGGATGCTGGCTTGGTTGCGGAAACGCTACGATCCCCTTACAGAGAAGTAAGAGGAGCACAAAAAATCCTTTCTCTTATCCAGAGTAATCAGTGCATGTCGCATTCAGCATGGCGATATCTTAGATTGCATATATATCCGACCATGCGTATACATAGAGGGCAGCTAACGTATGCGGGGTAAACGCCAGATTTGGCGCTAAACCTGAAATAGGACATGACTAAAGCCCTATTATATTAGCCCTAACTGCCTTTCCGGGATAATGTGATGGATCTTCACGCGCCAGAACGCGTGAAGATAATTTCTTTGGCTTCCCCACCTTCAACCTTAACTTAGGTGTAGCGTTCAACTCAGCTCATCTTGAGTGCTTATCTTCAATCATGGTAGACATCCAGGGCCTCCCCATAGAGATCCTACATCTCATTTTGTCTGTTTTTATTAGCCCAGGCGATCTCGAACCGATCAGAGATCCAAGCACGGATGCCAAAGACGGCAATGCGAACGAATTGGATGACGAATATGACGATGAAGCTGATGGGATTGAGACTTTGCGCAATGTTTGCTTAGTTTCACGGAAATTCCGGGAGCTAGCCCAACCTGTTCTCTTCCGTGATCTTTATGATGATGGTTTGGCTGGAGACGACCCAAACCCAACCATCTCTTTCACCAGAACAATATATCAACGTCCAGACCTCGAAAGACATGTGCATCAAATCTCCATCATGCCTCTGCCATTCAACCCAGGGGGTCGTAGACCTCTTTCCGCAGAGGACTCCGAGTTCTTCAAAAACATACTTAAGGGCCTTCAATTGGCCGATCAGGAGGAAGCCTGGATCTCAGCCATGGAGAAATCCGACCTTGGCGTTTTCGCAGCATTACTAGCCAACAGGGCTCCCAATCTTCGTGGACTACATTTACCAGTGCGCCAGTTCTGGACCGAGCCGTTTATCCAACTTTTCCGTCGTAATCCGCAATTTTTGTCGAACCTGGAGTCTATCTGGATTGAAAGTGATGACGAACTTTCCGGCTTCGATATCGCTTTTTACGAGAAATTCCTCACCCTTCCTAAGGTCACATTTTCGGCCTTTGAGTACGGCGATCTCTTTGATGCATCATTCCCATCTACCTGGTTGCCTGGGACATTAGAGACGAAGGAACTCTCCTTCCACCACTGTCACATCGATGCTGGTGCCATCAACAAGTTCATGCAAGCGTGCAAGAAGCTGAAAACGTTTACTTACAACAACTTCAGCTTGGATCCTAACGACCGACGGATCCTGCGTGCGGGGACCGAGCCCGAGTTTAATGCTAAACAGGCCCAGGAAGCCGTCCTCCTACACAAAGACACCCTCGAACTCTTCCACCTCGAGTTCTCAATGGCAGTATGGGATGCCGATAGTGCCGAAGAAAACATTTCTAGCCACGTCAAGGTTGGCTCATTCCGCGAGTTCTCCGTGCTTGAGACCATCCTCATCCCACACGCTTATCTCCCACCACACCCTGAATTCCCCAGCTCGTTAGAGACACTCCATATCACCGACTGCAACTCGTCTATCCGGGAGTTGGCTCAGAATGTCGCGACAGATTGTAAAAATGGTCTTTATCCGAAGTTGACTAACTTCAAGGTATTCGCAATCGATATCACCCAGCCCATTAAGCTTCCTGGACAGCGTGTTCCAGAAGGGAAAACACCAGAAGAATGTTTCCTTGCTTTGAGGGATATGTTCAAAGGAACCAAAGTGAATTTCCAGATCTTGCCGTATGAATTACCTGATTTTGATGATTACGATGACCTCGATGATTATGATGAAGACCTCGGTTTTGAGGAAGATTTCCAAGAACCGGGTTTCGAAGACTATCCATCTGGAGAAGATCCCGGCATGGGTCCAATCCCACCACAGCTTCTCGATTTGCTTATGCAGCGGGCTTTGATGGACCCTGATTTTGCACACCTTCGCCCAGATGAGGGTAGTGATGATGATTCATGGGAAACTGATGACAGCGATTGAGCCAACTAGTCCAGTTCATGCAACCATTGATTCTGCTATAATATAATAATATGTAAATTGACTACGGCTTGCTGATTTTTCATAATACCTTACTTTGAGCAGTGCATACCTTATCTGGAGAAATGGGCAATACTTTGAAAATTTGAATGCATTCGTATTCCAAGCATATTCCTGGCTCAATAACTCCTCGATGAACATGCAATAACCAGTGTTGTTCCTTGGCAATTCTATGACAAAAGCAAATGGGGAGTTGGGGGGTATAATGATTATAGCGAGTGCGTAGGTCACAACTAGAGAGAAAATCGAGCAGAATAATACGTATGGTAATGTGGCAGAATGCTTTACTCTTGCAATAGAAGAATCTCTGTAAAAACAATACCAATTAGCCACCGATTCCCAAAAGCCACTCAAACAACAGCAAGACTTACCAGTCAAAGCCTCTTCAAAGCTCAGAGTAATGTACCCATCCCGATCCTCATCATACCGCTTAAAGACATCCGTCATACGCTTCAGACTAATACAAGCCTGAACAAATAGATCAAAGCTCATCCCAGCAGACCTAGGATCCTTAGGGGCATTGCTCATCTGCTTTCCCTTGGCTTCAAAGACACCAAAGATAGTAGAAATAAACTTCCCACTAAGACGGTACCCGAACGCAACAAGCGCCTTCTCAAACTCCGGCTGGCTGACACGTCCACTGCGGTCCTCGTCGAAACGATCAAATAGCTCCCTCCACGCAGCCAAATACCGCCACAACGAGACGAATTCGTCGAAGTTGATTGTCCCGCTGCCGTCACGGTCGAACATCCGGATCATCAGTCTGACCGTCCGCGGGTGGAAGGACGTATAGTCGCCGTTCACAAGCGCACTGCCGAGCTCCCCTTCAGTGAGGGTGCCGGAGTTGGAGGCGTTCGCGGCGCGGAAGAGGGGGAAAAGTTGTTGCGGGTCACTGCTGGGTGCGGTCAATGGCGGTGGGACGGGTGACTGGGGAGGCCGCGATGAGGACGGGGGTCGGCTGCGCTGGGGCTGCACTGGCGGGGGCCCGAAGCCATAGTTCTGGGGTGGCGGAGAGGGATGGAGGGGGTGAGGGCGAGACTGAGACTGGCTGGGGAGTTGGCTTGGGAGAGGCGCGGTTGCTGAAGAGGGGCGGCCGCTATGGGAGTGGGAGTGGGAGTGGTGGGGTTGAGGGTCGAGGCGTGGTGCTGCGGCGTATGCGTGTTGCGGGGGAGCGCTGGATACAGGAACGCGGGAAGGAACACCACTGCTGTGAGCTGTTTGTGGTGGTGGGCGAGACGGGAGCGGTTTTTGGTTGAGGCTCGGGGCGTGGCTCGGGGTGTGGCTTTGCCCGGATACATTCATGTTGCCTAACATCTGCGCAACCTAATTGACGGTTAGCCAAAGGCAGATAAGCTGTGTAGCGAGTGTTGCACCTGTTCTGGCTCGGCGTGACTGAGTATTTTCCAGGTCAGTAACTGCAGATTCTCCTAGATCGAGTATGTTGTATGCACTTACGCTGGAAGCGCATCGGGGTTGTAGGACTTGTTGTAAGCCATGGTTGGAGTCCTGGAGGTGACGCAATCGAGAGAAAGAATGCGACACGTACTCTGGTAAAGAGCAACAAAGGTATATCGTGAAGCAGAAGAAGGAAGAAATAAAAGGAGAGGCAGAGATTCAAAGCGGAGCCGTGGGGCATTGATTTTTAGCGTGCCAAGTGATAAAGTCGGGGATGACGATGTGTGTAAATACAGCAACCCCATTTATAACGAACCTATTGAGAGCTCAATATTCGTTAAAGCGTTTTGGATTTATATACATATATGTCTAGTAAGATCACTAGGTGTAGCTACTTCTGAATAGCCTTCTATACTCAATTAATAGTCTGAATTAGCATATTGCTCGAGTTCTTGCGCTTTATTAGGACTAATACGAATACGGGGGTTGAAAAGTGGATTCTGTCCCATAAGATTTAGTACAGAACTCCAAATTCCCGCATTAATGCTAACAGTGGGTATCTTATAGTAAGTTTGAATAGTGCCAGAGAGGCGATCCTACAAGTTTTGGAGTGAAATACAACATTTAGTACGAAGAGGCTGAACCGTGCGGCCCAACCCCTGTTGGGCGGCCCCGCTAACACTGTAGTCATCTTTCCACTGGTGTTCACTCCACTTCGAAACCTTCAATTGCAGCATTTCCCATATCTCGGAAAGATTCTTTGAATATGCCGGATTTGTTTTCTATCGCATCTGGAGTTCCTTGCGCTAAAACGGGCCCGGATCCGAAACGAGCTTGATAAATGTCTGTGTTCTTTGCCTTGTGTATTCAAGTAAATAATCCCATTCCATACACAACTATGTATTATCTTCTGCCCGCCCCCTATAGTGCCTTTCAAAGTGTGGAATAAACTAAATTGTGCATCTTAGAATGGGGCTTAGGAAAGTTGGAAACTAAGAGAACCTTTTGGGTATGTATAGCTTACTGTGGGCAAAGTGCTTTAGAGGAAACCGGGGTCACTGTGTAGCCAGTGAGAGCGAGCATCCATTGCAACGAGCACTCACTAAGCATGGGTGATCCTGTATGCGAATAGGCAACCTGCTCATGTAATTTAGGTGTATGTTGTATATTGTAGAAATCAAAAGTATAAGCCCAAAGGATTTCAGTAATGGAATATTAATATTAACAGGGGTATCTCAAAGAAGCAAGAACGCTTGATTTTCTGCAAAGATGTGCTAGTCGCATGTACAAACCACTTTTTTGACGAATCTTGCTGGCTCGCCAGCGTCATAACATCTAAACGCCTTGGTACAGACCACGGGATACGAGTGAAACCTCCGGCGCTTCCTCCTCTAGCACGGCAATAATCTCCTCCCAAGTCTTTTCCTGGAGCTCTTCACTCTCTGGGCCAGTGGTAAGCGCAGCTGACTCACTGTAAAGTTATTAGCAATGGTGACACTGAAACATGGTGACAGACTGTCTTACTCAAGATATCCCTCACTGCGCCAGCATTTCCCCTGTGATTCAATCCCTTGGATAGTCGCGCTAACCAGCGAGCGGCTTCCTTGCTCTGTAGTCCGTGCGAACAATTTGTGCATAACCCAAACGAAACACTTCTCCCACCAATGAGTGTATTGGCGGCCCAAAGACGAGACGCATAGACCGGGGCTGACGGTATTAACGATAAGGGTATGAGTACCATCATCATCGCGCACCATATTGGCAATATTCTTGATCATGAGTTCAAGCAAAAGTTTTGAAATGCCGTACTGCTTGGGACCCTTGAAGTTGGCCGGGTCGTTCACGTGAGCGAGCAGCGAGTCATCAGTCCGGACGCTTTCAGCCTTAACTCGAACGAATTGTTGACTTGAAACGACGGTCAGGTGGGCGGGGTTTTCGACATAGGAGCTTTTCTTTAGCTTGGGAAGTAGCAGTAAGGCCAGCATCGAGGTCGATAGTGTGTTGACTTGTAGGCTCTCCTCCCAGCCCTCGGGGGATTGATTGTATTCTCGATTCCAAAGACCAGCATTAAGTAAAGCGATGTCGACCCGGTCAAGCTCGCGATTGACGCGTTCAGCGAATCCTTTGACGCTCTGGAAGCTGTTCATCTCGAGCTGCCACACTTTGACCACGTTGCGTCGGTTAGTGGCCTTTTCGAGATCGGCTTTGGCCTGATTGCCTTTTTCCAAGCTGCGAGACCCGATGATGAGAGACTCGACACCGAGATTGAGCATTTTGATGGCAGCTTCGAAGCCAAGACCCGAGGTAGCACCTGTCAAAATGACGATCTTGCCAGCGAAGGACACACTTTTGGGATCGACGGGAGGGGTGTACTGCATCTTGAGGAGACGAAGAAGGCCGGCCATATTGAAACCTTGATTCAAAAGCTTCAAGAAAGAAATTCAAACAAAATACCAAGCTTCCGAGGCGCGTCTGATGATTGTTTGCGGGAGAAAAAGTGGCCGATAGCACGGGTCGATAAGCGATAAACAGATAATGATAGCGATAAGGATACAGATAAGGGAGTGCAGGAAGGCACGAAAGCACCTGGACAGTCAGTGTATGTAAATACATACACGCCCATAGACTATGTATATTATATGGCACAAGCACTAAAAATGGCCCATTAACACTTACAGCTGTAGATCAATCATGGCGGGGCCTAGTTGGCCTCCTTTTACGCTGATGCCTTGCCATAGTGTAAATCATTCATAGATGCCAGGATAAACAGGAAGGAAATATTCCCGTTTGGGTATGATAAATCTCATGATGTATATATGAGTGAGTAGTAAGTCCTGTCCCAGGTTCTTCAAAGCAGAAGTCTCATACCGACTGTTCTTCAATTCTTGTTTCTTTTGCCCGGGATTCCTTCCTCAACCACATCGACCCGTTACCCAGCATCATCTTACCATCCCACTCCGAGAAGTACACACAGTACTTCTCACAACCCTGATCTTCTGACAACAGCCAAGGATCTTTCTGACCAGACAAATCCCCCTGGAATCCGAGAAAGAAGCGACATCGGGAAAAAAATGCCTGACCAAGCGAATGTTCATTCGGATCACCCATAGCCTTCTCGTATTGAGCGAGGATATTTGAGTCAGCAAGAAGACTCGCGACGGCGGCAATGCTGGATGGGTTCTTTGGCAAGATGTGATCCGTGTTCATGAGCATGGAACTGACGATACTCAGCACGAGGATAGAAGCGAGAAGCGCTTCAAGAACACGTGTTGACGCTGCGTCTTGCAACAGGCGCAGTCGGTTTGGCACGGTGATATTCCCTGGCAGAGGGGTATGGTCTTTCCCGTTGTCTGCTGCACTGCGAGAGTACTTGTTAAATATCTGTGCTTTGAGAATCCTATCCTGGTGCTTGATTGCCTTGATGACCATATCGATGGAGTCTGGGTTCACGAGATTCTCTGCTGGGATGGCATGTTTGCCCATAACCAGTGCTCTGAAGAACCCATCCAGGTTTGAGTTCTCGGTTATAGCATCCGTGACGTTAAAATTGTTCCAACTGATCCGCGGGACATTAACATCTTCGCTTGATCTCGCAGATGACTCGTCAGGAATTGGGGGATGGTCATCGGTGATGTCAAAACCAGGCAGCAGGAACCGTGTCGCAGTGTCGACTGTTTCGACGGCTTCAATACAAGTCATCGCACTTATGTCCCCGATGGAGTCGTTTTGGATATTTCCCCAGATATACAAGGTTGCGGGTTTGGAACTGTGGCTGCCGCATGAAAGCATGCTTGATTGCCCGAAAAGACCATGGGAGTTGAGAACGGCCAGTGAAGGAGCCAAGGAAGTTGATCCCATGTCCTCATCTGCCAGAGAACAGGGCATGCTAGGCGCAAGGACGCTGAGTTGGTAGATTGACTCGTTGCCATAGTTGACCTTCGTGAAATTCCACTGCAGTTGGCGGCCTGTTTGAAAATAACAGGCGGGAGTGGCTCTTAAGGCAGGCATCCGAATGTCTATGAATAAACCCTCTGTCTCATTGCTGGACAATGGCGTATCCACGAAAAGCTCAGGGAAAGCAAGCTCTTCGTAGGTCCAGCGGGGGAAATTCTGAATTTTGTGAAAGACGTGTTTGGCAACAACCATGCTGGGACTTTGATCAGCGTCTGCTGAATTACCTCTGTAAAAAGTGGTCTCTTGTGTGAAATTCATACTGATTTGGTGGGGAACCTCGATTGCAGAGTATAAACCGCTTGCAACGATGACTAGGAACGAGGTGATCAAGGTAGCCAATGCAGTAGCTAGAACAGCAAAGTGTCTTGTACGGATTGAACGGATGATGCTGGTGATAACGAGTGAATCTAGATAGTTCACCGTCATGGATTCCTCAAATAGCGCGCCGGCAGGCCGTTGCAACTGTGCGTAGGGTGCTAGGCTCCGGGTGTTGAAGTCCATCCTCCCGAGCAAAAGACCAATGCTAATCATGACTAGCGAGGGAATTATCGTCCACAGGTAATGGTGATATGCATTGGAGACTTTCCCCAGTCCATCGTTCTTTTGCGAGATATGCAATGCAATCTCCAAGGCCGCAATAAGCAATGCGATTGCAATGAAGATTACAACGCGAGCAATAAGATCAGGAAATGGTGCCCATGCCGGAATTTGGGTTTCTTGGTCGTCGAGGGTTATGTGATTATTTCCTTCTGTTTTGATCAAGAAGCCCTTGGGCGCAACTTGGGAATAGTAGCGCCGCTCTTTCAGACTATCGTGAAGCGCATCTGATGGAGCCACACTGGTCCCGCGAAGGGATCGACAAATTTCGTCGCTTTTTGCCATGATTGCGGCAACAGATGAGATGGAAGTTGGGTTCCAAGGTGCGATAGTCATGTGTGGCCCCAGAAAGATCATGAAAACCGCTAGCAAGATCCCTAGTATCAGGCAGACCTCCATCACACGGAGGGATAGCTGTGTCATGGCAATTCGATTTTCATTGATAACAGCCTGTCCGATGACTGAGTGAACTGGGTCCGATGATCGATGCACTTGCACCGTTTGCAATGAAAACAGGCCGGTCGAGAAAATGATCAAGAGACGCAGAATCATAGAGCAGGCAACTCCAGCAGCCACATCAAAGTGCTTGTTTCTTATGGCTTTGACGATCGATGCCAGCTGGAATTCGGATATATAGTCCAAGAGCATGGATTCCCTGGCATGGCCGGGATTCGCAGCCATCGATTTCCATGGCGCTCTTTGCTTCACTTGAAATTCAACACGCGACCAGAAGGTAGCGATAACAGTGAATACGGCAGTGGGTCCGTAAGTCCAGAGGTAATGGCGGCTTTTGACAGAAGAGATAATGTCATCAGGAGCTTGAGAGACATAGTTAAGTACTTCAAGGGCAGCTATGACTCCACAGAATACGACCACGAACACGATCAACACCCGTCGCCGAAGGTAGGAAGGTCGCCATCCAGATATCTTATGTTCGATCTGTTGCAATTGGGATGAAGGATCCTCGAATTTGCAGCTCAGATTAAGCATCTTGCTCAGAGAAGGAATTTTGATCGATATGGCCTTTTTTCCGTTAAGTGAGGAAGATATAGGGGATTTGTACATCAGGAAGTCTCCGCGACAGGAGCCATTGGCTTATGTAGCCATGAGGCTTCCAAGGTTCCAGGGCTTATACCAGACCAGTAGTACGAGGACCTGAAAGTCTCAGTCTCAGACTCATTGGCTCCCAGGGGTGTTTGGACGCTTGGTGAACGCATGCTATGATGTATGAAAGAGCAAGGTTGGCAAGCCGAGCAGCAACAGGCAGCTTTCGAAGACTGTTAAGTTCGTACGCTGCGCCTATACCCCTTCATCCGTCTCATGAGAATATACACCTGTATTCTTCATTTCTACCATGTTTTACTCGGACTTGGCCCTTCCGTTAAAAGGAGATTGAGACATTTCAAGACAGGAGACAGCGTCTCACATGAATAGGATCCCACTTTGTCGGTAATGGATGTGAGAATTGATTTGGTCTATACATATTTGGTCTATGTATAGACCAAATCAACACTTTTCCATCCCACATATTCTCAAATCGTTGGCAATCGATGTCTCATCCACCATGCAGGTGGCGGGATATCGAAGAACAAACAATGCAAACAATTTGTGTATGATCAATTTTGGCCAACTTCAACATTTAGAATGTTCATACAATTGTGATCAAATCCAATTTATAACAGCATCCAGTCTTTAGCAGACAGCTCGAGTCCCTAGTTTTCTTCTCTAAAGGTGGCTCGCTGGTCTCCCACAAAAATCAGCCTTGGAGCCGTCACCGGATCGAATTATTAATCCATCCCTTCTCCGGAAGGTCAAAAAGTGCAGCCAATAAACCCATTGGAGCGCATTTGTTATTCGCATATTTAATATGGCTGCCGTTGCACAAGGACATCAGGTCCATCCGGATGGTCGGACGTGGAAGAGTCATTTTCCCAAGGGTGATCTCTGGGTATTTGGTTATGGGTGCGTTAACTCATTGTTCCAAAATGGTGTCACTGAGCTGTCGAATATCGAACATCAAATACTGATCATGTTTATAGGAGCTTGATCTGGAAACCACCTCCACATTATGGTACGCGATTGCTCAATGACAGCACTAAAACGAGACATCGTATTTCTCGCTTCTGATCAGAGCATCAATCAACTAACTATATCGTCTAGACCAGCGCGTACCGGGCTATATTAGTGGCTATGTGCGGCGTTTCTGGCAGGTGCGTGAACCATTGACTTGAGGGAAGGGCTTTATACATGCCCGTGTTCGAAACGGCCAGACTAACATGTGGTTATTGTCCATGAATTCCAGGCTAGGTATGTTGTCCACCGTGTTTAATATGCAGATATTGCCATTAAATCCTACGTACTGAGAATCGCAATCACTAACTTACTCCCCAAGTACCGATCACCGCGGCACCCCCGAGCAACCAGGCCGAGTAGTCACCGTAATTGAGCGAACCTTCTGGGAGACCCTGGACGACCCGGTATGTTCTACACCCGCTCCTATTCACACCACCGCATTAACATTTCCCCTCAGCTCGCCCACCTAGAATCCGAATTATCTACCACAGGCAAAGTCTGGGGCGCAGCATACCACATCCCAGCCTCGCACGCCGAAGAAGTCCACGACTACCTTGACGAGCGGGAGATCGACGGGTACAGCGCGCACTACACGCCCTTCCACCCGACAGTGGATGTCGACGGATCCGGGTCCTCTCCAATCATCTGCATGGTTTACATCGGCCAGCCGACTAACCCGCAGTTCCTGCGTGACGCAGCTCATCGCGAGCCGCAGCATGTGGCGCAGGTTATCAGCGCTGGGCATGGATTGAGTGGGAAGGGTTCTGAGTATTTGTTCTTGTTGGAGAAGGCTCTTGAGGGTCTTGGACTTGGGACTGCGGATGTTCATGTTACCGATTTGGTTAAGAGGGTCAAGGCTATTGAGGCTGAAGGACTTGCGGAAGTTGAGGAGGAGGAGGCTGGATTGAAGGTCACTAGGTCTTTGGGCTCGGCTGAAGAGTCGGGTCGTGGGGATGGTCGTGGGACCATTGAATGAGGTATATGCGTTGAGGATGTGTTGATGAGTTTGATGCTTTTTGTTGGATATAATATACATACGAATTTGCCCGGTAGAATATATAGATAGCGAAAGAGGCGATCGATCAAATGATGTAGGCCCTCTTTTCTCCGAAAGATAGTGAGGGAATCTATCGATATCCTTTATAGTGGTGAATCGAACCACTACAATCTGGAAACCTACATGAAGTGTGTACTATCTTGTTAGTTGTGTATGCTTTTAGCAATGGAAAATAGATTGTTTTCATAATATAGAGGGCATGGGAGTTGGTGTAATCCTGGTTTCGTCTGATCTTATTATAGAGTAGTTTGAGGTATTTCTCGCTGTAGAGGATTCCTGTTCTTCTTGGGCGGGAATTGATTCTCTATAAAGCAAGGATACCCAGTGAGAATCGCATCTCGCATGAGTATAAAGGTCGCCAAATATAATAGAATATTAGGTAGTAATAGTAGTAGTAGCAGGAGATGTCTGATCTTCTCCCCGGAAAAAACCTCGTGATCGTGGTAGTTCGGTTGATCACCCGTAACCCTTGCTGGATACATATTCAGATTATGCTTAAATATTCATCAAATCACCAGTCTCGGCTCGTATGCTTCGTAATAGGAAGAATATGCCGTGGAACACAAACAGACATTGCAGATATGAAACCACACGGGTCATTCTGCCAAAGCGAGAAAAAAAGCCTCAAAACATTTGCAGGTGAGATAGAGCGAAATGCAGCCGTGTAAAACCTCAAATCTGCATCCAATAAAGTCAAATTAGAGCAAGAGACCCATGTTACTTTCCTAACAAGTCGAGCGCAAAGAAAAATAACAAATCCCCCGTTAAAAAATTCAATACCAGGGTAGCACGCGCTGTTCTTCATCTTCCACCATATTCCAGCCGTTATAGACCGTCACTTCTTTTAGAAGGAATCGCCGAAGAAAGAAGACGCATAGGGAAGGACTGAAAGGACCTCAATCATCTAATGTTGACCGTCTTGAGGAGCCTGCTCGTGGTTGTTCCCGCGCCAGCCTTTGGATGTCAGCTAATATCGCTATCAAGATATCACGATCGCTCACCTCCACCACCGCCATACCCGGTATTTGGGCCACCACCTATATAATTGATTAGTAAAACAACAACAAACGTTGGCATAAAAAAGAACTAACCATAACCACCGGGACCTGCGCCGTAGCCAGCGGGACCGCTAGGGGCGAAGTTGTTGTTGTACCCACGGTTGTAGCCGCCCCCGCCATTGTATCCACCAGCGGCTCCGTTATTATACCCGCCGTTATTGTATCCAGCGTAGCCACCTGCCGCACCACCCTGATAAGTAGATTGGGGCTGGGAATTGTATCCACCGCGGCCCTGGAAGCCACCTTCGGTGCGTTGGGGGCGGTCAAACGCCTTGTCAACGCGAATGACCCGTCCGTCGAATCTGAACAACGGATGAGATTTCTCTTGAAGTAAGACGAATGTGAGGTTGAATGATTACTCTTGGTTGTTCATGGCGTTCAAAGCAGCGTCCGCCTCCGCGTCAGTAGCAAAGCGGACAAATCCGAAGCCGCGGCTGCGCAAAGTCGCACGGTCCTTCACAACAATCTGTAGCCAGTCGAGTCAGTGAAAGCCCAAGAAACATGACATGTACTTTAATCAAGGCAGACTGACGGCTTCTTGGATCTCTCCAAATTGCTGGAACCCCTCGCGCAAGGTGTCATCGCTAGTATGCCAAGAAAGGCCGCTAATTTCCATCGTAGCAACGGTTAGACTGGCTTGTACTAGCATGACTATGTTCTCAGATAGATAATACACACTGAACAAAGAGCTTAGACATCGTGTTAAATGTCTAACCGAGGAATTTGGAAGAGAGACAACGCTTGAGGCGTGATCACTAGAAGATGAGGGTGGAAGGAGATGATCAAAAAGAAGGGAAGGATAAAAATCAGATTCAGTCCGGGTTACGGAATAAGAGATCCTAGTGGTTAAGAGGCGAGTCAGCCAGTCCCGTGTAACAATCACACTGCGTTAGGGCTACATTGATGGGACTTTTCCACTGGTCGGAAACGGCAAGTCCACAACGAATATAATGCTTACTGTGTCTTTGTTTCGGCTGGGAGCTTGACTATAGTGAGCAAAGTCCGGGCTCAGGCCCAAGAGTACTCCGAAGTGGGGTGAGAGATGATACAGAGATACGCCAAATCCAGTCCCACGGGCTAAACCTTGAGCTGATGGAATTGCGGGTCTTGTCGGGCTTCAGCAGTCAATCAGATGGTATCCAAGGCTCCATCGGAATTGGCGGCACTAAGACCAACGGCTGATGTACCTTTGCTTGCCCCTCACTTGGAAATGCGAGGGATTCTGGGCTGGATTGCATAGAGCAGGGATAGCACCGAAAATAGCACCTGGATTCTATTGAGAATCCTTGTACGGAGTACGGGGTGGTAAGAATTACCACTCCGTATTTCTTTAGCAAGTCCGTTCTTGAAAACGCCATCTTGAGTGGGGTCTCCACGCATGGACTGGAATTTTGGGTAGATTGCCCGTACCTCGCATGTCTATGCGTGATTGGTTGTATGCGAGTTTATGCATGGATTCTTCTCATTCGGTCGGAAATTGACTGCTAAAAGTTGGTTTAGCCATGTACACTGATCTGCATTTGATTACCACAATGGGTCTGTTCCAGTTCTGGCCATCAGCCCCAAAAGAGGTTTTGCGCGTGCATGTATCCGGGCAGATAGTGCTCCGTGGGCCCACATGCGGCTTGCGCCGTGGGCCGTGTACTGTATGCCGGGAGAGACCCCATGAAATGGCGACGATCGGCACAAGGATTGCGTCTATACAGTGTTGGCGTTGATGGAAGAGAAGGTATGGGAGAATAACAAAGTCTCTGATTAGAACCTTGGACGCAATTCATAGTTGACTCAGGCATTAATTCCCACCTACATGTAAGCCTTGAGAGAGAGAGAGAGTGTGTGTGTGTGTGTGTTAAAAGAGCACCAAGAGAGCAAACATTAGCAAATATGAGAGACAAAGAAAGAATGAAAAGATAGGATGAGCGGGACAAAGTTGAGCTGGTCGCGCTTTCTTCGGCGGTGACTGAAGTTATGTGCTTTCAGGTCACCTTTACTCTGTCTAGTTGCCCTTCCAGTCTTCATTTCTGAACACAGCCCAGTCTCATAGGGACTTCTTCAATGGAGAACAATAATCCAATTTACCAGTGGCTTTCCACTGTGCAAGACCATGAACAAAGGGGTCATCAAGATGAAGGCATGTTGCTGCCGCAAGAACTATGAAGCTTCCGCACTAACAGAGCTTTAGCTGAGAGCCAGGAACAAGCGAATGACACCACTCTCACAACGAGCATACCACGAGTTCGCATCCCACTTGAGATATCTGAGAACGTGCGTGGGAATGGACATTCAGCTAGCAGGAAAAGAAATTCATGTCAGCTCGATGAAACCAAAGCATCGTCCGCTCACGGGAACATACCTGGAAGCGAAAGTCATAAGAGATCTCGAAATTGCTACGAACTAGGGCCTCGACACAAGACGCGCGAGGATCGATACGAGTACAAAGGCCCATCATCAGCTATGGAGACACATCGCAAGAGAAGAGCCAAGAAACTCCAGGGCAGGAGACACACCTTGAATGATGACTTCCATGCCATCAATGTCACAGGAAACAGATTGACGGTAAGTAGGGTTTTGCAAATTTTTACTGCATATTACTTATGCCAAATAGCTGCGCAGCAATACGAATCTGGGTATATTCAGCAAGGGACGGTCTTCTACAACCAATCACCACGGACACAGCCCGTCAACAGCTCTTGCAAAGCCCACACCAAGTGTCAAGCCTCATAAGCATGCCGTAGAATCCGACCTTTCCTTTTCTGAGATGAACTTTCTGTCCCGGAGGAATAATCTCAGCCCGTATCCACCGTCGACCGCCAGAGACACTTTCGATGGACAGCATGAGAGAGAGTACCATCCACAAAAGCAACAGTTCAATGATCCTGCACATGACTCCAGACTCTCTCACTCAAACAGCAAGTTGCTTGATGTGGAACGCCAACTTGACTCCTCGGTCACACCGCTGTTCATATTTGAAAAGGCTCCCGTCAGCGAGATCTCCCCAGTTTCCAGCCACTCTCGGGGTGGTTCCCCCGAATGCCCCCATAAAAGAAGAAAGACAGCAAAACAATCATCATCTATTCCATACACTTGGACCGAAACTGAGGTGGACACCACGGAACACAGTCATGCCCTCGAACAACACCTGCTGAACTTGCTGCGTGTCGGACTATATCCCCAAGCGCTATGCTCTGAGATCACAAACACTGTCTTGACCAGACGGTATTGGAGTCTCGCTGAATTACGGGCACTGTTGGAGGAGAGAAAGGCATCATGGTCAAGTGAAGCCGACATAAGACACCGAGCTGTAGCCGAAGCCGCTCCACAGGAGGTTCCCGAGATCATTGCACCTGATAGTTTGGACGTTGTCAATGTTGGTAGTGTACAAAATCAAACGTCTAAACAATCCCCGGATTCGAATGTCGCTTGTGAGACAACTTGCCGTGTGAACAACGGTCTACCACAACAACCTTCAGTCCTCGAGCGACAACAAGACGGGCCATGTCAAGCTTCAGATAAACCGAGGGGTCTAAATTCTCAGGCTGACAGCACATCAAGCCAAGGTCGTTTCATAGACATCTTGAATGAAGATCAGTGTGAACCCTTGTCTCAGGAATTGATCGAGGATGAAATCATTTTTCCTACATCCGTACCAGAGGTCGAACAGCCGCATATGTCTGGCATCGAGTTTTATGAGCTAGATCGAGTTGATGATGATGATGATGATCTGTTCTATCGCACGCTTGATGCTGCTTACCACGCCATCGTGCACCCTGGGGTTGCGGCAGAAGTTGCATTAAATTTACAGCAGCTACTTGAATCCCCCGAACTAAATGGCGCCGATCTTCCTAATACCCCAGAATTGACTGGTGTTCGGGACTCCGATATTCCATCCCGGCGAGTAAAAGTGGGAGAGCCAGAGTGTTTGGCAACGGTCTCCCAAGCCATCATACAAGAACGGTTTGATGAAAGACCACCTGCCCCTTCTTGTCAACAAAAGCTCTCCACGGGTCATTCGGACGATCCTTGGGTTGGCCAGAACAATGATTTGCCATGGCTGACTACTGGATACGGCCAGTTACAACCGCGTGGGTCAACTGAATTTGATGCGCGACAGAGTCAACCTCCAGGATTATCTGATTTCTGGCGACAGAACAAATTGTATTGATCTTCAACAACAGCATGTTTATTGATTTGGACAGTCGAAAGTGTCAATAGCAACGTGATCATATTTGCATCAATCACGAATCATATCAAGACAAAGTATCGCCAGCTTCATGTACATATCTATGTAGTTAGCTTAAATTTAGCTGTCAATAGATATTGTGAGTACCATGACATACAAGATAGCGTGAACGAGGGCAACCTTCCCTTCGAACTTGTATGATCAGGCCAGAGCCTGTAACAGTGATCGAACTAATTCAGCCCAATATTGACTCAACACAGTTCATCTCAACCAGGTCCCTCAACATCTCATCCCCCAAAGGATCTACAAGTCAATAATGGTCTAGAAGGCACACTGCTGCGCTGGCTTATTAATCTTGATGAGGGTTGTTGAATTCATTGGGTATATAACAGTCTTGGATAAGGAAATTAAACACATCATCAGATGGCTCAAATCCAAATGCTTGTCTCTATTCAAGCTATGGAATTGACCTATCCATATATGCCGCCGTTGGACGAAGAACAATTGCAAATCACGGGGGATCGAAAGCCAGGGAAAACAACACTGGATTCGATTCCGGGTCCCCATGCAACGCTAGATACAACCAGCGCAAGAGTTATTGGGAGTTTGGATTGGATTTGAATCAATCTTGTAACTTTTGGGTCGTGGATATGTTGCGGAGTCCACAAAAATAAGTCGGGTCGGTCTTGTATAGTGATTCGAACGCTGAGAGGTGGGTGTCGTACGGTTGACGCTGGCACGCTTGAGAAAAATGACATGCAGCAAGTGCTTACAAGGCGATTGGGACTATAATCTATCATAGAGTCGCAGCCGCCTCGATCACACCGGCTGCCTTGAATGCAGCCGGGTTCTGCATCACCACCTCAACCGGGTACTGCCACTGCATGAATCGCGTCCAACCTAAAAGGTTAACCAATTAGCAAGTTACATTTCACATATAGATCATGAAGCTCGTCGGTGTCACATACTCCAATATGCGCATCGTCGACCCAGGTATTTCCCAATGAAGGGTACCAGGACCATACTCAAAAGCAGCTCCAGTTGTTCAATGCTTTCTTGCCATTCTGCCTCGGCATCAGATGAATATTCAGACAAGGTATCGAGGTCGGAGTCATTTGTAGTTTCTGAAGGGAGGGAGGCAAGCTCGTCGTCGGACTCGGAGTATGAGTTCCTGGAGGGGACCATGTACGCGGACATCGAGAAGGAGGGATTCGAGCTGTCTGGAGAAGGGAAAGACATCATGAAGATTTTTGTAAAGAGAGGAAGGTGCGTGAGTGAAGGGAAGCGATGTTGATCAAGCAGCGGCCTGCCTACTGCGGTTATACGTAAATGAGAGAGCAACTGTTTGCCTTCCAAGGTTGATCGACCGGCACAGCCAAGCTCCGTACCTAATCAGCCACGTGACATGTAATCTCTGTGACTCAGTTGGGAGTCACGTGCCCGTACGGCGATAACAGAATCGCCTTCAGGCCTGGCGATATCAGATTCCAGCGACAATTTTGCCATTTTAAACTCTTGCTCTAGCTACTCGAATTCCCGACAACCTTATCTCGTCTCCAACAAACCGTGGTTGAGTGAATAGCATCTTTGAAGCCTATAAACATGGCGGACGCTGTACGTCACACCCTTGTCTTTTTACCGACCCTCCCACAATTTCTTTGAGTCTGCACAATATCGACCCCTCGGCCGCCAACCACAGTGATTCAAGAACACATATTGTTGAGCCCGGGGTTAGAACTGGTACTTTTTATTGAAAAGCCAGGCTATACGATTTCTTCTACTCATTCTCTTTTTTCCCATCACTAACGCCTCTTTTTCCCGCTCCGCTCAGGATATCGAAACTAAGCAGCGCAAGTCGGTCGCATTCAGCGAAGGATCGGTCATCATGGATACCAATGGCCAAGTCACAGACACCCCTCCGGCTGAGAACCCCACAGGCGGTATGCAATAGCTCTCCGATCCCAGCCTCAGTCCCCCGGTCGCCTTTGCCTCAGCCCCACTAACGATCTGGAATGTACAGAGAAGGATGTCGACGAGGTCACCGAGATGTTCAAGGGTCTCTCAAAAAAGAAGAAGTCCTCCAAGAAGTCTAAGTCCGCTGAAGCTGGCGATGACGACGAAGCCCCCGCCGCCGCCGATGGCGAATTCGATCCCTCCGCGCTGAAGAAGAAGAAGAGCAGCAAAAAGACCAAGAAGGTCGACCCCAACGACTTCGATGCCAAGCTCGCTGAGGCTGGTATCGCTGAGGAGGCTGGCGATGATCAGCCCGAGGAGCTGCCCGAGGGCGACCTCGAGGCCGGTACCGGTATCTGGGCACACGACGCCACACAAGCCATCCCCTACTCGCTCCTCGTCTCCCGCTTCTTCTCCCTCATCGAGAGCCACCACCCCGACCTTCTGTCCAGCGGCGCCAAGTCCTACAAGATTCCCCCGCCCCAGTGCCTGCGTGAAGGTAACCGTCGTACCATTTTCGCCAACATTGCCGATATCTGCAAGCGCATGAAGCGAAGGTTCGTTATGCCCTCACCCATTTATCCGTTGAGATCTCCTCTAACTTTCTTTCTCAATCAGCGAGGAACACTGCACCCAATTCCTGTTCGCCGAACTCGGTACATCAGGCAGTGTCGACGGTTCCCGTCGCCTGGTCATCAAGGGAAGATTCCAACAGAAGGGTATCGAGTCGGTTCTGCGTCGCTATATTGTTGAGTACGTCACATGCAAGACCTGCCGCAGCCCCGACACCGAGCTCAACAAGGGAGAGAACCGTCTCTATTTCGTTACTTGCAACTCCTGCGGATCCCGTCGTTCCGTCGCCGCCATCAAGACCGGTTTCCGTTCCCAGATCGGCCGCAGAAAGCGTGTGGGCTAAGCGGATGGAGCTGTACTGGAAATTTGCGAAGGAAGGGCTTGTTTTTATCTCTTCCTTATGACGTGTCACTTACTAGGGCTTTTGCGGGGTGGAAACAAGGCGCTGTTGCTTTGCTTTTTACCCTGAGGTGCTTGAGATGAGCAAACGATTTGAAGAATAAAAAGTAGTTTCGCATGAAATGGACTGGTGTCATTTTATCTTGCCTTTTGAGGCTGTATGATCTTGTATCTAGAATGTTTGGGATTTTGGTTGAATCGCCAGCCACTCTTCACGATTATTTCATCTTTGGTTAAACTCGTCCAGAGAATTGACACATATGGGTCTAATCCTGCTCTTCGGTTCATAGGTCATGGACTAGCCAGTATCTGACTATTGCTCTGTCCCTTGACCTAGTTGACCAGACATGCACGGATGAAAGGTCTAACAATATAGGCTGGTGAGTATATAGTATGTCAAACTCATTTGAAATTTGGACGGTAACGCTGCAAAAATACATAATAGTTCCACACAATAATTCCACATGAAATGCACTGATATGACCAGGGCATCCGCCTATAACATAGCAAATTGGTATAAAATGGAGACCTGCTCGCGATTGGGCCTGTGTCCGATGCATCGAATAAGTATACAACAAAAAGACATGATGACAAGTTAGGATGCAACTTCGTTTCTCATGAGAGTAAAAGTCGAGGTATGGATTTAGCAAATCGGAATTCGCTGGAACTACTTTGTTCTGGTGGACTGAGCGCACCAGAATCAAGCACCTCCAGTGCTCATTTTCATCTGGGCAGCGAAGGCATTCAGGTTTCTGGTCTGTAGATAAACAGTTCCAGGCCCCGTAAACCTACACGCAAGACCCTCTCCAGAGGTAATACCGGAGATGATACCGCCAGAGGCCACACGCTCCATCTTGTACTTGCAGTTCCACGCCACAAGATGGCCATTATCGACGAAGTATGACTCGTCTTCGCGAAGCTTTGTAGAGAAGGAGAGTTAGACGAAATTCCTTTTGTCAAGGTCACCGGGTATGATTGACTTACGTCTTTCTGGATGATTGCACCAAAGCTCTGGACCCAAAGTAGTCCGGTTCCTGTTATCTTGTAGACGAAAAGTCCCTCCCCGGAGAAAACACCTTTGGATAAACCTTGGGCCTGGTACTTATGTTCGATACCAGCGGTATGTCCAAGGAAGGCGTCACGTCCGATTTTCCATTCATCCGGTTCCTCCATCCGAATAACCATGATATCTCCCAACATTGAAGGTGCCACCAGGAGTTCACCGGGACCGGTGTAATGGGACATGGTCATACTGCCCCCAATGATGAGTTTCTTCCATGAAAACGAGACGTTTCCTCTCAATGTAAGCGTTGGAGACATTGCAATCATCGCACCTAAGAAATCAAGCCAGATTAGTTCCTCCTCAACACATAATTCGACCGAAGATAGCAACCAGAGCACATCTGTGTCTAAGGGTGGTAGGAATGAGCTTACCAGGTCTCATAGTCAAAGGACAACCCATTGCCAGTTGCACTGTCAAAACAGAGTTGGTATCTCGGTGGCTGATCCTGAAACTTCCGCCGTTGAAAACCCCAGTATCATCTTGGTTGGTTTCCTTTGCTCCACTAAATTCTCCATATGCCGGGGCTCCTCCGGGCATTTTTTGCATTCCAAGAACTTGATTTTGTTCGAAAGCAGCATTATTGTGCCTGGTGATTGGATCCTGAGGTGGGCTCACTGACTTCGGGGGAGCTGCATATACCCCAATTGGAGGGGCTGCATATCCCCCACTAGGGGTGTGTCGATGAATTTGTGGGTTGCCTACCGGTGGAGTGGGCGAGGGATATCCTCCATTTTGAGGCGGTTGCCCTGGCGGGGGTGCATAGTAGGGGGTGGGAGCCGCAACTGTTGGGTTCTGGGATTGTGCAAAGGCTAAAATGTTCAGTACTAGGGCAGTAGGGACACGATTGGAATTAATTACTGGTTATATGGGCCGGAGCTAAACAGATGGTCAGTATACGGGTTCCTATAGTTTATAGAAGCACTGACCTGTCATGGGTGGCGGAGGGTAGTGTTGTTGAGACATTTCGTTTGGACAATTTTGGTATACAGTTTAGATCTAAACACCGAGATGTCTGGTTTCCTACAAAGGTACTTCTGGAATTAGAATACAAGTGTGCATAGGCACAAAGCATTAGAGATCAAACTCACTGTGGGGTAGAATGTTGACAAGCTGGAAATTTATAGCTTTTCCTGTATTATTTTGAGGCAATGGAGGATCAATGGCTATTAAAATGGCGAGTTGTAAGAACGCGTAAAATCGAATCCAAGCGGGTTTCGCGGGGTCATCTCTTTTTAAAGGGGAGCTATTAGCTTCCCCTCATACTATTCTTAGAAGTTCTCGAGAGCAATTCGGCCGTGTGACGAGGCTTGCAGCTCACAGTCAATACACACTACTAATCCCCACCGGGCGCTAAATGCATGTGGGCGACTTGATAGGCGCATGCTATGCATCCTTTTTCGCCGAATATCTTTTCGCCGAATACGTTAATGTAGCTCATTCGTCGGAATATCATACAATGTATGCCACCAAGCTACCAAGTCCAAAAGAGACTTTGCCCAGGGCTCGGCAAAATATGAGGGGCTGATTTACGCATCAGCAGACTCGATGTCGCGTCTAGAGTGTGAAGAGATTAGCAATTACCAAACATTCGATTTACAGGCAATTAGAGGGCAACATGAACAGATTTATAAAGTCGATGTAGAATATTCGCTGTTATACACAAGTTCCTAGATGTTACTAATCTCTCTGGAAGGTAGTGAGTGGCACAACGTGATACCTCATGGCTGTTTGATACCGTCTTCTAATGTCCGAGACAAGAACGATATTACCTCAGTATAATCAGATTGCAAGGCATGGTCCAAAACTGTTAATCCACTATCATCACGCAAATCAAGTCTGGCTCCGTTATCCACGAGCAATTGCAACATCGGGATCGGGTTCTCTTCGTGAATGGATAGCATCATTGCAGTACGATCAAATTGACCTCTAGCATGGACATTTGCTCCTTCTTTGATGAGGAATTCAGCCATCTGAACCTGATTATTTGAGACGGCTGAAAGGAATGGTGTTAAGTCGTCTGACCCCCGCGGGTCGATTTCTGCGCCATGGGATAATAGCAGCCGGACCGTATCAGGATGGTTGTTTTTGGTTGCCCAATGTATGGGACGGAGGCCAGCATGGTCTGGGATCTCAATGTTTGCTCCAAATTTTATAAGCAATTTCACAATGTCGTCAAATCCTTCATGGGCAGCGATTGCAACTAAACTGATCTTCATCTGTTGTATGTTGCCGTTTGGGTCGGCTCCATTCTTCAGTAGCAGTCGGCTTCCCTCGATGTCATTGGAACAGACCTGATCGTTTAATGCTGAACGATTGTCTGGACCTGTTGCCTCGATGTCCGCGCCATGTCGACGAAGTATATCAAATACTCGGTGAGATTTAGTCCTTGCTGCAAGGCTGTACCCAATCCGAACAAGGACGGGAAAGTCTTCACCAAGCTCCACCCATCGCAACAAAATGAAATACAACAAAGCGTCGAAGTTGTTCCTGGTCACCCATTCAAAGCCCAGAGCTTCGTCCTCGGAGTATTCTTCGCGATTAATGTCATCGACCTTACGCAGCATGAGCCAATCTTTCACAGCACGAACACCCTTTTGGACTTCCTTCGGGTCTTCATTCTGATCTTGTGATCCTTGCAGATCCTGACACGCATTGAGCAATTTCAAAGTGGGTTGGCAAAATGCAGTGCCTGGAACATTGGCTGAAATGTTCCACGCAATCCATCCAAGCTGGCGCGAGAACGAGCTCCACCATTCGACACGATCCTGGGATACGGAGCTGTCTAAGGGAGGCAGACTTATGTGGGCTTTAGTGAATTGATCTCTGATGTCGTGCCTGAGAAGCAAGGATATCTGTGCGAGTCCTTCTTCGAGAACATGTTTATGTGTATCCAAAAGTGCTCGACGGCAAAGGAAACCTAGTTCATAGACTGATCGCTCAAACTGTGAACCCTCTGACCGCTGGCAGATCCAATGTAGAAGCGTAAAGGCCCTTCTCCAATCACCTTGCCCAATTAACCGCTCCGTGCGCGCCCTGATCTTGGCCGAGTCTGCCGCAAGATCTGGTAAGAGGCCTCGATGTCTGAGAACGGGAACAATACATAGCAATGCATCCTCTCTTGAGCCCAAGTTGCTATTCTCAAAGCAACGTATTAGATCATCGATGCGAGTACTTGATGCTAAAAATGAGTTTTGCAACCCAGGAATAACATCAACCTCCCCGCCCAGATCATGCAAGTTGAGGAACAGTTCCTTGAGAAATTGGATGTAAATATCCTGGGCTACCATGGCTTCGAGCTCATTCGCCGTTCTGACAGCCAGGACTTTCCCATCGTAGGGAACATCCTTGGGCTCGAAACTGAAAAGGCGTGATGAATTATTATAACCTGTAGATGGTACTAGTCTCGCTTCCGTTTGCCTGAAGATCCATTTGTGAAAGTAGAGGAATGTTTCTTCTCTACTTGCCTCGTCTTCGCTCAATCCAATGAGGCGGCAAATAGTAGAGTTCTGCCAATTTTTATCTGACTTGTAAAGTGACCAAGTCCACAAGCCTAGAATCGCTTCCAGCTCGCTGGCATCCAATCTCCACCTCAGAGCGTCGCCGCATCGCATGAGACCGATGGAATATGTTCCTGGAGCTTGAGTAACAGAGCCTGGAGAGGATTCCTTGCACTTAAAGGCAAGTCGGAACCCAAAGGTCTTTCCGAGGTCCACTCCCCAACTAGACATCAAATCCATGGTAGACTCGATTGTCTCTGCGAGGTTATGGGCCATTTGGCGAATAGGCATTCCGTTCCAATCAACCCCTGTGCTCTGTTTTGAGCTAGTCGTGAGCTTTGCGAGCTGGGTTCTAGTTTGGATTAAGTGTTTGGCCAAAGGAGTTCCAAGATGGGGGGTGGATCTTGGTAAAGGCATATTTGCTGGCCGATCAGGCATCGAGGCGAGATCAAAAGTTTCCACTTTCTCAAGATAAAATGCAAAATAATCCATCTCTTGCTGCTTGTGAGACGTGAGCCCCCGGGCGTGTTTCATCTTATTTTCGTCCGGTTTCATTCTTTCTGTGCGTAGACAAGTACGTATAATAGACATTAGGAATGTCGATCCCAGCTGGGCTAGGATGACAGATGCATGAAGACCTCTCAGTCCGATGAACTGGAAGATGAATCCCATAATTGTTGATACGAGGGTAGAGTAAATCTCCAAATACTTCCTGTGAAATCTTCGATCTCTGACCGATTTGATGTAACGAAGTTTCTTGGTCATTGAAGAGTCGGGTCCCTCATTGACAGCCAAGAAAGCATTGAAAATCTGGTCACCAACATATTGATTACCGGGCTGCAGCCAGTATATCTTGCTTGGCTTTTCTGCTTTGAGGTAGAACTCCTTTGACGAACGCTCTATGATAAATGCACAGAAGAACATTCCGAGAAACAGAAAGGTTGTCCCGATGAGATAGAGCGGGTATGCATATGAGGCGACAGCTTTGTCGTCCTTCTTGAAATGCTGCGGATATACAAACACCGTGAGTGTAGCGTACATAACAGTGCCTTGGGAAGATCGTCAGTCTAATCTTAGGCTCAAGGAAGGACAAGTACTGACCAGCCTGCAGTACTCCACCAAGTATTGCAGCACAATGAAACCAAAATTGGTCTCTCCTCTTGATTCCTTTGTTCAATGACAGATTAGGAATGTCCAGTTTAGGCAGACCACTAGGAGGAACTTTGCCATTGCATGACCAAGCTTTTTCTCCGAGGGCATCTTTCAAGGTGCCAATTTTTGTCCCTTTTTCTCCAGTCTTAGGGTCCACATCCTCCCAAGCAACTATCTCCACGATCTTGGGCCGGCCAAAGACTCGTGTAATGCCACCATCGTTGAAGAGCTCCGCAGTGGATTCCGAGACACAAGGAAGTAGTTCGCTCTCGGCTTCAGCAGGACCCTCTTGTGCTCGTCCGACGAATGCCCTGAGAGAAGAACCTCCGCAGATCCTGATCACCGACACGACAGCAGTCAAGACCCCTAGCGGGGAAAGGGCAAAGATGACATTATCGAGAATACTGATAGACTCGGAGAGAAATTGTTTTGTAAGTCGTTCACCAAACAAGGTGATTAAAGGAGCCTTTGATCGAAATATCAGCACACCCACTCGGAACCTAATGCAGACAATATGAATAGAAGCATACCAAGTCCGTAGCAAGATTATTCGTGAAATCATCCCAGTTATCATCGGCCTTAGCAAAAGGAAACAAAGATATAAAAAGCAGTATAGAAAATGTCATAGAAAACATCGTAAATCAGCAACACATCAATTCATAATAAAACATAGACCATAGAACAGAATCAGCAGAGCATCCTCCAGCAAATGCCCAACGAGCGCTATCTTAAGAAAACAGCCCTCTCGATCTTCCATCCGCCATCGACAGGCATATTTTGCCGATCCCCACTCGATTCAGAGCAAAGTACAGAGCCTACATGCTCGCGAAGCGCCTCCGCTGTGGCAAGAATAGAACTCCAACTAATGATATCAAAAACATTATGATCATGCCTGCAATTTTGTGGGGGTATGAAACACACTAGGGTGCCTACTGCTGGCGTATAAGCGCTGCGCCGGCGAAAGTCCCCGTTGTCACTGCACTAGCTGCGACCTGCATCGCGCTATAGCACAGACTGCGGGTCTAGATGGGGGGCTGTTCTTTGGCCGGCGCAACTTATTCTTGATGCATAAGTAGCTTATGTGAAGTTATATTATATAGGATGTATGTTATGCTATTGTCATGTTTTTGTTTGGCACTTTCGCTTCTTATGCTGGGGCTCTGTAATGCAGGATTGATCGAATCCGAGCAAAGAGACAAAGGGCAGGACAAGTTTAGGATCAGGAATATGCATTTTCTTCTGCGCTAGGGCCGGTAGTATGGAACATGTGTGAAATCTGCGGAACTCGCGGCTAGGACAACCACAGCCTACCTTGGCATGGCGATGATAGTGACCTCGTTGCAGATAAATGGAGACGCCTGCTGTTATAGAATGCTGGAGTTTTCAAGAAATTGACCCTCCTAGGGTTGAAATTCTGATAGAAGAGGTGCGTTGTAGTATGTTGATCTCTGTGTTGAGGTCCAGTTTCACTTGTTGACCCGTTTATATATATTTTCGGATCAATCAATCAAATCCAGAAAAGAAAGGCTGGGATTGCGTATAGGGGGCAATCCAATCTAAACAGAATCTTGAATCAAATAGGGAATTTGTGATCGCGTATGGTGGATGTAAATGTTATATTTGATGTCAGGGCGGAGATTCGAAGATGTTGCCCAGGTGTCTAGGTGATTTAGGCTACTTAATAACACCCGACGCAACCCCTTGTCTCTCCTGACTCTCCCTACTCCGGTTTTTTTTTAAAACTTCTCTTGTCATTGTGGAATTGTCTTCTTCAATCCATACGACCCCTGCTCTTTCATAATGGCCGCCTCCAGCGAGTTCGCGTCTGCCATGACCACCCGGTCGCTCCGCATGGTCCGGACGGTATGGCTTCCCGGCTTCGTGTTCCTGAAATGCGATCCAGGTACTAATTCAGCATCATCTAGGAACTGGAATTTCTTGCCGATTCCGGTGTGATCACTCCCCGCCAGCTCTCCTCCATTCTATCACAGCTACCCAGCGATTCCGAGGCCTCTCGAGCGGTGAATGCATCATCGCCGCCCCGACAGCAGGCACAACCTGTGCCTGTTCAGCATGTTCCAGTGCAAGCACAGCCTCCTCCGGGCCCCTACACACCCTCATACTCGCCGCCTGTCTCACAGATGTCCAATGCGTCACTGAATGAAAAAGATACACTGCACAATCAATATGCAACCCCGCCCCCTGCGGCCCCTCCAGCTTATCCCCAAGTCCCGCCTGTCCTCGGTCTCGCCTCAGCCATGTACGCATACACACCTACCGATGCTGGTGACTTGGCCTTGCAGCCGCAAGATCGCATCCAGATCATCGAGCACATGAATGACGACTGTATGATATTCCCCTTTGATCTGATATGGATAGCAGCTAATGATAAATAGGGTGGCGTGGTCGCAACGAGCGCACTGGCCAGGAGGGTATCTTCCCTCGTAGCTACGTGAACATTGTGAATGAGAAGGCTGGTGTTTCTTCGCCTCCGCCTACAAACTATGGAAACATGCCTCTTGATGTCAGCCAGAGTGGACATTCTGAAAACCCCGAGGACCCAAAGAAGAGCAAGTTCGAGGAAGGAGGCAAGAAGTTCGGAAAGAAACTGGGCAATGCCGGTAAGTTTTATATACTTTTGGTACTCGTTTGGTTTCTAACTTGACATTAGCAATCTTCGGTGCCGGTGCTACTGTTGGCTCCAACATCGTGAACAGCATCTTCTAATCATACGGCCGGGCTATTATGCTGGGCATTTTGCTTCATATTCACTCTCATTGATATGGCGTTGGTGGCTTGAATTTTTGCTTTGAATGGATTGACTCGGTTCAATCAGCATCGCTTAGTGGCGGACTTATGGCCACACATTTTAGGGTCCCTAGTTTCAAATCCTAATTAGCTTATTGCGATACGATCCCGACCTAGGGATACATACATATTTCAGTCAATGCCTTTCCTGATGTTCTGGATCACATCCGAATTTGCCCTGAGCTTGAATCATAGATACGAAGATTTTACCTATGTAGGTCACTAGAGCACCCAATGGAAGCTAACTAAATCGGTAGATGCTACAAGTTTACTCCATGACTCCGACATGAATCGAGAAAAAAAAATAGAAAGTATGACTTTTAGGTTGAGAATAACTTCAGATTGCTATATACGTATCTGACCCAACTCAGACGACTGAGATGCAATGCTTTATACGAAACCCGCAGAAGGCCGTTATCTTGAGGATATGCCAGCGCAATCGATACAGGATATTGTATATATAAAGCCAGGGAGATTTGCTTAAGCGGACAAGAAACAAAAAGTAATGTCTTCTAGTTACTTGATTCTTAGATTGAGTTGCCAGCCCAAGGGTCTGTCCAACTTGTCTCTAGGGTTATACAATAATATGTAGGGAGGCTAAACCTATCCTGGTGCCCGACCATGTGCCCAGCCTCATCGTGGGGATTCTTGAAGACTCATTGTGACTCTTGTGCTTACTTTGGTACAGCACTGTACCTGATATGCCTTTTGAGAACGGCGATTGGTTTCTTGAACATATATTTTCTTGCCCATCTCTATGATATCAATGATTAGGGCTGAAAATGTCCACACACATAAAGCCTTATGACATCAACTTGTGGGTCGACTAACATCATTGTCTTGGTGATGATTTGAAGCGGACTATATCTCCATGCAGTATATGTAAATGACCAGGGAGGTAGTATTGTTGAACTATTTATACTATTGAACTCTAAATGGCCGTAATGTGAATCTGGAATGTATGTGATAGTGTGCATAATTGGAGGTGGCTGTGGCAATCGATGGTGGGGGATTTGCCGACGAGTATAGTGAACGCCCAAGACCCCCATTGAAATTTAGAAAAGAGGCGAAAGAGGCGAAATCCTGCAGAAATCTGCAATCAGCCATACAGAACTGATAGAAATAGGAAATGATTTCAAATGTAAAACCAAGTCGAGCCACAAGATGAACAGACGCTTTTGAACCAGATATGCGCTAGCCCTAAAGCGGACTAGCGCGGGCTCCCCTCCCTCGAGAAGCTTCTGTGTCATCGATATAAATTGCATTTCTGTCTTCACCCTCACACGACCAACGTCATCTCCCTACTCAACGATTATTCCTACCTACTTCAACCACCCACACTAAATTCAAATTTCAAAATGTCTGACTGGGAAAGCACCACCAAGATCGGCAGCAAGTTCCGCGGAGCAGGCGCTGCCCCCCGCGAGACCGTCGTCAAGGGCAAGAGTGCCCTGAACGCTGCCCAGCGCTCCGGCGGTGTCATCACCGAGAAGAAGTACACCACCGGTAACCTTGTACGTGAAATCTCCATTGAAACCTCGAAAAAAAAAACAATGAATCGTTACTAACACCCTCTCCAGGGCGCCAAGGCAGGTGCCCCCGAAGGCCAACACTTGACCAAGGTCGACCGCAGCGACGATATCGTCAAGCCCAAGACCATTGGCCACGCCGTCGCTGACGCTATCAAGAGACGCCGTACCGAGGAGGGCTACAAGATGACCCAGAAGGAACTCGCCACCAAGTGCAACACCACCATTACCATTGTGCAGGATTTCGAGCGTGGCACTGCCGCCCCCGACCAGAAGGTCCTCGGATCCATGGAGCGTGTGCTGAACATTAAGCTGCGTGGTTCAGACATCGGCTCAGAAAAGTTCCCCAAGAAGAAATAAACAATCGGGGTTGAGTCCGTGGTTTCATCCCTTACGGAAATGAGGCCGGGGGCAAATCTCAAGTTTTCTGCATTCTGCTTTTTTGCGCTCTATGACTGTCATGTTCCTTCTCCGTTTTCATGAGACGTCACTTTTTTTTTTTTGTTTTTTTCTACGGGTTTCTTTTTCTGCTGGTCAGATTAGCGCTGGCCTTGCATGGGAAACGGGTTTAGAGAAGATATCACGAAAAAAAAATTGTATAAATGAGATACCTCAGGTTTTGATATTATCATATGTTTTTTTTTTCCTCTTATAATTGGCATCCAAGAGTAAATTTGAGTAAATGGATGTTGTTTCATACCTTGGATAATATTTTTGTATACGAACTAGCGTATGTAGGTACTGGGGTAGGTATATACGTAGTGCTTTCCTACCTACAGAGGCGATTCCCGCCGTCGTGTTCTTTTTAATGTTAGCTAGGCTGTCTGAACGGGTTTGAAGATTTGCAAAGCTTTGATTTTGTCTATTTACCCGATTTTCATCTCTTTTGCGGAGGACCAGGACAGACATAAGAGCTCAAAAAATGAACCATGTCATCTTTTTATTAAACAAAGACACAAACACAAGGTACCAACTCCGATTGATCATGGAATCAATGAAATGAGAAAATCGTGGACCGGAAGGTCATCCCATTCCGTATGCGGGACTCGGGGGATCTGTCCCAAGTCTTTTCGCCTCGTAAACACATACACACGACGCATTCCAACTTTCTTCACCACATCCGCTCTTTTACTTCCGCGCTTGCTCCCGCTCGACCTCGTACATGAAGTCGAAGTATGACTTGTCGAAGTGGTGGACACGGACGTATCCGTCCTCACCACCGGAGGCGTATGCGGTACCGGCGGGGTGAACGTCGATGGTGTTAAGGGGACCGAAATGGCCACGAACGCGACCGACTTCATCTTCGAAAACCTAATATAATTATTAGTATGTGGCGAGCAAAGTCAAAACGCGTGTTTGTACTCACTCTGTGGTAGAATCGGGCTTCGAATTTACCCTGGCGGGCGGAGGTGGTGGTGACATCCATGGCGGCTTGACCACCACCAAGGATGACAAAGTCCTTCTTCGGTGTCACGGAAGCAGTGTTGAGAGGAGTGTCGGAGATATAGGTTTTGAGGATGGCGAGGTTGCGGGAGGACAGGAGCTGCATGTTATCAGCGGGGATTGCCTTATAGAATGATCTGCAAGAAAAAAACATACCTTGGCTGACTTGTCTTTCGACGCGGTGATGAAAGACAGACGATCGGGTGCGAATTGGATGTCGGTTATTTGGCTATCGAATTCGTGGATTTGCACGTTCTCGAGTTGTTCTCCAGACTAGAGATGGTATTAGCATCTCCACGCTCCTCAAAATCACCTCCATAAAAACATACCTTAGGATCATACTGGCTGACGCTGCCATCCTCGTGCCCCGCAATGATGTACTTGCTCAAGAAACTCCACCCCGCCACGGTGGCCTTGCTCTCCTCACAAACGATGGTCAGGGTGGGCTCGGCGGCCTGCGCGCTGAGGTTTTCGCCGTAGTTGATATCGAGAATGGCGATAGTACCGTTGAAACCCATGCGCTTTTCCGTCACGGCCAAAAGTCTGCTTCCATCGGGGGAGAATGCCACGCGCTTAACGGCTGTCGAGAATTCCCAGACCTTCACGCACTCGCCAGTCTTGATGTTCCATAGACGCACGGTGTTGTCTGCTGATCCGGTTGCAAGAAGAATGGTGTTGGGGCTGACGTCGACTGTCCAGACAGCACCCTGGTGGCCGTTGTAAGTACCGAGACGCTCGCCGTTGGCGGACCACCATGCGCACACAATCTTATCCTTCGAGACGGAGAAGAGGAGATCACCATCGCTGTTGAACTTGATTTGGGTCAGGGACCGCTCCTGTTATTATAGATGGGCTGCGGTCAGTCTCTGTGGATCCAGCAAGATTTCGAGGAAGTCAACGCACATGGCCGGAAAGCAAAATAGGGCGCATTTCGACGGGTAGATGATAGGAAATTCGAGATGGAGTATCGGAGGGGAAAAATCTGAGACGCTCGGCTCAGAATGGGTAAGGCGGAGTGGCTTTTTGGGGGGGTCAACCTCGTCAACCTCACTTTCTTTGACTAGTGAATTTCATCGCACACTCGGCCCTCAATGCCAAGCCTTTATCGGAGGCTAGGATATTCCGTATTCCGATATCTACACGTGATCTGGTACCTGAATACCCTAAGCCCTAACTGGTGCTCCCGAAAAGGTTAAAATGCGTTTTGGATGACTCATGCGGCTTAGATAGGTAAACATGCCTCAGGCAGAATTAAGGAGATCTTCGGGAAACCGGGAAACTCGCCGACTCTCCGCATGAGCTTAATTACAGACAAAGGAAGAGATCAGGTGAATGTTAGGATAATAATTCGGAATTAACAGGGCTGGATCTAATTCCGGTATATCTCCAGAGGGTTGCGTGTGAAATCGAGGCCTAATTGTTGATTGCTTGTCACAACGCCGGCAGCAAGTCCGCGGGTTCGCCCCAAGCAATTCATGCCATTCGTCCCCGCTGCCCTACCCCGCTGCACTTTTTATCTCCAAGTGCATGCGGGCACTGTCCGAAATCTTTCTTTCCTATCTCGTTCTTTTTTTCACTCTGTCCAAGGTGTCAGACAGCTTTCATCGTCCATTGAGTCTCCAGTGAACGTCAACTTTTCTTCTATCAACCCCGCTGTCTCACCATCTCGAACGTTTTCCGGGTTAGCAATGGCTGCCGCCAAGATTGATGGCACTGCCATCGCGAAGAGCATTCGCCAGGGGTTGAAGTCCGAGATCGAGCAGATTCAAGTGACCAACCCTAGATTCAAGCCCAACCTGGTCATCTTCCAGGGTAAGGATGTCCATCTTTGATTATGACCATAGGAGGGTTGTATACTAACATGTTAATTCTATCTAGTCGGCAATCGATCAGATTCTAGTTGGTTTATCTACAAACAGTATTGAGGAATCATTCAGACTAATGCTACTTAGGTACCTATGTGCGCATGAAGCTGAAGGCCGCGCAAGAGGTATGACTTGTTGTTTGGGATATTCGGAACATTCTCTAACCTTATTTACCAGGCCAACATCATCTGCACCTTGATCAATGTTTCCGAATCGAGCACAGAGCTGGAGCTCATCCAGGAAATCACTAAAGCCAACAATGACCCCGCGATCCACGGCATTCTCGTTCAATTGCCTCTCCCAAGCCACATGTCTGAGCATGCAATCACATCGACTGTTGCAGATGAGAAGGATGTCGACGGTTTTGGCGCAATTAATATCGGCGAGTTAGCTAAGCGAGGCGGTCGCCCGTTGTTCACTCCCTGCACCCCTCTGGCGGTTATGGAATTACTCAAGGCAAGCGGCGTAGACCCCGCTGGCAAGGAGGCAGTGGTCCTGGGACGCAGCGACATTGTCGGTAGCCCTGTGAGCTATTTGCTCAAGAACGCCGATGCTACCGTCACTGTCTGCCACTCCAAGACACCGGATATTCCCCGCATTGTCAAGAACGCTGACATTGTTGTGGCGGCCATTGGCCAGACTGAGCTTGTGAAGGGTGACTGGTTGAAGCCCGGTGCCGTGGTTATTGATGTTGGTATCAACTACAAGCCCGATGCGACTAAGAAGTCCGGCGAGCGGTTGGTCGGTGATGTGGAGTTTGAGTCTGCTTCCGCAGTGGCCTCGCAGATCACTCCCGTCCCCGGTGGTGTTGGTCCCATGACAGTGGCTATGTTGTTGAAGAACGTGGTTCATTCCACCAAGACCTACTTTGAGAAACAGAAGGACCGCCATGTCACTCCCCTTCCCCTTCACCTACAAACCCCCGTGCCTTCCGACATTGCTATCTCGCGGGCCCAGTACCCCAAGCCCATCACCCAGGTTGCCACTGAGGTCGGCATTGCCCCTCATGAGTTGGAGCCATACGGCCACACCAAGGCCAAAATCAGCCTCAGTGTGCTGGACCGCCTCTCCCATCGCCGCAACGGAAGATACATCTTGGTCTGCGGTATCACACCCACCCCTCTTGGTGAGGGCAAGTCTACCACCACATTAGGTCTCACTCAAGCGCTTGGTGCCCACCTGAACCGCATTTCCTTTGCCAACGTCCGACAGCCTAGCCAAGGCCCTACATTCGGCATCAAGGGTGGCGCCGCTGGTGGAGGCTACAGTCAGGTCATTCCTATGGATGAGTTCAATCTCCACCTTACGGGTGACATCCACGCCATCACCGCCGCAAACAACCTTCTCGCTGCGGCTATTGAGACTCGCATGTTCCACGAGTCTACGCAGAAAGACGCAGCTCTCTACAAGCGTCTTGTCCCTGCCAGCAAGGGCACGCGTGAATTCAAGCCCATCATGTTCCGACGTCTGAAGAAGTTGGGAATCGAGAAGACCAACCCAGACGACCTCACCGAGGAGGAAATTACCCGCTTTGCCCGCCTAGATATCGACCCAGAGACCATCACATGGCGCCGCGTTCTCGATGTCAATGACCGTCACTTGCGTGGTATCACTGTCGGCCAGGCTGCCACTGAGAAAGGCCACTCCCGCGAGACTGGATTCGATATTTCCGTCGCCAGTGAGTGCATGGCCATTCTTGCCTTGAGCAACGACTTGGATGATATGCGTGAGCGACTGGGTCGTATGGTGGTTGCCACTTCTAGAAACGGCGACCCCGTGACTTGCGACGATATTGGTGCCGGTGGTGCCCTCGCCGCCTTGATGAAGGATGCCATCAAGCCAAACTTGATGCAGAGTTTGGAAGGCACTCCTGTCATGGTTCACGCTGGTCCATTTGCCAACATCAGCATTGGCGCCAGCTCTGCCATTGCCGATAAGCTTGCCCTGAAGCTTGCCGGTACTGAGCCTGATGAGGATCACGAAGCCAAGACCGGTTTCGTGGTCACCGAGGCTGGCTTTGACTTCACAATGGGTGGTGAGCGCTTCTTTAACATTAAGTGCCGCTCCTCCGGTCTGGTCCCGGACACTGTCGTTATTGTGGCTACTGTCCGTGCACTGAAGGTTCACGGCGGCGGCCCTGAGATCAAGCCCGGTGCCCCTCTGCAGGAGGTCTACCGCACCGAAAACGTGGATGTTCTCCGCAAGGGTTGTGTCAACCTACGGAAGCACATTGCCAACGCCAAGCAGTACGGCGTTCCGGTGGTGGTCGCGATCAATAAGTTCGAGACTGATACCGAGGCTGAAATCGCTGTCATCAGGGAGGAGGCCATCGCTGCTGGCGCCGAGGATGCTGTCCCTGCCAATCATTGGGCTGAGGGTGGAGCCGGCGCCGTTGATCTGGCCAAGGCTGTCATGACTGCTAGCTCCAAGGAAAAGAACTTCCAGCTTCTCTACGGACTGGATGGTACTATTCAGGAGCGCATTGAGCGCATTGGTCAGGCCATGTATGGTGCTGAGAAGGTCGAATTCAGTGAATTGGCCCAGAAGAAGGTCGACACCTACACCAAGCAAGGATTCTCTAACCTGCCGATCTGTATCGCCAAGACTCAGTACTCACTCAGTCACGATCCAGCCCTCAAGGGTGCCCCAACCGACTTCACTGTACCGATTCGGGATGTTAGATTGGCTGTGGGCGCTGGATACCTGTAAGTTTTTTTTTTATCCCCGCAATTGGGAATTGATCACGCTAACATAGCTATAGCTACGCACTGGCTGCCGATATCCAGACCATTCCCGGACTACCCACCGCCCCCGGTTACCTTAATGTGGATATTGACACCGAGACTGGCGATATCGACGGGTTGTTCTAGAGTATAGGAGATATTTGGAACTTGTATATACGGTTTGAATTTCGATTCTTCAACACATACCATAATTGGCGTCTGATCGGAGCGGGCCCTTAGATGGAGATTTTTTCAACACCAATCCGGGGCAATTGGAAATTCATTTTGATACATTATTTCGTCATAATCAATATATATACATTTTATTTAGATCGTACAATTCGGTTGGAGCTTTTCCGGGGTCAAAAAGGGAGGGCCGGTCAAGGCCGGAGTTGAGCTCCGTTCTCCGGGAACCGCTCTATTCACGTATAGGCCATTCTTCAGCGGGTCGGTTGATGGAGCTTCAGAACGAATTTTACCTGAGAAAGGGTTAGATCGATGAGTCAGTAGACCTTTAAGAGGAAGATATAAAAAAATGAGACATCCACGAGAATTTACGAAAAATATTCCAACCAAAAGTCTCCAAAATATCTCGTGACTCTTCCGGCTTCGGCGCTTCTTTTTGCGGAGTTAATAAGATCCCCAACCTCCATTGCACCGGACAAGGCTTTTTCCTTCTACCCATCTTTTAACTATCCAGTCTCTTTGCTATTCGGTAATTATCCCTTTCTTATTTGCCTTACTCATCATATTCCCGAATAAATCCCGTATTGCCCCGGTCATTCACCCCCAAACTCCCGGAAATCGCAATATAGCACTCTACCCTTTCTCCGGGAAATTTCCCGACTCCACACTTTCCTTTCTGCCGAACTTCATTCCCTCGGTTGTAACCAGGCGGTTGAGGCGACCTACAACCCGCTCAGCCAAACAGAAACACCGAAACTGGCGCTGACGTCCTTAGGCATTATTCCACGATGAACGCTCTCCGGTCCAGTTCCGCAGTCGCTCGTCGGTCTCTTGCGACCCCTCCTGCCCCTCTCTCTTCTACTTCTCGTCTTATTTCTTCCTCTTCCTTTACTTCTCCTTCCAAGAGATCCATCTCATCTATCTCCCTCTCTCAACGCACTACTCGAGTTGCTGCTTCTTCCCGCTGGTCCGGATCGATCCCTACGTATCTCACTCAAACCCGCACTATGGCTTCCGAAACCAAGATCAAGGTCAAGACCCCTTTGGTCGAGTTGGATGGTGATGAGGTATGGGACAACTCCCCCTTTTTATAGTTCAAACTTTCAATCGGCCTGTTTCACAAGCCTGCATATTATCGTGCTCCGCGGTTGCGTTTTCGTCGAAAACGCGGGGAAACACGGGGAACATTATCATATTCATGTGTCAATCCTCTTGATGACGCTGCCCCAAGGCTTCGAAAGTCATCTTTTGACATGTGCTAACCGAATCATCTTCGTGAATCATAGATGACCCGTATTATCTGGCAAGAAATCAGAGAAAAGGTAAGCTTATCGTCCCCTCCTTACCCCGGCTAGACCTGCATGAGCGCCACCGTTGCAGGATGCATGCAGTGGATACATCATATTACATGTCGACCCGGATTCATTGCTTGACACTAATTCGCTGCCTATAGTTGATTCTGCCTTATCTCGATATCGATCTCAAGTACTACGATTTGGGTATTGAGTACCGTGATGAGACCAATGACCAGGTTACCATTGATGCTGCCGAGGCTATTAAGAAGTACGGTGTCGGTGTCAAGTGTGCCACCATCACCCCCGATGAGGCCCGCGTTGAGGAGTTCAAGCTGAAGAAGAGTAAGCTCATCAAGCTCATCGGAAGTCCGTGTTGCGTAACACCAAAGCTAATTATATCTAGTGTGGCTCTCCCCCAACGGCACTATCCGTAACATCCTGTGAGTAAATCCAATCCGATTGGCTTTGACTGTTCATCCACTGACACTCTATTCAGTGGCGGTACCGTGTTCCGTGAGCCCATTGTCATTCCCCGTATTCCCCGCCTGGTCCCTGGTTGGACCAAGCCTATTATTATTGGCCGTCACGCTTTCGGTGACCAGTACCGTGCCCAGGACCGTGTCATCCCTGGCCCTGGTAAGCTCGAGTTGGTCTACACCCCCGTCGGTGGTAAGCCCGAGCACATCCAGGTCTTCGATTTCCAGGGTGGTGGTATCACCCAGTGCCAGTACAACACTGATGAGTCCATCGCTGGCTTCGCCCACTCTTCCTTCAAGATGGCTCTCATGAAGGGTCTTCCCCTCTACATGAGTACCAAGAACACTATCCTCAAGAAGTACGATGGCCGCTTCAAGGATATCTTCGAGGAGATCTTCCAGAAGGAATACAAGAAGGACTTTGATGCCAAGGGCATCTGGTACGAGCACCGTCTCATTGACGACATGGTCGCTCAGATGATCAAGTCCGAGGGTGGCTTCGTCATGGCTCTTAAGAGTGAGTTTCTCGTCCATCCCATCTTGGTTTTTATCTCTTATCTAACTCATATCAGACTACGACGGTGATGTCCAGTCCGATATCGTTGCCCAGGGCTTCGGCTCTCTCGGTCTGATGACCTCCGCCCTGGCCACCCCCAACGGCGATGCCTACGAGTCCGAGGCCGCCCACGGAACCGTCACCCGTCACTACCGCGAGCACCAGAAGGGTAACGAGACCTCCACCAACCCCATCGCCTCTATCTTCGCCTGGACCCGTGGTCTCGTCCAGCGTGGTCAGCTCGACAACACCCCTGACGTTGTCACCTTCGCCGAGGAGCTCGAGCGTGCCTGCGTTGAAGTTGTCAACGATGAGGCTATCATGACTAAGGATCTGGCTCTTGCCTGTGGTCGCAAGGACCGTGAGGCTTGGGTTACCACTGGCGAGTACATGGCTGCCGTTGAGCGGAGGCTGAAGGCCAACCTCAAGGCTCGCCTGTAGATCGTTTTCCCATTTGCTGCAAAATTTGATGAGATACTCCCGATTTAGAATCCCTAGTGGAAAGGCATTGGCCTGACTTTGATTGGTAATTTTTGTTGTATAGTTCGCAATTGAATTGTCATTCTGTACACTCTTTTTTCTCCCAGTCCGTAGACAACCAGTCGAAGCAGTGTCACGTCTATTTTTAGGTTCATATGCTTGTTTCGGTCACAGTCTCCTAATTTTCACCAGATCCCGATCACCTCGTTTCACCTTCAGGAGTTACCTATTAACCCGCCTCGACCATTCCCTATCTCACCTCGGGGATGAAGCGCCCTTCAAATATTTCATTTGTCTAAAAACGTCACACAATCGCCTCAAAAAGAAACCCCACACAATCGGAGGGAACACTATTCCTCGGAGCCGGCAGACCCCTAGAAACCAGCCATACATGAGATGACCCAACTAAGAACCAAAGATCCTTCTCATTCGAGAATCTGATTTTCTTTTTTCTTTTCAGAGTTTGGAACAACCCAGCCAATCAGAATGTGAGTCGGAGGCAATGGAATCCAATGAAGTCCACAACCTTATTCTGCCAGCCAATCACATCTCTCTCTGGCTTGGGTTAGCGGTCGATCTGGTTCGAGGTCTTGACGCAAGCGGCCATCTCACTTGTGCCATTTGATCTGTGGGAAGACTTGTAAGCAATATCCATGACTTGGATTTGCAAAAACTTTCCTACTTTCTACTCTTTTACTTGACATCCAGTCTGTGATGGTGGCACTATTCCACTGTATTCCGTTCACAACAATGACTGTCTCCGGCTTTCTACTTGGTTTCTATCGACATCTTTGAGACTAGTTGTTTCTATCCGACCCAATGTATGTTGTAAGCATCACGTCGATCTTTACGGGTCTGGCGGTTCTTATCGTCGCTCTCCGGCTATATACTCGGTTCCACCTGGTGAAGGCTGCTGGGCTAGATGATTTGATTATATCATTTGCGTTGGTATGTACTTCTCCCTGTCATGTACACCACGAGCGGTATACGCCCTTCAGACAAGGTGTCTAATTATTCTAGGCCTGCGACGTGTCATTCTATGTCTTTATACTTCTTGGTAAGTGGTCCATCTCAGCAATGCTCCGCAACCAGCACACATATCTAACAAGTTTCTCCATAGAACGAAAATATGGCCTCGGGACACCCACAACAGAACTTCCCACAGAAATATACCAGCGCCAATTATATGTACAAAAATTGCTCCACCGGATCATGGGGATAAAGTCACTGATGAAAATAAACAGTGGCTATGGCTTTCCGTCCCTTTCTACAACATCACCATGATCTTAGCCAAGGTCTCCGCCCTGACCCTCTTCACCCGCGTCTTTCATCCTCGTTCTTTCCTCATAATCACCTACATATTGATAGGTTTCCTGGCCTTATTTGGTTTATGGACGACTCTGAGCGGTTTTGTCTACTGCGTTCCTGTCCACGATTTCTGGAACCCATCCCTGGAGGTCCGAAAGGAACATTGTCTACCTGATGCGCCTACCTGGTTCACCAATGCCGGAATCCAGACTTTTACCGATCTGGTGATTGTGGCTATGCCCATTCCGCTATTGTGGAAGTTGCAACTACCCAAAAGACAAAAGTGGGGAGTAATTGTGGTTTTTAGTATTGGAATCTTGTACGTCAAGTACACAGTGCTGGTTGATCTTGGACACGGAGCTGACTTTTCTTTTTGTTTATAGCATTGTTGCCACCAGTGCCGGTCGCTTGTATGAATTGAATATCATGGTTAGTGGAGGAGACTTTACTGGTAAGCACACCCCCTTGTTCACACCCTGCAACATACAAGAACAAAACTAACAAACCAACAGAAGCAAATTCCCAAGCAGCCCTCTGGTCCTCCCTCGAAGCAAATGTATCCATCATCTGCATCTGCCTACCACCGCTCCACCCCCTCCTCTCGCGCATCTTCTCATACTTCTTCCTCCCCCGACCAGTGCGCTCATCATCTTCAAAGCGGCGACTTTCAACTAAAGCTTCGTTGAACGAGCCTCCCCAACGGGATGACGGGATCTGGTGCAACGATCTGTTCAATCCCACACCAGGGGGTTACTCTGCTAGCATTTCCAAGGTCGATACGAATGAAGCAGAAGAGAATGAAGAGGGAATCCGTGTTGTGCGGGAGTTGAGGATGCAGTCTGATTCTATTCCTCCCTCGGTCCCTGCTGCTTCTATTCCTCCTTCTATTCCTTCTATTCCTTCTATTCCTTCTATTCCTTCTATTCCTTCTGCCAATACTCCCCATATAGATCTGGAGACGGGGGAGAGGGTGAGGGGTAGTATTGTGCATGACAATCCACGTGTGACGCTCAGTACTGAGAGGGATTTTGGGGATTTCGAGTTCCCAGACTATAAGAATAAAATGAATTCCCCGGTTTGAACTTGGGAATTGGATTGTATATATTGAGCAACAGGAACGGCCTGTGATGTTAATTTATGTAGTGACGATACGAATAACGATTATTTTCTATCTTGGATTAGATTGGCGTTGAATATTGAATATTTAGTGTGTGCTATATATGGTGTTCTTTTATACCCTTGCCGAGACTAGGTAAGGAACTATACGGAAATGTCAACAGTACCAAGCATAACTAGTGACTAGTGCGGATGAGAAGGAAAATGAGTATGGAGATATGTATGATATATATTCCTCATTTACCTGTCGTAATGAATCAAAGACTTGCCCGCAAGGTAATATCCCTTTGCATAGCCAGCTCAATCGCCTTAGCCACAGCAACGCACTTCTCTTCCCCAAACCGGCCACCAACAACCTGTATTCCGACAGGCATACCATCAACTAGGTTAGGATCATCTAAACACGAATCAGCATCTTTGGAAGAGGTCACTACAATATAGGAAGTACTCACACTGCTCCTTATTAAATTTATCACCATCATTCCTGGGAACATGGGCCAGCCACTCTTCATCGGGAATATCCTTCGTCTTCGAGGCAGTAGTCACAGGAGTTGCTAATGCGGCATACCCAAGCAAATTCCAGATACTAGTGTAGCCCACATATGCACTGGACTTCACCCACGTCCACGGCTTGTATCCCACCCAGGGGGTATTGGGCATGATCAATGCGTCGATATCGGATGATATCCATTTGTCAAGATATGCTGATTCGTAATTGTATTTGTCCGCATTGAGCTTCGATATATGTGAGCAGGGAGTAGTAGTAACGGTACATAAAAGGGAGTTTGCTCACTTGGTGTGTTTGACTGGTAGTCAAAGTATCCTCGGGTTTACCAACGAGCATACCCTCAACAAGCGGTTCGCCAGTCTTTTCAATCTGTCTCCGACAGCCCTCGCCGCCATCAGAGAAGATAGCCTTTGCCCAGAGATCGTATGCATATTTATGCGAGGAGGCATCCCATTCAAACACTGAGTGTTGTCAGTATATGTCCTAAATAGCCATTGGGAGAGTTTGTCAGTAATCATACCTTCATGCCCTGCCGCTCTCAGTGCCTCAACAACCTCACGCATAGCCCTCGCAACCGGCGGTTGAACCTTAACAACACCATCATCAACCAAAAACCCAATCCTCAACCTCTTCACCCCAGGAGAAGCCAATTCCTTCCGCCACGCCACAGGCGCAACATGCTGATCAACCTCCCACGGCTTCGCCTCCGGCAAAACCTCCATGTACCTCTCAACAGTCGCAAGAGTACAGGCCATCGGCCCAGCAACGGATCTCACAATATCCTGCCCGGGGCTATAAACCATTCACGTTAGCATAAGCACTTCTATTTCTTTATCACCTTACTCCCACCCGACATCAAAAAAAAAAGCAAAAAGCAAAATTTAGAATAAAACTTACTTCCCCCTCTCATAAGGATGCCTACCAGGACTAGGCGAAAGTCCATAAAGACCACAAAGCCCCGCCGGAATCCGAATCGAGCCGCCCAAGTCAGTACCAATCCCAAGCACGCTTCCGCGCGCCGCAACAAGCGATCCTTCACCGCCGGAACTCCCACCGGAAATCAGCTCGCGGTTGAAAGGGTTCACGCATTGCCCGAAGACGTGGTTATAGGAGTCTGACATCATCATTGATTGGGGCAGATTGGTTTTCACGTAGAGGACTGCGCCGAGACGGCGGAGGGTGCGTGCTACGGACTTGTCTCCTGGTGCTGGGTTATTTGTGAGGCCGACCCAGCCTGGATTTGAATTTGTTAGTAAAGAAACAGCTATACATGGAGAAAGGTATCATTTTGGAAGAAGGATGGGGCGGATTACCGATTGAAGTATCTACTCCTTCAACGGAGAATAGATCTTTGATGGATACTGGTAAGCCGTGTAGAGGGCCGACAGTCTTGCCCGTCTTGGCGAGGTGGTCATCTAGTTCCTTGGCGACGGCGAAAGCCTCTTCGAAGAAGATCTCCGTGCAGCATGTTGTGAGTTGGTGGGCGAGGGCAGCGCGCTTAGCGAAGACTCGAGTCAGCTTTAGAGACGAGAGCTCTCCAGATGAAAGCTTTCGGAGAAGAACGGCGATATCAGTTTCTTCTGTCAGATCTAGTTCCTCTGGACTGAGAATGCGACGGAGATATGCCAGGGCGTTTGGCGTAGATTCTATTGAGGGAACGGGATCTAAGCGCCATTCGGGGAGGATGAGGGCGAGCTGGTCGGCGCGCTTTTTAGCGCAACGGTCTTGGTACGAGGCCATGACGGGATATATTTATTCAACGAGAACTGCAAGGCTAGGAAGCTGGATTCTAGGACCTTTTATATGCAAGACCTAGATAAGAAGTGGGATATGTCCCGAATAGGAAGGCAATCTAATCGACGCTAAACCCCACACCGCATATCCTCCACCTCCGCTCGCACTGCGCCTCCGCGTCCGGATAACGGGGAAATTCACACGATTGACAGTTTCGCCAGTACCATCTGATTATCTCGCATTGTCGTGCTGTTGAGGCACTCATTGCTATCAGGTACGCGGGAGTAGCTAGATGCACGTAGAATCTCGACGAAGAAGGGATATCCGCGATAGCCTGACAAGCTCGATCGACCATGGACGAGACTACGTTCGAATGATATGTCGATGAAGACGGGTCGCTGCCCGCAGTCATTCCCGCGCGACTGAAAGCCATGATTGCCGCGGCACCTCTATACACGGTCGCAGCCAAATTCTGGTCCGTCGAGTCGCCCGGGTTGAGTTGTAGGATTTGAGCCATTGCTCGAGAACTCAGGTCTATAGTGCGGATTCCATCGCCGTCGCGGTGTCTCGCGAGATAAACAAAAAGATCGAATGTATCTGCTGGACAACCGACTGAGTCGAAGAAGCCAGCTGATAAGGTCTCGCGATGCCAGTCTTCGAAAATTAATGAACTTTCTCGGACGAGGGCACCTGTAACATCAAACCACACTAGATAGGCGAGGACATCAGCTAGACCGGACATCTCGCCGCAGAGGTCGTCGAGATCGGCTTTGTGTTGGCAGTGGAGATCGAGCAGGGAGCGTGCGCCTTGGAGATGACAATGCCAGTTGCCAAAGGAGCCGCAGCATACTTCGAACATGGCGAAAGTGGCGATGCCGAAGAGTGCAATTGGGTGTGCGGATTGGATGACTTGGCTCAGATTCGTCAAGGCGACCAGATGCGACTGGAGGGATTCTTTATTGTTTGCATCGTGGATGCGCGAGCGGGCAAAGCTTAGCGTGCGTGTAATCAGCTGGATTCCTTCTTCTGGGATGTCGCGGCTGCTGGATTGGATTTGTTGGCAAAAAGTGTCGAGGAGGTCGACAAAGCCATATAGATTGATAGATGCTGACTTGGCAAAACCATCTGGAATTTCTTCGGGAATCTGGGGTGAAGTGCCTTTTGGTGATTTGGACTTCTTCTTATCATCTACCCATACAACTCGTTGTGGATAGTTGCATGTTTCTCCACCCTGGAGACAGCCTGAACATCGAGGGCGGTTCAGGTCACATTTGACACCTCGGAGTTTGCAGTGACCACAGTCCCGGTCATGCCGGATGCCACGGGGCTTTTTCACTTTCATGGTGTGTGTGAAGTTACCTGGCTGGGAAGGCTATCAACTATAAGTGCGGGGGTTGTCCGGGCCGAAGTGGATCTCGCATTTCAATCCTTTTGGGGGCGGTTTTAAGGTGGTTTCAGGTTTCAGGCCGTAAGAAAAAGGCGTCTGCATTTTATCCATGACCCCGAAAAGGTGGAAAGGTGGAATAATCGAATGCAATTCTGATTGGGTTCAAGTGAAGTACACATCCTGTGAAGGAAAGCGACAGACAGTATCGTCAACCAAGAGCCAGTTGAGAATAACACAAGAAAACGAAAGAGGAATTCATTAACCTGAAGTCGGTTGTGAACAGCCAAAGGAAACGAGAGACGAAATCACCGAGGGCAGCTCAAAACAACAAAAGAAGGGGGACGAGGCAAAGTCGTCAACTATATACGGGTAGCCAGTGGAGAAAGGCAAAATGGCCCAATGAAAACGAAACCTCGCCGAAAGCAAGAACAGAGAAAAGAACGTGAAGGGGAACAAGAGACGCATTCACCCGGGAAAAGCACGAATGGAAGAACGACAAAGCCAAACCCAGCAAACAAGAAGTGGAAAAGAAGGATATCTATCTATAAACCAAAACCCAGTCAAAGCGAACTTGTGTGAATATTACTAACAACCATGACAGTGGTCACTTTCAATCACAACTCAGTGCTTGCACTTACCCGGGCTCCAATGAGGAATCTGCATCATGTTTCGATAAGGTTGCTTGCCCCGATCAGATTGCTTTCTGCGTTGCATCATGCGCTCGCGACGATCACGTCTCTTGGTAGCAGAATTAGGTTGCTCCGGAGTGATCTTTGCCGCCTCCATTGAGATCTCTAACTGTGGTTTGGGGACTTCCCTTCCTTCTGCGCGCCGACGACGCAGGATAACCTTTCGGCGATGCTTTGAGATAACACGGATAGAGGAAACCTTTGAGACCTTTGAAATCTTTGAGCTTGAGACCTGAGACAGATCCGGTGCTTCTGCGACGCTGATGCTTGCAATCAAACTGCTTCCGCGAGAGAGCCTTCTTCTCCGAATCCTCTTCATTTGCTCGATGGCAGCAACTGTGAGAGATCGAGTGGACGCAACGCTGCCACTTTGCATTGATGCAACGCTTTCATTTCGCAGTGATTCAACACGCTTGGGCTTGCCAAACGATCCAGTATCGTGTGCATGTGGATAAAGGGAGTCCGGCCGGCGAGCATTCCCCGAATTGGCCACAGAAAGAGGAGGGCTGCCAATACCAACTGCACCAAAGATCTGAGGAGGAATCGGGTTCTCGATGCTCATGCGTCGTTTTGGCCCAGCAGGGTCTTGGGAAGTATCCGGATACTGTGAATTCATGTCGACCACACACATTCCAACAAAAGGGGCCTGGAGCATTGCACCGAAAGGAGGCTGTTCCAAGAAATTCTCCGAGGAGCCATGATGGAGCACCGTAGGCAAGGAAACAGCATCAGAGTGGTAAGCGTTTGGCGAGACGCGCTGTTCAGGACTGTCTTTGGTCGAGGTGCCATTACTGGCGGCAGCCACAGAAGGAGCTTCTCGTTCTGAGACGCTCTGGTGCAGCGAGTCCACTCGATGCGAGCAGTGATGACAGACGATGTCATATTCCCCTTCTCGTGGTATAAAAGTCATTGATGCCGGGTACATTCCCGTATACATGTCAGGAGCCCAGTTGCAAATTTCTAACCAAGAAGGCAGCTCGTCAAGTGGAATCAGCGGCGTCCAAAATCCCCCGGGACGCAGGATGCAAAACCGGGGTCGTGGACGGGCATGAAGCGTAAGAGCAGGGTGACGAGAAGTCTGGACAAAAACCGGAACCGGGGTAGTATACTGCATGTTGAAGAGACTGAAAGAAGATGAAAATGAGTGTAGTGAAACAATGAGTGTATAGAGAGTGTTGGATGAAAGAATGTATGGAGTCTGGAAGAGGAAGAAGAGAAGAAGAGAAGAATAGGAAAAGGGGGACAATGGAGTTTTGTTCATGGCAGGAGTTCTGAGGAAGGTGCAGCATTACAGGAAGGAGCGGAGATGGAAAGAGCATAGAACCTTTGGTATTGAAAGGATGAGAGAGATGACCATTTAATGTGCCTCTGATCTTCTGATTAATACAAATTTTCCATTGGTTAGTCTATCTGATTTGTAGCAGGTATTGTCATAGTTGACTAGCCTCTTCAAACGAGGTGATCCATTGATCTGGCAATTTCAAAGTTGTGCAGCTTGATGCTTGCATTTGTAACTCTCTGACAGTTCGAGGGACTGATAAACAGGAACAATTTAAGACATACTGGAACTGATCCTATCATTTCCTGCATCTTAGAGCTAAACAGTGTGGCTGTTTATTGAGATGCTATACTTCCATGTGAGTACTGACAGAGAGATGGAATGACTCCAGAGAAGAGCTTTAGCCAAATCTAGAGTATGATAACTACATGCATTCATTAAGGCTGTGTGTTACTGCTTGACGACACATATCGGGCCCAAAAGCATACATGTGAACGGAAGAGAGATCATCAAGATCAATATTGGAATGATGCATTTGTTTACATATCTATATACGCTAGTCTGTAATAGACATAGCGCTAAATCCCCATATTCTTCCAGGGTGGGTCTTAGCATCACACTGTCACCTTTCAAGTAATCACTCCCCCGCCAAATTGGGCCTAGGAAACACGATATACTGAGTTTCGGATCACTACTCATGAAGCTATGGTTTGAGTACCGACGTTGAAGATATGGCATGTTTGTTGGAAACTATAGATGGGTTTCAACAATGTTTCACTCAACCGATCGACCGTGCATACATGCGGCTGGGAACTTTGTGTCTTACCCTTGCAGCTATGATAGCTGCTGACTGGCTATAATATATCAGTACCTAGGCTAGAAACTATCAAGGCGTGGTCTACTGATTGTAGCCCAGTCTACACTTTCTATCAAGGTGTGCTCGCCAACTTTTATATATAGACGGTGCACTTGGCGCTCAACTGAAGATTTTTGTGAGAAATACTACAACGCAGTTAAGTACTTGGCTCCAAGCAAGCTCAAGGTATTTAAAAAGGTCATAGTAGGGCTATTTTCTTCAATCGTCTTATCTTATCGCATATTTTGGAAAGCTACCGGCCCAGATCCAAACAACCTGCGTTATTCCGACAGCCTAGCGCTGTATATAATTCTACTCTTACCTGCTTACCTTCCTTTCCTGTTTATCTTCACTTCCTCCTCAACTTCTTTCTCAATTCCAACCCTCCGCCACCAAACCTCAATCCATCATGGCAACCCTCACAGGCCCAACAAATGCCACGCGCGCAACCCCAAATATCCCCGTTGAGAAAGCAATCCTTCACATCGGCAGCTCAACCTTCATCAGCGCTCCCTCCCAAGACGTCTGGGCTGCCTTAACAAACACCTCAACCTGGCCGAGCTGGAATAACTTCGTGCCACGTGTAACCATCCGCTCCCAGCCAACGCCAGACCCATCTCCATCCACCTCCGCACCCGACCCAACACCAGCAGCATCAACATCCACACCTACACCTCAATCAACAGACACAACCCTATCTCCAGTTCTCCAAAAAGGAACAAAATTCACTCTACATGTCCGCATGGACCCAACCTCCACCAAGCCACAGCCCTCAACAGACGTACATGCCCTCATCAGCGAATACAGTGCACCAGACGCGGAGACTGGCCAGGGCGGCCGCATCGTGTGGGTCGCTGACACCGAAGCGCCGGGTGCGTTTTCGCCATCGCTTTTGCAGCCGGAGCGGGTGCATGAGTTTACGGCTGTGGAGGGTGGGACGGTGGTGCGGAATTGGGAGGCGCAAAATGGGTGGTTGGCTTATGTGGTGCGGTGGATGTATCAAACTAAGCTGCAGGGGTGTTTCGAGGTGTGGGTTGCTGATTTGAAGAAGTTTGTTGAGGGCAGTAATACTGCTTCTGCCTGATTAACTCGAGTTGCATGTTACACGTGGGTTTGTTTTTAGGTGTTGGCGTTGTTTGTTTATGCTCGCTACCCTACTCGAGAATCACCACTCTGCTCCAAACTCACTACTCTATGAGATTGATATTGTTTGAATGAAACACTGATATCCCCATGCCACACCAGGTATTATTTGATATGATAAATATTATACTAATTCCTCCACATGTTCCTGATATCATACATCCCGCCAAACTCCATCTAAACAGGGTATATGGACAATGCAAAGAAAAAAAAAAACAAATAACCAAAAAGATTCCAACAGATCCCCAACATCAAGCAGACGCAAGCTCCACCCAGTCCGACGTCGCAATCCGCTGCGCGGGATCCTTGACAACAGCCGGCTTAACAATGCGCTCAACGAACCCATTCCTCGGAACCCGACTCCCACTCATCCCAGACCTCGTGAAATCAATAATCTGGTGTCCAGCCCTGGCCATCTCCAACCGCAGCCGATGATTCATATTCGGATAAAGTAACAAATCACCCGTCGCAGCCGCAAGCAGCGTAGCCGCCAACGAGAAAACATCCGACGAAGGCGTCGGCGCCATTTCAGTCGATGTCAACGAAGCAAGCATTTCCGGCGCCGTGAACGGCGGCGTGAACGACGACATCGACGCGCGCGTGGTATCAACCGGCGCATCCGCATCAGTCGGGATATCAACCGTGGCAGAGAAATCCGCAAACAGAGGCTCGTAAGGGAAAGCGTGTTCTTCGCTATCTTCCGTGTCGATCGCTCTGAGGAGAATATTGTGTGGTTTTATATCACCGTGCACGACGCCGCCGACTTGATGCAGCCAGTTCAGGCCGGCGATTAGCTTGCGCGCGAGATCCTGGTACGAGGCTGGGCCTTGGACTGGCTCGAACATTGTTGCTGTTACTGGTTGGCGGGTGCGCGCGAGCTTGGATTGCTCTTCAATGTAGGTTGCCAGTGAGTTGGGGACGGCGCTCATTACCAGTGCGCCTAGTTCGGCGTGGTAGCCGTGGAAAGGGACGATGTATTTCTCGTGGCCTTGGGTTTGAGTGAGGCGAGTTAGGGTTATTGCTTCGGCGTTGAGGACTGGGCGCGCGTCGCGGCGCAATGGCGCTTTCACGGCTAACACTTGCGACGTTGAAACTGGGGAGCTTGGGGGTGTGCCTGGGAGATTTTGTTGGGGGCGCGACAATGAACGCGCTTTGTATACTATGCTCCAGACGCCGCGGCCGAACTCGAAGGAGCGATTGTTGTCATCGTGGCAGATCTCGAGGTCATCTGTGAAGAGGCGAGTTCCGGCATTGTCCTTGGATATGGGGGCCGCTTGCTTTGCCTTGGAGTCCTCGGATGGCCTTTCCCTGGCTATAGGAGTCACGGGTGGCGTGAGACTCGTTGGGACTTGAGCAGATAGTGGTGGGCTTTTGCCTGGGGTTGTCTGGACTGACAACGGGAATGGGGGATTGACCATAGTTTCGCGCAATGTTGAGGGATTTTCGAGCAGACTCAGGTCCCTATATGGTGTCGAAGGATCAGCCGAGATCAGTGAAATCGTTCTGATATCAGCGCCGGCACTCGCGATAGGCAAATTAAGCCTCACCCACGGTTGGATCTATAACAGGGTGGCGAAGGCACTTTTGGAAGAGAAAAATTAGGTGTTGGCCGTACAATCCATGGATACAAAGAATAATTAGGAAATAGCTCAAAGTAATAAAGCGAATAAAAAGCAAAGAGAAAAAAAAAACAACCTTGGCCCACTTCCGGTCTCGACCAAAAACAAAAATGATAGAAGATAAACTAGAGATCGACAGGTGACAGTAAAATACTACGGTGCCAGTGGGACCGTAAAGCGTGGGAAATTAATATACGCCAGCTCATTTCCTTTTATTAAAACCGACTTCGTATTATTTACTTTACTTTTAGTTTTATTTACTTCGATAGCTATAGGAATACGAATTCCGTAAATAGTTATAGCCGAATTCAAGCCCTGGAGCATCCGCATGCGTCTCAACGGCTGCCAACGGCTGTCAACCTTTTATAGTGGGTTATTTTTAGTGTTGTTATGTTTTTTATTTCTTATAATCTTACACTCTTACAATCTTTATGTTGGCCTATATGACTCAACATCCAATCCTTCGGCCTCGTGTCGGATGCAACCAACCACATGTAACCCTAAATACTCCGAGTCAGATTAACACTAAAAGTCTATAATCGGTTATATCATAATATACCGATATACCGATATACAAAATACTATACATACTATACATACTATACATACTATACATACTATACATACTACACATCCTATTATACATACAAAGCCTATCTCATCTTCGGCTTAACAATATCCTCCCCTAGCTGAGCCTGAGTCACTGCCGCGCCTAGGGCTCGGCTGAAAGCAATGATACCGAGCTTCCCCGGAATCTTCTCGTACTTGACCGCAATATCAAGCAGGGTTTTCGCAGAAAGAGTGCGGAGTCGAACATCACTCAAATCATAGTCCACGTTCTCCTGGTAGGTGAAAGCTGGGTCCGACGTCGAACCCTCCGGCAAGGGCATCGGCCCATAGCCAGCCTTGAGTCCTCTTCTGGCAAAGGTCGTAAGGCTCGGAATATCTCGCACATGATCATTGATGGCCTCTAGCGGGAAAAGGGTTTGAAGAAGTTCAGTGACCGTCATTTTACCGCGGAATCCCACACAGCCTAGCAGTGCAAAATACCGGTCGAGGACTTCTGGTGCCGTCTCGCCCCGGGGGTCAAAGATGGTTTTCAGAAGAGGCGGGTTGGGGTTTGCCTCGAAATATATCATTCCAAGCGGGTTTTCGCGAGGGTAAATCTCATCGGGGTGGAGGTATAAGGGCTCAAATGGTCGTCGATCATGTACCAGGACGGCATCATCGAAATTGTTGGAGGTTATAGTTAACCGGGCATCATCGGTTGAATGTTCATATCTTTCCCACACGGTGAAGTGAAGCCCAGATGACAAAGTGGCAAAACTCGATTTGAGAGATGTCATTTGATCTTCCAGAGCCTTTAGCCTCTCAACGGTCTCCTTGGGATCCGCAGCCGCACGTGCAAATGTCCGGCTCACTTCGTCAATCTCAAGTACTATGTCGACAAGCCTTTTCCGGTGGTAATACGATGTATTGTCTCTGGCAAGCTGTGTGAGTGCTATTCCTCGCTTCCGACATACTTCTTTGGCTTTGGGGTCTGTGGTTTCCACGGCTGACTTGATACCCAATTCATCTGCTGCCGCGATGGCCGCAAAGATACTGTTGTGAAGAGGAGTACGCACTCGAAGCTGATATGGTGATTCCTTTCTCGCGCGGTGCGCAATTTGTGGTACTGCCTCCAAAGGGGGAAGCTCTCTGGTGGGTGGAGTGGCAATGCCATGTGCCGCAGCCCTTTCGGCCACACGTTTCCTATTGTCTTCTAAGGTTTTGAAGCCCCGCCATTGAGCAGAGCGTTCATTTTCGGCTGGACTAGCAAGCTCTATGTTGTGCAAGCCCATGGTCTCCGCGAACATGCCAGTTCGGGTGCGCTCCGTAACGGACCGCGGTAACATGCTCGAGACTTCACTGAAGGGCAGCGTGACAAGGACTCGCACGGCCCCGTACATGTTCAGTTCAGTTTGTTTTAAGCAGCTATTCATGAAGTTCAGAAACCAGCGGCTGGGTTTGAAATGATCAACCGAACTGACAGCTTCAGGCAGATTGGCCAGGACGAGGAGTGTATGGTTTTTTGGTATAAGCCCGGAGCTGTCTCGGTTTTCAGGGCCTTGTTCTGGTAAATACTCTGCGAAGAAATCAGACCAGTCACATTTCCCGTATATGCTTTCTTTGACGATCTTATAACACGGCTTCTTCTCGATGATCGCAGTGAGAAGAGGGTGGAAGTTAAGATTTGGTTCAACAAGCACATGGCGACGTGGTTGAAGAAATTTATTCACTTTAGATGACAACAGACCACCCCCAGGCCAAAGGTCCAGAATGTCTACCGGTTGGTTTCGACGAAGGTAGGGCGATACGCGTTCGAGAACATTATCTACAAAGATCCAAGCGCATAAGTATATTTGTATATATCAGAGCTGAGGCTCACTTACCTAGTAGGTCTTCACTCACGAGCTGCGGTCGAGGCTTAACTTTCCCGCGTTGTTTCATGAGCACTGGGTAAAGAGTCTTCGTCATCGGAAACTGCGCCAGCGGCGTTCGTGTGCTGACTCTCATTATTTAAGATCTGGCGAATGCCAAGCTATTTTGATTATGACATGGGTAGATAATATCAATGGAGATAATGTGAGAGATAATGTGAGTTGTGTAGAATGTAACTTTTTTTTTGGAGCGGAGAGCGGAGAGACCCCAAGCTTCCCGCTCTCATCCCACCTATCTCCCTCACACGTTTATCTTCCAGGTCGCCTAGATGCGGCTCTCACGCCGGTCTTTCCTTTCGGAGATTCCCTCAGTATGCTATTTGATGCTTGATGCTTGAATTCATCTTGGCTTTCTACTCCCTTCTTTACCATGGCTTCTCCGATGGCCACTGGAGGTACTGCCCCTCAAAGTGTTGAACATATTACACGGATAGCACAGAACTACGAGTACAACTCTTCCGTTCCATTGCGGTATTGGCTGAGAACTGCCGCGACGCTCTTACGTGAGGTTGGTTATAACTGTTGCCTGCATTTGAATCACCTCAGACTTGTTAACTCTTAACTTGCTAGGCCCACATTTACGAACGCGAAGGACACGATGAACAAGCCTATCTTATTCTATTCCGACACGCTCAGTTGATCCTGGTCCATCTTTCCAAGCACCCCGATATCAAAAAGAGTGAGGAAGATCGCAAGGCCTTGGTGGCAGCCGAGAAGGAGGTTGAGAAAAACCTCAGCAAGCTGGAAATCCTGAGGCCGCGCATCAATAAGCGGTATGAGCGTTACACTCAGTTGATGCAGGAGCGTGAATCTCGGAAACAGCCCTCACGAGCCAAAATTGTCGAGCCACGAGAACAAGTCCCGGATCCCGCTCTCTCCGGCGTGGCAGAACCTTTGGAAGCTGGAGCGAATCGAGATCTCGCCGTGCAGTTAGCCCAATCAGAGCTCAATCGCCGAGCCACCGTCCGAGGCTCAAAGGGTCTTTCTGGGCCATCTGCCGAAGAGCTGGAAACTCGTCGCGCAGCTGGGGTATGGGGGGGACTGGGATCATTCTATGAATTCGGATCTTAGTTTGGGTGATCGTGACCTCAGTCGACGTGTTCAGAACATCCCGTCCAATTTCGTTCACACAAATCAACCTTATGGCCAACGTGCCAAAGAGGCCGAGGTTCCTTCGTCGGTTACTTCTGCGTACAAGTATCCAACGGTGCCACGTCAAAAGCCCCTGGAGCCCACTGTGTCTCCAGGCCAAATTGCTATCCTTGACAAGAATGCCGAACGCCATGCGCCTCCGATATTGCCTCCGAAAGAGCATCTTGAGCCTAGCAGGGCATCTATTGTCGGCGATTCTGCAACAGCTGTAGCGCCCTCGCGGCCGGCAAAGGTATCGCCAGCTCCGGCGCTGCCTGCGAAGATCCAACCTTCCGAAGAAACTACGCGTTCAGATCTCGATCCCTCGAGTTACACCTTCAAACCCTCAGCCTATCTCGAAAATGGCACTCCCTTGCGCTCGGTGTTCTTGCCAGCGAACCTCCGATCCCGATTTTTATCTCTGGCTGCTCCTAACACGCGCGCCAACCTTGAGACATGCGGTATCCTGTGTGGTACCCTTGTTTCCAACGCCCTTTTCATATCCAAACTGGTTATTCCCGAGCAGACATCAACATCAGACACCTGCGAAACGGTTAATGAATCGGCTCTTTTCGATTACTGTGACTCTGAGGATTTGATGACGCTCGGCTGGATCCACACACATCCGTCACAGACCTGTTTCATGAGCTCCCGTGATCTACACACGCACTGCGGTTACCAAGTGATGCTGCCCGAGAGCATTGCCATCGTATGCGCTCCAAGCAAAACCCCCGATTGGGGCACATTCCGACTGACTGATCCTCCGGGTTTAAAGACGGTTCTAAACTGCAGCCAGACTGGCCTGTTCCATCCACATGCTGAGGAGAATATCTACACTGGGGCTTTGCGACCAGGGCATGTTTTCGAAGCCAGTGGGTTAGAATTTGAGACAGTGGATCTTCGTCCTTAAAGAACTAATTGCCTGCGTTTTGATTGTTTCATACACACTAAGATACCATCATCGTCTGCATTGATCTGGCTTTTTTATGTGACATTTCATATCAATAAGCTTCTTTCCTTTCTAGAAGGGCCACATTGCCAATTATGTCAATAGCGTTGAATTCTACCTTTTACTACTTACATGGGGTTCCAATTGAAATAGTTTGTAAATTAAAGATGTATTTGACGTTTTATACTGGGATCTATAACAAAGTTAAGCTTTAGTTGGCCATCGAGTATCATCTCAGCAACATTTGAAGTATCTCTAGCTATTTTAACAAGATAATTGGCACTTATTTGATCCTCCAAATACAACATACTGGCTAAGAGCCAAAAACTCATGCGCCCTACCAGGCCGACTTGGCTTATTTCCCCACCTGATAAGCGATAGCCGTCTCAACTTCCACTCCGCATTCGTACTTCCTTTACTTCCTTCACTTAGCAACTTCGTCAATTGATTTTGAATTGCTCGCATGTCGTCCGCGTCACAAGAAAATACCGCCTCCGACCCCCCCACCTCCTCCACCCCGGGATCAGCTCAGACATCCACCCAAAAACCACACTACCAATCCGCCGCCTCCTACTTCTCCTACCCAGTCAGCCACGTCGTCTCAGGACTGTACCGTCGCATCACAGACCCAGACATATCCAAAGAAATGCCCTCCGTCATGCCCTGGTCACGCTCCTCCTCCTCATCTGAAGTGTTCACACCACGCCGAACAGCCTCACCCTTCCAACCACCACCACTCACACCCCTAAACCTCGAAATCCCCACAGCAGCACACCTCCTCCAACAACAACTCCTAACCCGCGCCCTAGCAGAAGAGATAAGACTGCTAGTCCCGCCCCGCCTCCAACTCGTCGAAACATGGCGTCTAGCCTACAGCCTCGACCGCGACGGCGCCTCCCTCTCAACCCTCTACGAGAACTGCGCCGAGTTCTCCTACCGCAGCCCGCGGGCGGGCTACGTCCTCGTCGTCAGAGACTCCTCGCCCTACAGCTCCGTCTTCGGTGCCTACATGACAGACGCCCCACACCCGGACTCGCAGTTCTTCGGCACAGGAGAGTGTTTCCTCTGGCGTGCTAGCGTGCTCCCACCTCCGGCTAGCTTCGCCCTACCCGGTGAAGGACCCCAATCAGAGGAAGTCCTTGAGCGTGCGGGTCTTCCTCCTCCACCATCTGCGGATACCACCACCGCTGCCCGCTGGAGTACTTTCCGCAATGACAAGTCGAAACCTGCGCACGCGGAATCGCCGGCTCATAATCTCAATATGAATATTAAAACCAATCTCGCCGCTGCAAGCGGTGGTGTTCTGGCACCGCCTTCGCCTTCTTCCATTAATACCCCTTCGCGGAGTGGTGCGAGTACCCCCGAACGAATTCGCTTCAAGGCTTTCCCCTACAGTGGAGTTAATGATTATATGATCTTCTGTGAAACCGGATTTCTCAGTCTAGGAGGCGGGTAAGTGTTTTATGTTACGGAAGAAGATATTGTTCTTGGCTAATATATGGGAATAGTGACGGTCACTATGGATTGTGGCTTGATAGCAGTCTCGAAAAGGGTGTTAGTGCATCCTGCCAGACCTTTGGCAATGAGCCTCTTTCCGATGAAGGCGTCAAGTTCGATGTTCTTGGCGTCGAAGTGTGGTATGTGGGTTCTTGAAGAAGATGTATAGCCTGGCACCTTGCACTGGATGTATAAAGGAGCTGCCTGTGTCAGTGTGGATATATGTATTGAGAGGGGATCTGTTTCGATATAAACAGGGCCGACAGGATCGGACTCGGGCATTCATCGAGATAGAATACCCGGATATCTCAGGAAAATGGTCTTCGGGTTTATTTAGTTTATCTTAACGACTTTCCAAATACTCAGACAACTATGTGGTGCTGGCATCTCTGCATTGTTGGTTCTGTTTTGTCATTTACCTTAATTTAGTACTTGTTTGGTGTCTTGTCTAATGATCTACATTTGGTAATAATACATATAGGGATATTATGAAGTTTGATAGAACAATTACCTGAAGAGTTTCTTGCTATTAGCACATACAAGCTATTTGTTTTTCATTTTCATTTTTCAAAAGCAATCCCTAGATTGCAGCCACGTTGGTCAACCCGTAGATATCCCACTTTCTTCGTCATCCCTTTTTTTGGATTTTCCCTCATTTTCCTTTGTGCTGGCTTTCTTCAATTCTCAAGGGAAAGCTGGTGGTCTCTTCGTTCCTTTGGCGGCCGGTAAGACGCCGTTAAACGTCATGCTGAGCTGGTAGCCAGCCAGTCGCAACTCCTATATCACAGTCAGTGTAAATTCGCATTAATGAATCTGAGCTCGCTACCTCTGGTGAATAAGATTTGAACTTATCGTGGTAACATATCGAATAGTATCGATTGGTCATGATGCTACCATGATGGACATCCTTCTCCTCCCAATACCAATTCCTATCGAGTAAACAAACCATGTTAGCCAGTTTCTTAGAAACGAACAATAAGCCAAAACAAGACACGCTATACAGCAAGAAAGGGATAGGAAGAACAAGAGTTAGAGAAGGGGGCATGTAAGATAGGGAAACTACCATATACTCACCGATCATAACAACGGGTATCTGGTGTAGGGGAAACCAGTGAAGACCAGAAAGTGCCAGGTTGGAGTGTCGATCGAATGGGAAGTACAGCCTTAAAGGACGCAGGTGCATTGGAATCACGAGGGCTTGGCTCAGGGTTCGCAGTTGGGAAAGATACAGATGGCGAACCCGTCACCCCTGGATTGACCGTACTGAAGTTCAAGCCAAATGGACCACTGGGGCAAAGTGAGATTGAGCCCTGCTTGTCGGATGCCGAGTTGTAGGGCCACGAAAGTTGGTACCTGGGCGTGTCGTTCGGGCCTCGAAGTGTAGAATCCATGCATAATACTCCGAAAGGGTTGGAAGATGCACCACTGCATAAAATACCTTGAGGCATGAGGAACAATTGAGGGGATGGGCATCCATGAGCCGAGACTGTTCCAGAATCCTTGATTGTTCCAGTAAATGGTGTGGCTTTCTTCGCAACGATGAATTTCGTCAATGCTCGCACTCCAGCCAGCAAATTTTCTAGTTCGTGAGCCAGGCCTTCATGCGATTTCTTTACACCATCGTGCACATCAGCGAATAGTTCCTCGATTTGCTTGTTCTCCATGTTGGTGATTGTTTGGGTTGTCAAGACATCACCCAGAGGGCTGAGAAGGCAATTTTCGATCCCGAGAGTTGCAACGTTGTCCATGAAGATTAGAAGCGCGTTCTATCTCTCGTCAGTATCATGTAGACAATAAAAGTATATCATAATTGATTGGTTATCGTAACTCACGTTGTAGTATGCCTGCATCTGGTCAACAATGTCCGAGGCTGTAGACTGATTACTTGATGAATCCACATGCTGAGTAGCCACCTTGAGCGCTTCAATATTGAAATTATTGTTCGGAATCGAAGGAAACATCTGTTGGAGGTTGTCCAGCAGTCGATCATTCCTGGATTTCTGTATCCTGGCAACAAAGCTTCGATCAAGAGGCAATGGGTGACCTCGAAGAAAGCTTCGACTCATAGGCATTGGGTGGCCTCGCTTGTAATAAGTAGTCAGCTCAAGTAGCTTTATCAGTAGGTCTTCTTCCATTTTGTCAAACTGGGGGCAAATGATGGTCCGCATTATCACCACAGACGTGCGTTCATCCGCAAGATGGTTCAACAGAAGGGTCACAAAGTCCAGGGCGTACTCCCATGATTTCATCAGATGGACTCGAGCAATCTCCTCCCAGGGTCGCGACTGGTCCCGGAATAGGCTACCCGCTAGTAGCTGATTTCCACTCCCTGGAAGTTCAATTCCTCGATCGCGGCGCATTTGCTCACTGACCTCAAGTTCGAACTCTGACCGGCTTCTGTGAACCGGCTGTCTGATATTTGAATAAGGGTTGCAAGGGTGTAGTAACGACATTATCTGGTTGTTGACTCCATGAATGAATTGACGACACCCGGCAATTTCCATAATATCTGCAAAATCCTCGTTCAAGTCACGAATGACAGCACGAAGACGTCGAGGGTCGTGAGACTTGGATTTAGCTCCATCCCCATCCACCGATGTAGCAAAGAAGTTGTCAGTGTACATGCCACTCAGTGCTTGTTCGGTTATGCGCTGGAAAGCACTGCTCAGATTGAAAAGTAATGCTTTCTGTTGATCGATAGTCTGTCGAGGAACACTGAGCTTAGCTAGTCTCGATTGGTTTTTCATAATGATTTTGTCGAATTCAGAAATCAGGCCAGGAAGGTTGCTCTGGACATGATTCACAAGGAGAGTGCTGAGTCGACGTCGCAGGTTGCTAGTCCCTGTGGATTGTCTTCCCACGGTTTTCCAATCTCCTCGCTCGAAGAATTCTTTCTCCCTCTCATCTCTTTCGTCGTCTGGCACATCGCGTGTCTCGTACGATCGGGTGCACACTAAATGTAACCCCATCGGCAATTCGGAGGTTGTGTCTTTGATAGCCTTCTGCCATAACATTTCCTCGTCTGATGATGCTTCGAGTGTATCGAGGTGAGTAACAATCCCCATAATCCGCTTTCGTTCTCTGTCATATTTGTCTGCAAAATCGAGGATCTTCTGGACACAAATGTCGATTTTTGCCGATACCACCGGGAGAATGATACTGCGCGCATTCAGCATGTATTTTTCCATGTGAAGAAGGGTAGGATCCTTTGCACGACTTCTGTCACCCGTGCCTTCTGTAAAATAGCGCCCAGGCATATCGATAAGGGTCAGGTCTGGGTGCTCGGGTCCAGAAACCTCGACTTTGATGATATCGTCAGTGAATCCATTCTCAATTGAAGGTCCAAGAAATTCCATAGCTTTCCCAATCAGTGATGCTGACTGCTCAGTATTGGGATGAGCAGTGGACTCGAAAGCCTTGATTCTCTGGAGATCTTTGTCGCTTTTCTTGGACGGGCCAGGTTCGATGCTCACTTTAAAGCAGGTTGTTGGACGGCGGCGTAGTATTATCTCTGTAACAAACCCAGTGTAAAGATCATTCTTCACTGGAAATCCCACGCGAGAAATTGCCTCAATAATGGAGCGTTTGCCGTTGGACTTGGAACCACAGACAATCATCTGTGGCAAACTAACGAGCTCGCCGACACCGAGGGTACGGAGTCTATCGATCGTATCAAGGAGCTGGACCTGGTGTAGCTGAGGCAGTGTCCCGCCAGGCTCGGCTGGATTAGACATGGTAAGGCTTAGATGTAGTAGATAGGTAGCAGGTAGGAATAAAGATAGAACGAGCTATCTTTCGGGGATAGCAGGATGGATAAAGAATATGAGAAGATGGGAATATGGGAAGAAAAAAGGAAATGGAAGGAGAGCGGATGTTATAGAGCAAACAACATCCTTAGGCTACCTAATATCAACAAAGTTCCAAAGAGCCGTCACCTAGCAATATCATGTGCTATCATGTGCGTCTGTAAGCCTATGAATCCATACCTTCTCTACTCCTTCCCTTCACTCCCCAAACACAAAGATCCAGCTTACTGCCATTTTCACTACACGGGTGTGGAACACCGAGCAGGATTTGAAACGAGTTCGATGCATGATTATAATGAATGATCTTGTCGATTAAATCTTGTTATTGACAAGGGTTTAGCTACCTTAATTTGGATGCAAGTGACCTATGTCAACTCGGTTGTGAGAGATGTTCTGATATCATTCTGAGAACCTTTTTTGTATGTAGTAGTAGCATATAGTTGTGGGACATTTGACTGATTGTTGGATATCTCATTTGTGAATTGTCTGAACTAGCTAGCTACTTTGAAAAATAAGATCTCGTCTAACGAGTGCCACCCGTTAGCTGCAAATTAGTATCCCCTAAGAAACGCGCCACAAAGAACGGGAGAAACAAAGTAGTGAATGTGAAGAAGACCTCAATATAGAGATCTCCAGCGGCGTCAGAATAGTGAAGACCCCGCAAATAAAGCCACAACATTAGGAAAGATGGAAAAGCACAAAACATCAGGGGGTATGGGTAATAATACAAAAAGAGAGGAAAATCGAGGGCCGGTAGGGGGAAGGGGTGTGAAGACTAATAAGGTGAGTTGACAATGTCATCCTTGTTAAGACGACTGCTCCATCTGCTGCGCGCACGGTTTGGTGTGGAGGGACCAGCGATGCTCTCGCGCGTGGGCTTCTGGAAGGTACGCTTGGCGACCATGTTGACCTCGTTTGGCAGAGCAACAATGACATTCTTGTCAGAGCCGAATCGGAAGTTATCTGCCATGACATTCTCACCGTACCGCTTGATAGTGTACGGGTCCTTGCGGTTGGCAATAACCTTCTTCATACTCCATGTAATGATGAAAGGACCGGTAGCGGTGACAATGCTAGTTTCCGTAGAGTCGACACCAGTGTTGAAGCGTGCAGTGGTGAACGAGAGAGGTTGTTTGGTCTCGTGCTGGAACTGGGCAACGTGCGCGGGCTGCAAGCCGAGACGGCGGGGCTGAGGCTTCGAGTCCTTCGCGAAAGCACGCTCGAATCCGAGCTTGCCCTCGTTCTTGCCTTCCTTCTGCAATGAATCGATGAGGAGAAGGTAGGTGCGGCAAGTTGCCAGCACCCAGCGTCCATCTGCAGACACATCAAGGCCGATGATAGGCTCGCCGAGAGCCGGGATATGAGTCTTCGCATTGATGCCCAGACGGTCGAACATGCGGATGTCACCCTTGTTAGATGCGACAGCTAGGTATCCCTTCTCGGTAGTAGCCATAGCCGAGAAGTCATTCTTGCTGGCGTACTGCTTCAGATCAGAATCAACAAGCTTGTTGCCAGAAAGACGAGGATCGATGCGGTAAAGGGCGTTCTTGGAGACACCAACGAATGGCTGCGCCGCGGTCATTTGTGCGAATTTCTGCGAGCTTTGTTAGTGTATCCAGAGAAAGATTTCAAACCCTGCGAGATAACTTACATTTTCGGGAGCAAATGTCTCCACGGCAATATCGTCATGGACCTTCCATTCGTCGACGATTTTGCCGTACTCCAGATCCATCTTGTACAGCGAGTTGGGATCGTCTCCATTCTGAAGAATCATATTCTGATCCTCGGCATGGAGCATGACCTTCTTGGGGCTGAACAGGTTGCCCTTAGGGGTCTCGACCTTTGAAATAGTCGTGGAGAATTCAAGGTTGTTGTGAGCGGTGTGCTTGAAGACACCGATCTTGGACCCGCGCACAACGAATGATCGATCATGCTTGTAGCCGACTGCCAGTTGCGAGTTGACGTTTCCATCTGAATCACGAGTGACAACATCTTCTTCCTCTTCATCGCTGTCATAATGCTCACTGCGCTGAGCATCGTCCTGCTCGCCATCGTATTCTTCTTCCACATCTTCTTCTTCCTCCTCCTCAGCTTCTTCCGATTCCTTGGCGTCAGCATCTTCCATGGTAAGATCCTGGAAGGCATCAAGAACATAGTCTCGATCATTCTCCTTGACCTTGGTCCACTTCAGCTCATTGAGCTGTTCCCATAGCGCCTGCATCAGACCTTCCTGGAACCGTTCTTCCGAGGCTTGGTCCTTGAACCGCAGGAGCCATGAGTAGGCCGAACCATCTTCACCGTAGTGGTTGAAGATGAACGAAAGATATTCGAAGTTAAAGACGGGGTTGATATCGGCGACGACAGCCTGTCCTAGCCACTCCTTGTCCTTGCCGGCAATCTGGAGCCAGTACTGCCAAGTACCAACCTCCGAGACAGTCGCAACGATGTCCGATTCTTGGAGCACGAAGGTTCCAGTGGAAAAGTCGAACAAATGCAGCTCAGCATTCTCCTTGCAGAGAATCTCCTTCGCTTCGGGATGGGCTACAGACGGCGGGGCAGTAGTCGGTTGCTCCTCGAGAGTGGCAGTCTTGATTTGTCCTTTGGACTGAGCATATTCCACGTCTCGTGCCATGGCTGCAGCTGAATCTTCTGCCGACACGGAATTTCCGCGTGCCTTTATGGTTGGCGAAGAGACTGGACTGGCAGACGGAAGGGGGTTTTCCTCGTGGTATGAGAACTCCTCCAACTCTGCCTCGGTGGCCTTCTGTGCGCTGCGGCGGTGTTTGCGTTCGTACTGACACTGGAGGGCAGCAAGCTCGAAAGTGGCAACTTTATCCGATGGGACCGAAGAGTCACAGATGAATTCAAAGATATCACCAGCGTCGCCGCTCAGGTCATCCCAGGCCAATATCTTTGCGCCTCCTTCACGGAGTTCAGAGCGGAAGTGCAGGGTTTGGTCCAAGAGGAAAACTTTCTCGTCCTTATCTAGGCCGTCGCCTGCGCCTTGCTCACCGTCGTCGTCCGCAAGTTCTTCCTCGCCCTCTTCGTAGGCTCTTTGAATTACAAGTTGGTACTGAAAGTCCTGTCCGGTCCGTCGGATCGTCGCAGCGGCGTCCTTGAAGATAAGCTCAGAGTAACCTTTGGGCGACTGTGGGCGGACCAGGTACAGCTCGCCTTGCGGTATTTCGATGATGGATTCTTTCGAAGCATCACCAAACAGGAATTTGCTCACTATCAAATTAAGAGAAGACGAAAGATTAGTTTCCTAGTTCAAAACGGTAAAGAAGCAAAAATTGCCCTTGTATGGAGGGGTTTGGCGGGGCATGAAGACCGTGTTGCTTACCGTTGCGGAGCATAAACATGGTTGCGAGGGGCAGCTGCCAAACAAAAATTCTAGAGGCGGTTAAATGGGAAGGAGTAGGAAGAAGAAGTGAAGAGAAGGTAATGTGGGAAAGAGCGAAAAAGATAGGCTCAGTGGCAAAGGCTCTTCTGCCTATATGAAGAGGATAGCGAGAAAGAAGCGAAAGCAAGTCTTCAAGTGCAATAATCACAATGAAAGTCGCCTCCGTCATAGATTGTGGCTGTTGTGGCTAATTGGCTTAGGTAAGCGGTCGATTTCGTCAATATGCCGAAATAGGCACTATGCTTTTCTACATTCATAGCAATGCTCAACCAGATAAAAAAAAACTCCGTGCAGACGATAATCAATGTGAGATGATTGATACAAGGGTATTTTCACACCTCAATTGATGATTGTCTCCCTTTTGGCGTTGTAAATATGTACAAGGTATTCATTGGATAGCTCAAGCTATTCCTTTTCTTCGTTTTCGTCCTCGCTTCCTTCCTCGAAAGCTGCAATCTCTTCCAGCTGCTTCTTCTGGTCTGCTTCGAGTTCATCCTCATTCCCATCTCCATCATCATTCTCGGCATCATCCTCGCCCTCATTCTGGTTTTGCTTCAAAGCGCCACCTTTCCGGGTAGGAATAACCTTCATGAACGCCTTGCCCCAGTCACGAAGCTCCAACCATTGAAGCATAATCTCAATGACATGGTTGGTGGCTAGGACCGGACGATGCGCCATTTGAATGTACTGGCCGATCGGCAATTTGGCAGTTTTGATGCCCTTTGAAACCGCCTGATTGTAGCAGACTGCCTTGTGTCGGTTCTTATCCACTAGCGCTCCAACAATATAAGTGCTGTAAGGCTTCAGCTCGGTCAAAGTATTCTCACTATCGCTGCTGAGATAGATGATTTCCCCATCCTCGGGCTTCGCATCAGTTTGTTCAGCAAACGGCCCAGCGAGCTGACCTCCTCGCGCGGACGCCATCTGTTCTTTGGCCAGCTCAGCAGCATGCACAAAGTCTTCCTGCAAAAAGCGAATACGCTTCCAGTTCTTGTGACTCGCTAACACGGTGTCAAATCGCTCTTTCAGTAATCTGTCGAATGACGAGAACATCATGTGCGCATTGAAGGGTGCGCGGCTGTTGTCTGAGTAGGACCGTGTAAGCTGACCGGCCAATGAGATGCGCTCTCTGTCAGACATCAGCTCGTCGTAACCGCAATCCATCACGATCGTTAAAGGTAAGAGTGTTGACCGGGTGTGCTTGGCTTTGTTGCCTCGCCATAACACCCGTAGCTCTTTGACAGCTTCCTCGCCGCCTTTTTCCCTTGCCTCCACAATCATAGCATGGCGACGTTCTCGCTTTTGTACGAGCTTTTCCTTCTTCTGGGCCTTTTGAAGCGCGCGCTTTTGCTGGTGAGCTTCCGCGCGGCGCAATTTCTTCATTTGGTTTTTCGACATAACAGGCGCGGCTCCCTCGGCGCCATCTTGAGTTGCAGATTCATCGGCAGTTTGTGTCTCCTTATGAACCGTAAATTCTGAGAGATCGAGAGGTTCGTTGCCAATCTGAGCGGTCGCGGGCTGCGCTTTGTTGCCGGCAACATCACCAGCTCCAGTCATGGCAGGGGCGGGCACCTCGTGGGTGATATCTTCGTGATCCAGTTTGGCTAATTTCCGAGGCCGTTCTTGCTCCTCCATAGTAGTTTAGTGGAATTGGCAAACAAAAGATAAAGGTGGGCTGTCGATTGTAGATCAAAAGTTCAAAAAGCGCTCCGAGACTCATCGACCAATGACGTGCGCCGCAGCCCTCATTACTGTGCAAACTTCACGTGACCCTCCAGACCCAACTTCTCCAATCGTCACAGCGGCTCCTCGGTATCCCTCTAAGCCCTTAACCCGCTCAATACCGTCACAATGCCTCAGGATATGCCCCCAACGGGGGGCTACGCGCAAGTCCAGTACAAGGTAAGCCTTGCAACTCGGCTTTCTGGCTCGCAATGGCCCTGCGCACCCAGCACACAGACATCCAAGCTAACGTTTCCTTTCTTACTCTCTATAGCGGAACGTCCCTGCCCGCGGCTTCAAGCCCGCCTACTATATGATTGGCATGCACGTCATCATGGCTTACGGTTTCTACAAGTACTTCCACGGTGTCCGTGAGCAGCGGTACGTTTCATCCAGCCACAGGCACCTTTCCTTCCTCCGATCGACCCGAGAGAACCGCAATTAGAACCCAATGCAAACCCGGTAGTGGAAAAGAAGTGAACTTAATGACTGATACGTGTTTGAACGATAGCGAGCTCGCCCGTGAGAAGATGTGGTCCCGTCTGCACCTTACTCCTCTCCTCCAGGCAGAGGAGGACCGCGACCAGGTCCGCCGGCACTACGCCGACAAGGCGCGTGAGAAGGAGCTTCTCGGCACCGATGCCAAGGTCTACAACTCCGACCGGTATGTTCCGTGCAAGCGCAGTTGAGACGCTATATTGTTTCCGGTATTGATACTAATTTTGCTTGTCTGAACAGCTTTGTCCGCCCTACTTTCGCCTATACCCCCGCCAATCTCACTCAATAGACAGTCTGACAATGTCACACTTATTTTGAGCGATATTGTACCTCATTTCCCTCCTTTTGACTCTGTATGATGCTGGTGTTTTGGGATGCTTGGTTGGGTGACCTCTTGCCTCCATGGTATACGGACTGAACTGGGCCTTTCTGATCGTTGTGGGAGAGCTAGAAACATTGTGGTGGCAGTTGGATTGAACCGTCTCGAAGCCTTTTCGAGGAAAACATTGTAGATATTACTTGCCTAGTGAAGGGTTTAGTTCAGTCTTTTGCAATATGTCTTATTTCTTTACTCGTTCCAAAAACTTCTTCTCGTGGCAGAATCACAAGTAGGCTTGAGGTAAAGAAAGTAATATATTCGTGCATAATGTGATGTGGCTTTTCTATGATATTATCTCTTGCAAAGCGCCGCTGCTCGCTAACGATGGGGGTAGTTGATAAGCTGCAACGCAGATCCAGACAAAAAGATCAAGCAAGGCGAAATGTGACACTGCAAAAATGGCAGTTTGGTCGCCAATGGTGTAAAGAATGGAGATAGACATCCATGGTATGTAAAATGAAGAATCAACAAGCGCGGTGGCACCGCAACATGTTTCAATTTTTCATGACCCAAAAGCACATGATGCTGAGGCTATCCAAATAGATCAGCCACACCACCAAGATCGGGGCCATCATTGATATCAACACGGTGGTTCTGTTGCTGAGTCTCCATCTCATTGGTCATATACCTCTCCTGCAATGCTGAACGGGCCTTACGACGTTCCTCGCGAGAACCCAGTATCTTCCCTTGCTCGGCAACACTGATACCGCGCAAAGGCTCGAGAAGCTCTAAGACTAATGCACGCTGCTGTCTTGGTGAGGTAGTTTGATGAAGTGCAGACTCGGTCTGGGCCACTTTCTCTGCGCTGATTCCAGGCAAGCTCAGGAAAACAGCACGAGGCGTCTCGCTACAGAAGCCATAGAGACACCAAATTGATGCAATTAGCTGAGCGAGGTCCTTTTGCATATCAACAAAGTATGATTCATGTACAGATGAAATGCATGCTGTGAGGACATCAGTACATATGAATTCGCGTATGGTCGCGATAGTTTGGGTGTCCTGAATATCGTTCGTGGGCGCAAAGTCTTGTAGAATTGACCGAATGACGCGGGTGATAATGCTACCGCTACGCGTATCGCGCATGCGAAGAGCGTGCGTGCAGAAAAGCATGACTGGCTCAAATATCGCGGGGGAAGAGAGAACGAAATGGCGAATAGAATCAGAGAGGTTCGGGGTAGGCTGGGGTGCGCTGGGATCCGATTCAGTCCCATCTGGGTCTGAGAGGTAACGTTCCGTCAGTATGGGCTGGTTTAAGCTTTGGCATAGTCGATGGGTCAGGGATTGTTTACCGCCTCTCTGTGGATCGAATAGGCTGGCTACCATGATCACAGCAGAGTAAGTCAACTGGCGAAGGACACTTTCGGACTTCATCTCTGTGGTGAGATCGCCATCCGAAATTCCGTTCCTGCGTTGTTCTATGATTTCCCATTCTGTGGTGACTTTGCGATCAATGTTGGTGAATAGAGTCGATAGCATGGGGGGCAGGAATTGGCTGCGGAATTGCACGGGGCAGTCATCAATCAGACAACGTGAGATGTTGAGAAGAACCGAGAACTGGTGGGAGGAGAGATGCGGTGAGTCAACAAACAGTGCTTCAGATAATGGTCCTGGGAGTTCGGCGAATCCATAGAAGTGCTCACGCATCCTGCTCATGCTGAACAGCATAGAGTAGCATGCTTCGCGGACAGCTCTGACTTTTCCTCGAACTGATGATGCAAACCCTTCAAGTGTAGACTTCGATGATGTGATTCTGGCGTAAAACTCGTCGCGGCTGCCAATGGAAATACCAGCCTGCCAAAATCGATCTGTGAGGATGCGTTCAACCACTGGTTGCATACCTTCGACCATATTCCAATTGGCAGGATTGTGGAAGGCATGGGCGTGTCTTGAAATTGAAAGTTAGCCTGGTGGCATGAACCTGCATTAACATAGATGATTACCTGACAAGCTGCAGCAACGTGGGAAGAACCACAGGGATCAGATCGTGCCACATCTCGCAAGCGGTCACGTAAGCTGGTGAGGACTTTTTGACTCGATCCGTGGAAACAGCCAACATAGTCTTAGTACCACGCAATGGCAATAGCTAGAATATATTGGGTCAGATTGGAACAGCACAGAAATAGGGGTTGGGTTTCTTACCTGGAACTTTCTGGTCATCTCTTCTTGAACTAGCCTTCCTTCGCTATCCAAGACAACTTCGGACCAGTCTGGAATTTTCTGTGCTTCTTTGGATTGCATGTATGGACCGACATTTTCTAATCCAAGCATATTGCAGAACCCAGGGAAAGTGGAGCTGTTGTGACGAAATTCGTCGTCTTGCCATGACTCTCGGATGGGCTGCAGGAAGGATGCGAGACGATTTTGGCGCAGATAAGGATCAGCATTAATTGCGCGTTGCCTGCATTGTGTCAGTAGGGGACAGTTTTAGATGAGAACAGGGATGTGAAGGCAATTTACATAATAATGAGCAAGATAGAAGTCAGTTCCATTTGCAACTTGTCATCGACGTGGTTAGCCAGCGTGATTTCTTTGATCTTTGGCTCAAGAAGATCGTAGAAAGTCTACAGTGGGCATGGTTAGCGACTAGTAGACGATCAGGATGTGAGAATTGACATACATAGAAGTAGTCAGCATAGCGCATAGCCAACCGGCGAAGTTCAGAGCTTGCCAATCCATGGAGTTCTTTGACAGCCTCGGAATATAATGGGTATTCAGAATGGTCTGGTAGACGAGACATGAGAATGTGCTCCAGAACTTTGAGCGCAAATCCCGGATGATTGTCCAAAGCCTTTGAAGATATGTCGACAGCCAATTTGATGACTCTCTGTTTCAGGACCGGATCCTATGGCAAAGAGATGAGTGGCTGGAATTCCCTGGATTTGTGCAAAATCACTTACCTCAAAAGACCTTTGCATCAGACTTGAAGCCCAGTTTTCCACCGCATGTTCTAATTCCATTCGTTTAGACTCCTACAACACATTAGCAACCGATTATCCATTTTCCCGCGCCATTCTCTTACATCACGCTGGGGTGCTTTTCCATGAGCCGAAACCCACTTGTTGTAGCCCTTGATGACAGCCTCGACCACTGAGAATTGAGCATCTGCTCGCATGAGAGGAATCGAGGATTTAGTAAAAGTTTGCACTGTAGAATGAATCAGTCTCTAAGTCCACAGTTGGTCGGACTTTTGATACTCACTGCTAAATGGCTCAACGCCACTATACAAGTTGTCGAGGTTGGTGTCCACCCGGGCCAGAATTTCACGCACCGCTTCTTGAGGCCGCTTGAAGGTGATAGTTTCGATGATCGAAGAACAGTAACGGCGGTAGTTGCCAACAAAGGCATGCCGCTCTGGAATTGTATCAATGTCCTCTACCAAAAACTGCACGGTAGGATCATCGGATTCAGTCGGGAGAGACTCCCAACGGAGAAGCCTCTGGGTGCAAATGTTCAAGAAGTGAGGAGTTTGCTCTAGCACAAAGCCCAGGTTACTTATTTTTGAGCTTTGTAACAGCCTGGACCAAAGATGCAAGCACGGTATGGAGACTGTCAAGCTCTGGTGTTGCATGATGTTGACCATGAATTGCAGGAATGGCGGCAGATTCAAACGGTCCATGGTAGAGACTAAGAACTTGTCGTCTTCCAAGCATCCTGCAATGTATGAAACCATCTCAGAAAGCTTTTTGGAGATAAGATATTTGGGATCATCGACATCGTCCGGACCCACGATTGACCATTCGTAAAGCCGTTGAAGAACAACGAGGTATTCTGACTCAAACATCAGGCAGACTAGCTCGTGGGAGTCTTCGCTACCGATGGTGTTTCTTCCGTAGAGCGCATGAAGTGCTTCAATTGCAGCGAGCAGCACCTGGTCATCTTGACAAGGCAAAGCTCGGAAAATGCTGGGAACAACCTGGGAGGCAATGACCCCTTTGTAGACAGACCATGACAGGGCAGATCTCAGAGTTGCCAGGGCCTTTATGGCCGCATCCCGAGCCTGTTCCGAGCTAGAGACATTCTGGACGCAGTTATCGAGGAATTCGCAGATTCGAACGAGCCAGCCCTCCTGTCCACAGCGTGGAACGGTGGCGACGTTTTTATCGCCAGTAATTTGCTCTACAATTCCTGCAGGGGTAAAGATCTCAATGAGCGACCGATTGAGCTCACCTCCCCGCAATGACGATGCAGTATCTTCTCGGAAAAATACATCCTCGGAAAGGGTCTCCAGAACAGCGAGTACCAGCTCCTTGTGAACGAGAGATGCACCCCAGAACTGAACCAGGTTAGCATCCATATCCATCCAATCCAGTCCCCAGGTCTTCTTGGCGGCCTCGCTCCACAGCTGGGAGATCTTGTTCCGGAAATAGGCAGGGTCTTCGGGGCGGACGTTCTCGGCGAGTTGCAAAATCATCATGCGCAAGGACTTGGCTTCTTCGGGATTGGTGAAGTTGTATTGGCGAAGAACGTGATCCAGGAGAGTAAGACCGAAGTATCGAACAACGGGCTCATGTTCCATACGAGAAGCCAAAAGGAAACCATTTCGCGCGGCGGCAACAGAATCTTTCAGGCTCTCCACGAACTGCGAAGCCTCCTTACGGATCTCGTTTGACGATGTAGGGTTGTGAATGAGTTGCAGGGCGCGGATGATATCGGCCATGCCGCTCTCTGACAGCTCCTCCGCAGCCATCTTGCTGATGCGTTGCAGAAGTATTTGGTGAACAAAAAAGTAAATTCTCGGTGTCGTTTCACAGTAGGAGACCGCGTCTCATAGTCAGGAGAGGGCAGGTAAGACTCGATGGCCGTTGAACTTGTCCTGTGTTTGCTTAGCAGTCGGACACCGCAACGGCCATCCGCACGCGCCACTCGCTCTTTCCGGGGGAGGGTGGTTCGAGGTTGAGGACCGAACTTGAAGCTGTGAATCGGTACTTTTGCAATGCAGGGGGGTTGGCGCAGGTTAAGATCACGAAAGGGACGACTTGCAGAAGACAATTGGTGACTTGTCGGGCTGAGAATTTTCCCTGGAGATCAACAAGGGCACACCGCTCACCCGTTGATGCTCCGCTCTTCTTTCACTAAGTGTGCGCTAGATAGAAGACTAGATGAAAATATGTTAAGGTTAAAGAGGATTAGTTATGTAACAATTGCTATAATATTTCTTTGTTTTATGCTAATGTACGTTGTTGGTGTCATCATAGCTGCCTATGATGCCCCCGAGCTATGCCCCTCATCATTGTTTATCTTATCTCGCATACCCCCGGCTGTTGTATACTTCGACACTATAGACCTGTCACATACATGTATACCTAAAAAGTGATATTAGGTATCATTTGACAATCCGATTGTCTTTTATTGTCTTTTCTCGGGGGTTCTTTTACCCTTTGAGGATTTAAAGAGGTGGTGGAAACAAGAATAATGGAAGATATGTAACGAAGCAATTGATCTTGAATTGGTTATTAGGCAATTTAACACTTAGAACACAATAGCAATTTCACATTACGACACATTGGCCCTTCTGACATTGTTCCAGATAACTGACATCTTCGCCTCCAGGATTAGCAAACTCTCCAGGCTTGCGTTTGAGTCCCTCGATCTTGATATCCTGTTCTCCTTCGGCATGCCACCATCGAAGACGCTGTAGCTTGACACCCTGGATATCTTGAACATCAATGTCATATTTGCCACCGCTGACTGCAACAACGATGCAACTTTCTGGGAAATGGAACTCGGGAAGATATATTTCGGTCGGGGCGTTCGCGGGGGTTGCTCCTTTGGCCGTCAATGATAGAGTAAACGCACAATTCTTGAGATCAAAAACATGACTATCCAACTTTCCGCTGACGTATGTTGGACTCGGGCGGATGTATGCCTCTGCAGCACGATATCCTTGCTGTTGTTTTAGACATGGCTGAGAGTGGTCACTAGAGATCGAAGGAGTTGACAAAACACCTTTGAGATTATGAGGTCCAACATTTGGCTCTTCCGCGCTACTCTGGCTTTCGGAGTAGGCAGGGGAATGGGGATCAAGGGGTCGAGTGGTGGATCCTGCTGGCAGTTCTGGATCGTCGCGGGAATAAATAGACAGGTCCTCGCCATTCCATTGATCACCCCATTCGTGGTCGTTCTACGTTGTGTTAGTACCATTCATGGTCTGAGGAGCAAAAATACCTACTTGTGTGACATATACCCACAAAGTAAAGCCATTGGAAGTGCTGCCTTCTAGTGCAAAATGGTTTGCATCCATGGCGCTGGTTTGGCTACTATAGTCACCGGTCTTGTATGCATTTTTGTCGTCCATGTCATAGGGAATTCCAATCTCCGTGAATACCACCGGATGACTGCCCATGTAATTTCGGCTTTCATCGCGGAGGAATTTAAGCTGGTCACGCAAACAGTTGCGAATGGCCGATTCGCCAATCTTGAGGGCAAAGGCAGGGGTGAGGTACTTGCCCCGGAGGACACCAATAACATCCACATTGTAGAGTCGATTCCTAGATGAAATTAGTAGGGCCACATCTAATTGAAGAACCTTGACCAAATCTCACCAATGCTTTGTCAAAAGAGTTAACCCGTCATAGTAATGAACCGCATGGACCATGTTTGGATCATCGTCAGTAGTGCCTTTGACATCAGGCGGGACCTCCATCACAGGTGGCTGGCAAAACATTATTGCGTCGGACCAGATTCCTCGAATGGCATTTTTGTATGCTCGGTAATGATCCAAGAAATATGAGTTTGTAAATCTCTCATAGTCAAGTGGTTCGCCAGTCCGAGGATTCTTTGAGAAGTAATCCTTCTGTAGAAGGGTGTCTGTGGACGGGTCCCAGACTCCATGCTGAGCCCATATGCACTCTCCAAGTTTCCACCCAGGGTCACGTTGCCAGCCATATTTGCCATCATCGTGATCGGCTGGCAACCAGGCTATTTCACCTGCTGGATCCACTAGGTTTGTCCCAGTTTTGTAAGGTCCAAAGTTGCCAAATGCCCACGTTGTCTGCTCGCAAGCCTTGCCTGAGCCGGTGAGCATTGCTTGGAATGCAGTCGGTGAAGTACCAAGTTGGAGTTGTTGTTCCGGCGGAATTACTGAAATGTCTTTCACACCAATAATACCACGGTGTGGTTCATTCATGCTTTCCCAGCCAATGATAACTTCGCCATCCAGATCACCCGCTTCATGAATTCCCCGTGCCAAGTATGCACATGCATCAATAAAGTGTTTCTGGAGATAGTCTTGAATGTTCATCCCATCAATGACCGCTTTAGGAGCAAAGTCCCGCCCAGCCCAAAATAAGGTGAACATAGTTTGACAAACTAGTCTAGTATAATTCGTGCTCCAGATCATCTTAGGAAATTCTGCGGGGATGTCGTATGTGTTTTGAACCAAGGCGGCTTCCGTGTCTTTGAAGGTTTTGGGGTTTAGCCCCGCTGCATAGAGCGTCCACATTGGTGCCCCAGATCCTCCTGAGAATCGAGACCACTAAGAGGTGGTGGGTTAGCATGAGGTTGTATGTTCTTTGCCCCGGTGATCATCTATACTTACCACATCCTGATGTGGGTCCATAAAGACCCAGAAGTCGTATTGTTTGGCTATCCTGAGTACTTCTATAGTGAATGCAACCCACTCATCGTCGTACATTCCCGGTCCTGCATGCTCAATGGCTTCCCAGGTAAAGATGTACCTGATTGTGTTATAGCCCCATTTCCGAAGGCGTTTGAAATGAAGATGGGCATCATCTAGTGGAAATGGCCGTCCAACAAACGAGACATTGTTCGCATCAAAGAACTTCTCGGCGACGTATGTGGGTATGTCGGGTGTCTTGGGGTATTTCGCATCGGCCGCAACATTTATCCCCCTCAGTGTAATCTCCCGGTTATGGGGGTCTCGAAAAGACTGTCCCTCAACCTTTAGACGCAGAGGGGCCATTGTTGCCCCGAAGGTCAAGTCGATGAAGTCGCAGTTTCGCGCGGGAGGTTTAAGGGTGGGCAAGTCAATAAACGAAGTATACAAAGCTCACAGTTCGTAGGAAGTAGATATCTGGACCCAGGCAACGACGTTCCTATTCCTTCAACTCGGCTAGTAGTAGTGCAATAGCTTGCGAACGAGCCTTGGCAACCCTTGCGAAGGTCACACGTCCCGAGCTGTCCGATACCTTCGTACAAATCACCAGAACACGTGATTCTAACCACTTCAAGAAACCTTCCAGGAGGTTTTGACTTGCTAGGGTTGTGCTCAACACGTCTGCCGTGAGATATTCAAGGTGATTCTTTTCTTTCTATCTGCTCATTCAGACTTCCAAGTGCAACAGTGGACTCATTGCCTTCAGACTAGTGTCCACCCTCGATAACGATAAGCAGTGACGTATCGAGAGCTAGCCGACCGCTTTGCTCCACCACGACAGTTTCCCCCCGCTGTCTCTGCACAACGGGAATCATGTCGAGCAAAGCGGCATTGAAAGCTGTGCGAGCAGCTTTGGAATCGAAGGATTACCAAGCGGCTGCTGAAAAAGCTAAGGAACTTGTGAAGAACGAGCCGAAGAATTACCATGCGTATGCCAATTCCTGATCCTGTACTGAACATGACTAATTCGGGTTGTTTTTTTTCTCGTTAGGAATGTCTTCCTTGGTCTCGCCAACGATCGGTTGAATAAGAATAATGACGCAGAGAACGCTTATGTTGCTGCGACCTCTATCAATCCCAACGATAAAACTGCTTGGCAAGGCTTGATCTCCCTGTACGAGAAACAGGGTGGCTGCAGCCATGATGGTTATCACAAGGCGGTCATTGCTCTTGGAAATATATTTGCCGACAAGTATGCTTTTATTCCTCGGTGATTCATGTATACGAAGGGAAATTGACTAATGGCTTCTAGCGACGAGAAGGAACGCTGCCAGGATCTGGTCAACAAATACACAAAGTCGATGAAGAACAATGGGACCATAAGTCAACACAAGCATGCATTGGAACTCCAGATACCGGGGTCGCCTCTGTACGACTTTCTTGAGGGCCGGTTGCCTCGTCCATCCCAAACATACCAGCGATTGATCGAAATCACCGAGCGTCAAGAAAGAGAGTTTATCAATCGTGAAATCGGAGAGCGCAGAACGCGTCTTGGTGCTCGCATCGAACAAGTGACCCAAGAAGTTCGACGGGAAGCTGCAAACAAGAGCCGATTGGATCAATATTACCAAGGAATGATTGATTGGACCAACGACGATACGGTACGCCGTCAATACGAGGAGAAGTTGTTTCAGCGTGCATATGAAGAACTTGGATTTCTGCCTGATAGGGAGAAGGAGGCGAAGAGAGCAGCCGTTTTCAAGGCAGCACATGACATGGTGATCATCAAACATCCGTTCGAACCCGCATGGAAGGTTTTCCTGGGGTGGTTGGATGTTGAGGATTACTCCCAGTATGACGTGGGGCACCTGCGCGAATACATTGAGTTCTTCCCGGAATCTGGACTCTCGCATGTTCTGAATGGATTTTTATCGAGCGAATTATCGCCATTTCCCAATGAGCCCTCAGACGAAACAAGAGGCGAAGATGCCAACGATGGCAAGGAAACCGCAGCCACTCGACCTGATAATGAAATTGATGACGATGCAACTGCCCCTCAAGACCCTTTTGCTCTTATGGTCGAAGGATTGGACTCCGCTCGAGATTCAATTCTTGCCCACCGCATTATGGCAGATGTCTACCTCTCTTTCGAAGAGTATGAGAGCGTGGTCAATGTTGCTCGTAAGGGGTTACTGTACGTTGATAACTTGGTAAAGTACAGTGGGGTCAAGATCCCTAATACAGTTGATTCCTTGAACAACGCACTTGCCAATGCCATGATTCATTATCAATCTCCCCGGCACCACCCAGATGCGAAAAGAATTTTCGAGGGCATTCTCGAACGGAACCCAACCTCCTCTAATTGCCTGCTTGGGATTGGTCTGATTTTAAAAGAGGACCAGGACTACACTGAAGCCGTCGATTTCCTGCAGCGATCACTTGAACGCGATTCTTCTAATCTCAAGATTCGTGGAGAGCTTGCTTGGTGTGAAGCATTGAGTGGCGATCTTGAAGGTGGCCTAGCCAGTCTTCAGGCTACACTCAAGGACCTGAAAGAAGCTCAACCGGACAACAGGGAGTTCAGATCTGAGCTTCTTTACCGCATTGGTTACTGCCAGTGGGAGCTTGATCCGTCCCCAGCTGCGCGCAAAGATCGCAGTCGTGCTTATGCTAGCCTCGTTGCTTCCATTCAGGCGAATATGAACTTCGCTCCAGCATACACCATTCTTGGTTTCTACTACGCAGACTACAAGAAGGATAAATCCAGAGCTCGAAGATGTTTCCACAAGGCATTTGAACTGTCAACCTCTGAGATTGAAGCCGCCGAGCGTCTTGCCAGGGGATTTGCTGACTCGAAGGAATGGGACCTCGTCGAAGTAATTGCACAACGGGTAGTTGACTCCGGCAAGGCTAGGCCTGCCCCTGGATCAAAACGCCGAGGGTTCAGCTGGCCATATGCGGCATTGGGGTCGGTTCAGGTCAACAAACAGGAATACAGCAAAAGTGTTGTGTCCTTCCAAGCAGCGCTTCGACTCACACCAACAGATTACCATTCATGGGTCGGTCTTGCCGAAAGCTATCACCACTCTGGTCGGTACAACGCCGCCACCAAGACATTTGAGCACGCACAAGCATTGGAACCAGAGCTTTCAGCTGAAGAAAAGGAGCATGTATGGTTTGCAAGTTATATGCTGGCAAATGTCAGACGGGAGCTTGGCCAATACGATGAAGCCATTGCTGCTTACGAACATGTCCTGAAATCCCGTCCTGGTGACATTGGTGTGACTCTCGCGCTCCTTCAGACCCTAACTGAAAGTTCGACAAAGAGCGTTAGCCTTGGTCTGTTTAACGATGCGGCAGAGCTGGCCTACAAAGCTATCTCAGTGGCTAGCTCGCTGGTGCAGATCAAAAGCGACATTTTTAACTTGTGGAAGGCTGTAGGCGATGCCTTCGCCAACTTCTCATACATGAAGGCCAAGGCTGGAAAGGTGTCTACTTCTAGCTGCAAGGCTTTAGTAGCAGTCGATCTCGACCCTATGGCCCTTGATGTCATGACTGATATTGATGGCGTCGGAACTGATTGGCTCGCAGCCAACGAAAGTGAAGACTTGTTGCCATCTGACTTCTATGTTCACCTCTCTATCATCGCCTGTAAACGTGCACTCCATGTTTCCGTGCATGATACTCATTCTCAAGCAGTTGCTTGGTACAACCTTGGTTGGGCTGAATATTTGGCATATCGCAGTGTGCAGCCGGACTCGATCAAGAAAGGTAACAAGTCTCGCAAGTTCTTGAAAGCAGCCATGCGGTGCTTCAAGAGAGCAATCGAATTGGAGGCGGGCAATGCTGATTTCTGGAACGCATTGGGCGTCGTCACTGCAAGCATGAGCCCCAAGGTCTCCCAGCATGCGTTTGTACGAAGTTTGCATTTGAATGAACGCAACGCGCAAGTTTGGACCAATCTTGGAGCACTCTACCTCCTCCACGAAGAAGGACAGCAATCCTACAAGACCTTCTTGCGAGCGCAGGCCACCGACCCAGACTATTCACTGGCTTGGGTGGGCCAAGGTTTCCTTTCAATTAATGGTCGCGAGATGCAGGAGGCGCGAGGTTATTTCGAGCATGCCTTTGATATCTCAAACTCATCCGACATTCTCACTAAGCGCCAGTTCAGTCTGACTCACTTTGATCACCTTAATTCGACTTCTGCCTCCGAGGTGTCCGAACTCATTCAGCCATTCTTCGCGTTGCACCAACTCTGCATCCAGGACCCGTCAAACTTGCCGTTTGTGCACCTTTCCGCCTTATTGGCAGAGAGAATGGGCGAGACCGCAGATGCCGAGTCTAGTCTACAGGTTGTCTGTTCTGGCATGGAAGACGAGTTCGAAAAGACCGAGTCACCAGCTTCCCTTTCGAGGTATGCCCAAGCAAACGCAGATATGGCTCGTGTCCTGCTTGCACGCCATTCTTATGCAGAGGCCGCGGAGAAGGCTGAGCTCGCGCTCACCCTCTCTGAGGAGGAAGACGCGGTGAAATTCGATCCCGAAGCTTGCAAGAAGCTTCGTCTTTCTGCGCATCTGACCGCTGGCCTAGCACATTACAACCTGAAGTCTATGGACCAAGCTATCGATATGTTCCGTGATGCCCTCGAAGAAGCAGACCATGCTCCAGATGTTGTCTGTCTTCTTGCCCAGGTCCTGTGGGCCAAGGGCGGCGAGGAGAATCGGGCTGTTGCTCGCGAGCAACTGCTCGACTGCGTGATGAATCACCCTGGCCACATCGGAGCAGTCACCCTTTTGGGTGCCATCGCTCTTCTCGATGCGGACAAGGACGCCATTGAAGCAGTTGAATCAGATCTTAATAGCATGATCTCGCGCGATGACATCGATCTCCACGACCGAGCTAAAATCATCAAACTTTTGAGTGCCATCTCAGCAATGGGACTCAACGATAACGCAGCCGTTCCTGAAAAAATCAGGCGCATTGGAGATGCCACTGCTGCGGTGATGCTTACACCCGGGCAACCCGCCGGGTGGATGGAGTTGTCAGCAGCGTCGCGAAAGACGTACCCAGCCGCAATGGCCATCAAACGCGCTCTGCGGAGCGTACCTCCTTATGGCAATCTCGGAGCCGAGGATCTCAGCGAAGCCTACGCGCAAACTGGCAAGCTTGGTGACGCCTTCCGAGCGATCATGATTGCCCCATGGAAACGCAATGGATGGGAGGAATTGAGCCACAATGTACCTACCCGGAACATGTGGACGCGCTGCAGGGCAGACCATGACCACGATTCATAAACCTCCCCTACTATGGAAGCGCCGTACAAGCGGTGGACCGGAGTAATCGGACAAGCAAGTAATTACCCTACCACCCTGCCACAGCGCCATACAAGCAAGATGGCTGAGTGAACTTGATGCACAGTGTATTTACTTTAACTGCACAATCAGCTTTTAGCGAACGAACATGAGAACATTAAATTCAAAACAATATATTAAATGTATTCATAATAGACTAAGAGAAATGCAAATTACATACCATAATAAGTGGGAAGTAAAAGAAGTTATTCAGCGGTTGTGTCCACGATGAGCTGTCTCTTCTCATTCTCTCTCGATACCGGCAGTTTTCTCCAACAATCTAACCTTCCTACCCTCCCTCCACGGTTTATCCAGAGCCTCAATATTGCCCCCGAGCAGAGTAACAGACCCCGGAGAGAGCAGCACCATACCTCTCGCAACAGACGGATTACGGAGCAAGAGCTTCGCCCCAATAGCAAGTTTCTCCAACGCTATCCCATCAATACGCTGCAATTCAACACCCACAGCCATAGTTCCCGCTGCATCTTGAAGAATCAGGCGATGCGGCCCATACCCACTGTTCCCGGACACACTCGCAGCACCGCTCGCCGGATTGTTATTCGCGCCATTGTTCTCTGACGCTTCGGAGTCATCGCCTACCGCTATTGTGCGCACAATCTCACGGCCATGGATCGCTTCACCGCGCTCAACGCGCTCAATCGCTTCGATTTGACTCCATAGACTTGTGCCGATGTCTTCGATGTCCAGCACTTGCACAGGGATTGAGCCTTGTATCCGTCGCTCTTGGACTGTCGGGTTATGGACATCGACTGGTAGTACGCATGATCTGTGTTTAGAGAGTGATTCCCTGATGTCAGAGGCGAGGAGACGGAATATAGCCGTCTGCGTGAGAGCCGAGGCGGGGATATTGCGTTGTGATGTGCTGGATGATAGGAAGGCATTGAGCCAGGGTCGGGCGACTGAGAGGGATTTGGTGCTCAGAATCTGAGCTGAAATTTGATCAGGACTAGTCATGATGTTCCGGATTCCCTTAGGATCATATTGGCGCATATGGTAAATCAAAAGAAAGCGAGGTTTGGAGAAGCTCTCAACGCGAAAAACAAAGCACAGACCACCGCTTAAACCCGTTGACCTGGCCCGACTGTCTCACCTCCGACAACTCCGACATACCTCCCCCACAACACACCACAATGTCGACTATATCATCCCCACGTATGTCCATTGCCTCATCTCGGGCACATTCCCCGGGTCCAGCCTCCTCCCGCCCATCGCTCGATGCCTTGAACACCAATGTCGGCGGGGGGCTCAGCGCCGCATCTACCCCGTCCACTGCACGAGCTGTCTCCCCCTCAGTCCATCTCCGACGTAATCGCAGCGCCCTGCGAGACTACTACAACCTCAAACCGCCCGGGGCAGACACATCGGCCTCCCGAGACGCATCTCGCTCCCGGAGTGTTCCGCGCAACACAGATGCAGGAGACATCTCCGACCCAACCGCTCTAACGTCAGGAACGGAGCTCGACGGTGCAGATTTCGACCCGCAGCGATATGTGGAGCATCTATTGTCAACTTCCTCGCTATCTACAGTGCTCAAGGCCGAGAACACATTGGTCGGGGATATCCGCACTCTCGATGGAGAGCGGAAGGCGCTGGTCTACGATAATTACTCGAAGTTGATCCGCGCTGTGGAGACAATTGGGAAAATGCGGCGCAGTATGGATGATCGCGGTGCGCCGTTGACCATGACTAAAACGCTGGGTCCGGCTATTGCCTTTGTTGCTGAGACTGCCGGTGGGCTCATTAAGGAAGGCGAGGAGCAGCGGCGGCGAATGAAGGAAGCGAAGCTGGAAGATGGGGCTTCGAATCAGAAGAATGAGAAGGATACTGTTCGGTGGGTGCTTGCTGCACCGGAGAGATTGGAGAGGCTTGTGGCGGAGGATAAACAAGAGGATGCGGGGAAGGACTGGAAAGAGATCCAGCATTTACTCGACACCTGGGGTGCTGTCAAGGGGGTTGCTGAGATTCGGGAAGCGTGTGAAAAAGTCATGAACCGGTCAAGCAACGATGACTGAACGCCTGCTTATACACCTTTCGGCCATGATCGATGTGGTTGGAGCTCCTCGGCAATGGACTTCTGTCGAGGTGAGCTACCACTTCTAACTGGACCGACAGTTGCGGCCATGAATGAGCCGGCTCATTCATGAAGAAAAGTCGTTCCCGATCTATGCAAGACATGATCAACCGATACCTGCCTCCACCCCTGATTCCAACAAACCACCCCCACGAAACCTCTCCCTCGACTCTGGGAATCCTCCCATGACCGAGCCTACTGCTACCAATGCCCGAAAACACATAAAGTATCATACATGTAGATAACTGCGTTCAGAGATACCCACTACAGCACATTAATCATCAATCATATCCTCATCAATCATAAACAAACCCCAGCCATAATCCCTCCTACTTCCCCTCAAGCACCTCCCGACTCGAATACATACTCGCTTTCAGCCCATACTCATTCTTAGAGTTAATCTCCAGATGAGTAAACGCATCGGCCTTGTAGTAAACAGACTTTGGCCCCTTCCCAACAAGCCCAATCTCAGCCAACCTACTCACAACCCGCTTAACATCATCAAAATCCCCAAAATCAGTCGTATAAACACAAATCAACCGACTCTGTCCAGAGCCAGACCCATCATCAGTAGCAACTTTCGCCACATCCCCAAGCTCTCCCTTCTCCATCGCCCGAACAACAAGCCCCCAGAACTCATCAACCCGATCAACAGTCGGAAAAAGCATCCACTTCCCTTCCGTAACACCCGTCTCCCTCGCCAGATCAAGAATTCCCCTCTCAAGCTCCTTCCGCATTGGATTCAGCTTACGAGTCAGAGCGGCCGTAGTCTTCGCACCAGACTTATCATGCGCTTCGCGCAGGACAGCACTCTCATTCTCGTACTCCTGCAGAAGCTCCCTGCCTTTCCTAAGCAGGGTGGGAACATCACCACTTCGCGGCGGCAGCACATGCGGATTGTACATCCAGATCCAGGGGCCTGCGCTTGCGGAGTCAGTCGTTGAAGGCGGAAGACGCGATAAAAACCGAGCTGTAGGCTCGGCCTTCCCGCGTTGGTTACACTCCACGCTGGATGGTTCTGGGGATGTATCATCCATAGACACGTCGGATGATGTCGCCTTTGCGCGTGGAGCGGGCGCGCGCAGTTGCTGCTGGATGGTTGAGAGCAGCTTCTGATGTGTTTCTACCCAGAATGGCTCTGGGTCGTAGGATGAGACTTGGCCTTCTAGTTGGGCCTTTTCATCGTCGTCGCCTGGTGTGGGTTAGCTGCGGTTCTTGAGTGGAGTAGAGTATGGAATGGGGTTTACCGTAGAAGCTTGATTCATCCGAGAATATTTCATCGGCTGCTGTAGTTTTTGTCATAGTTTAGGCCACGATGTGAGGATATGATGCTCTGGTGGAACAGTTGTTGCGATGTAGTTGGAGATGGGGGAATTGTGGGCGCGATATGATAAACAGCCCGCGTTTGAATTTCCCAACTGCACCTTAACAGTCTACCAACACCTGAGCTACTCACTGAATTTTTTTTGTTTGGAGTCGGTGGAAAATGTGTGCGGTGTTTCTATCAGCCCAATAACCATGTTCTCATTGTCGCACCGAAGACAGGCTTCGGTGTTATAACATCTTCTTTATGCAGTCTACCGGTAGCTACCAAGTCCCTAAATCCATTCCAACTTCAAACGCCTTCAAGTCATATACACTGACAAAAGTTCTTCTTCTGGTTATTGATCTCAGCTTAGTCGGCACCGATAATGCCCGGCCACACCTGATCCACGAACTTGACCAGGTCCGCCTTCAATTCATCAGGCTGCTCTAGTGCCGCGAAATGACCACCCTATATCAAATCAGCGTCAGTCTCAGATCTGAGCTCTCATTCAACTGCCACATCACCTACCTTCGGGTGCTGCTCCCAGAAAACCAAATCTCCAGTAGTCTCAATCCACGAGCGCGGCAGTGGAGCAAGCTCCATTGGGAAAGAAGAAAATCCAAATGGCTTGTGGATATACCAACGGGGGTCATTGGAAGACGGAAGCGGTGGCGCAGGATAGTTCTATTCATTCCCATCAGACATCTTCCTGTCACCAAACATCATTGGAAACTCACCGCTCGATAAGTATAGATTGCTCGAGGGAACGTCTCGGTAAGCCAGTACAAGGTGACAGACTCCAAAATGTCATCTGGGGCAAGCGGGTCGTCGACCCATTCCAGGAATTTCTCTCCAATCCTGCGTGTGTCAACTTTGGAGTTCTGTCAACTACACTGACTTCAACAGCTTACCATGCTAGTAGAGCAATAGGGCTCGATGCCAAGACGTGCCCGATGGTGCTGGGTCGAGTGCCTTGCTCCATCGCATAGCCTGCGCCGGTAGTCACAAAGTTCGTCATTCTCTGAATGCCCTGTCTCTCAGAGGCATTCAGGTGGTCGTCCGACATGCCGTCTGGCTTTCTCATGAAAACCACATTGACTAACTTATATTGGTATTCTGGTCATTGAACAAGCCAAATGAAGAAAGGACCCACCGTGTACAGCTATAACACAATTTGTCAGAAAAAGCTGATTCCTCGCAGTGGCAATATCATGAATGTTCCATACCTTTGCAGCTCTCATACTCCACGCCCAAGTGCCTAGCCATCCGACTTCCAATGTCACCCCCCTGGGCAACATATCCGCTCCCAAAGCCCAGGCCTTTCATAAGTTGATCCATCACACGAGCAACGTCACCTATTTCAAAGTCCCTATCCAATGGGGGTCCAGAGGAAAATGTGAAACCTGGCAAGGAAGGTACAATCAAGTGATAAGGCAAGGTTTCTGGCGTATACTCCTCTCGGAACTTTTGCAGCATAGGCAAAAACTCGAGGAAGCTCCCTATAATACAATCAGCTCACTTTCCATGCATTATCTGCTTGTGACCTACCAGGCCATCCATGCAACAACAACAGAGGAACGGCATCCTTCCTTTCCGAAAACAACCCTACAAAATGAATCGTAAGACCTTCAATCTCGGTGGTATACTGAGGGAAAGTATTAATTCGATTCTCCGTGGATTTCCTGTGACAATTTAGTCCTGTGTCCAATATGCAATGCGGCGAACATGCACATATGCATTGTCTGTGATGTCATTACCAGTGATAAGACCTCAGCCAAAGATCCCGCATGGTCACCAGCCAGTCCGTAGAGACACCATAGCGACGGTCAAGTTGGGAATTCTCATAAGTGGGAGGTGCAAATTTCGCTAGTTTTATCAACGTTTCGAGCTCGCCGAGTTTGGCGTCGGGGATGTTGGCCTTGAATGGTGTAAGAGACGCCGTTGCTGTGGACGGGGTACTGAAAGGTAACATGGCGAAGTAAATGAAATTATATTCAATCGTCTGGACGTTGGCACTTTTAATATATTCAGAACTCGCTCAGGCAATGTGCGGGGTTTTTTAGGTAGATCGACCTGCACGCTTACAAACTATTCTGCTTCCTTGATTTGGTAGCGCTCGGCTAGTGGTGATTAGTTGAAGATGATTAGTTATGCTAGCTTTTCATCATCAGATCTACAAACATATATATGGTGAGTATACGTGTCTTAGTTCTGATTTGAATAAATATTAGGGTGTACTTGAACTATAACTAGCAGAACAGCCCAGTTAGAAATACTATTTCAATGAGTTCCAATATCTACTACAATCCCCTAACCTTCATAACCAACATACGCCTTTGATAGCTTTTCACGAACCCACTATTCCCTCGTCAGTTACCACACCGGGACGGGATTATACCACTTACCTCGCCTGCTTTGAAGGGCTCTTTACACGCAGGCCTATCATCCGAAATATGATTCGGTAAAACTGACACTGTTGTATCATAGTCGACTCCAAAGAAAAAGGGTATGGAGTAACGTTCTTGTCCGGTCAGGTTTGTCACACGATGAATAGTCGACTTGAACTTTTTATTCGTCCTAAACAAGTCAGCACATCTCTCCAGATGAATCACTCAATCAACCTTACCAAATTGACAAGCAATCTGCAATGTTGACGACCAATGTCCCTGGCAACGGTGGCGCCAGTATCCACTCGCCGCTGTGACTCAACACCTGCAGCCCCGGGACACTGCCCTGAGAGAGGATAGTGAAACATTCGAAGTCCTGATAGCAAATAATGAGTTCAGTCTGTGGTATATTTTTCTATATTTTGCTCAATTGCTTACCGTATGAGCCCCAAGCCCTTCACGAACCTCTTCTTCCACCGGCTGAGGCGGGTAATGCATCATCCTAGACGTGACACCTGGGTTCTGAGTCATCGAATCAAAGTGTTCTTCGGGCAAGTCTAAAGCGAGCGCGAATATTCTCATCAGTTTTCGACAGAGTCCTAGCATCATGGCACAATATTCTATGTATGTCTCTGTGAAGCCTGGAAGTATATCTGGGCCGGGCAATTGGTTATCTCCATACAACCCATAGGGATCACGAGGAAGAGGGTCATCTTTTGGTTTTTGAGGATCCATTGCAGTTTCGTATCCGATGTCAAATGCTTCAGAGAGAGCACCGACTGCGTCTTCTTCGGCAATGGGATCATCCTCTGTCCCTGTAGATTTCTCGGAACCTAGGGGGCTGTAGCCGCGGAATTTCTAGTATAGTCTTAGTGTGTCCTTTTGAATGTACAATTTTGCAGGCGTACGGAAGAGTTTCCAATATAGAACTTCATCTTTTGCGAATCGGGGAGGTCGAAGAACCGCTTTGCGGAGCTGTGTATACCATTGATTTTCTCCTCTGAAATTCCATGGTTCTGCAAGGGCAGCGTTAGTACCTGAGGCGCCAAAGTAGAGAGCTACATACCTTGATGTAAAAGAAGCCAGCCTGAGTGCAAGCGTCATAGATTGATTGAGCAAGTTTCCGTCGTTCATCGAAATTCCGACTATCTAAAGCTGATAGGTCGATAATCGGGATATGATCACAATCTACAAGCTGTGAGCTCTCGGTCTTTGACTCGGTCATTCTGCCTTGCGTGGTGCTTCGAGAGAGAAGAGGAACTGCCGCTTTATACCTCGCGGGGTAGATCCCCCGCTGTTATCTTCACCAACCACGAATCGCCGATTGTACAACTGCGGGATTCTAATCGAAATATTAATCTAATCTTCGCAGGTTGTTGACTAATATTTATGCATTTCATATTCTACCCCAAATGTGCCATGAGGCATATATTAATCAACTTGAAAGTACTCGTATCACAATAAACGCTTTCTGGGGCTCATTCCAATATAACGGATATTTCCCAATGCGAATGTTTAAACTGAAGCTTCGGGAGCTTCGGGCTCAGGCAAGGTATCCAACCAACGCCAGGAAACCACGGCCTGGATGAGGCAGGTAATAGCTGCATCGGGTGAGTAAGCTGAACAATAGGTTATTAGACGGTATGACTCACCTAGTGCCACAGTCATGTAAAAGAATCCAACGCCTTCAAAGAGCGAGCCTGTTAACATAGGCCCGAACATCATCCCGAGACTATATCCCACTTCCGTCATGGAAAAGACTCGCAGGTTACTTCTGTTGGCCTCGAATAGATGCGCGTCTTTGGCTTCCATATCCTTGACCACATCTATATTAAAAATGACATTTGTTAGTGGGGAACGGAAAACATAAGATAAAATGGAATCACTCACAGGCCAGTTGCACAGCTCCTACACCGCGCACAAGAGGTAGAATACTACCCAGAGCAATCAAACTGCTGGTGAAGATAGACTTGCCAGCTGCATCTCCGGCGGCCCATGGGAAGTGGGGGTCTCCGGGAATTCCCAGAAGTAAGATTAGAGGAATCATCGCAAGCCAGCCGAAAACGGTAGGTCCCCGTATTCCAATTCGATCGCGAAGCCATCCAGATGGGCCGCTGAGAACGATATTCGGGACTTGAAGACAAAAGAACATCATACTAATGAGTAAGCTCTTCCAACCGAATGCTTCTCTCAGGTGGACGGGGAGGGTGTTGTTAATGCCAGACATGAGAGAGGAGACGACAACAACGTTGGCCAATGCGGTCAACACACGGGGATCAGAGAGCATAGCTCTATAGTATTCGTGTTTGAGGTCATGCTTGTGCTCCACGGTACAGTCATCCGGCTTGAGGGTAGACTGTGTATCAGAAAGTAGAGCAGTCGATTCTTCTGGGCTCCCATCCGTGATGAGAACTGACGTGCCAGCAGGCTTGCTCAAAGACTCAACGCTCTTGGGAGATCCGAGTCCAGGCTCAATCATGACCAGACGGGCAATGATATCCAAGACAAGTACGACCAAGGGAAGTGACCAGGCAGCCCAGTAGCCAAATAACTGGAGCAATGCGCCACTCACTGTTGGTCCGCCGACCATACCTGCAGTTACGAATGACATGGCCATCCCCATGGACTGTCCGAGGTGTTTCTTGTCCACGTTATTTGCCAATAGAGCAAATCCAACCACCCAAGTGCCGGCACCTGCCATAGATTGCAGGATGCGACCAAGGAAGAGGGCCCAAACTGTTCACGGTAATCAGCTTTAGATAGTCGTCGTCAAGATTAGAGATACTCATACCAGACGGGGCAAGAGCAATGAGAAGAGTTCCTATAAAGCATCCTGCCAGAGAAATCAATAGTGGTTTCTTTTGGCTCGGAGTCTTCTCGGCAAGATGAGCGACAATCGGAGCAGAGATGAGACCGATGAACCCATGGATGGTGAGTAAGGCTGTGGTGTACGTCTGAGTTTGTGATGGGTCAAGATGCAGTCGTTCTTCAAGCATATAACTCAAAATTGGAGTAAGAAACCCGTAGAGAAATGTCTCTGACAGGTTGTTAGTATGGGTCAAGATGGGAGAAAATTGAAACAACCACACATACCTGCGAATAAAGCCACAGTAATAGACGAAACCACCAAAAGTCGAGACGAACGCCATCTATAGCCCCATGGCTTTGTGTCGTCCATTTTAATTTATTGAGGGCTTGACAAGAGAAGAACGAAAAGGGGGGGGGGGGGGGGAAGAAAAGAAATTAGTTAAATACTTTCCAGGCGGTAGGATCGCAAGTGGAATACTATGAAATTAAGCTAGCTTATTATAATGGATTTCTTTTACCCTGGCCGCGAGGAACACCAGGTATGTTGATTCTCTGCTAGCGTTGATAGGTTATATGGGCAATGAGTCAATTCGGATCGACCTCGCATCTGAGCTGAACAACGTGATCAACGCCTCAATGCACCTCCAACGGATCTCCATTGGACTTCCATTGGACCTATAATGCACTCTACTGCATCTACAAGGAAGACAATACAAAAATAACAATTTGTGTGTCATCCTTAGAGTTTACGCCATTTGCATATCAGAAGTCTTACGTACGGCACACACACAACCTGCACGAGTATCCCGAATGGAGCTGGAGCCTCAAGTTTACGGAACATTTGTATACAAGATTGATCCACCCGATGAGTCCATAGCTATTACGCGAATCTGTGTAGTCGATATCCCGTCGGCAACCGTCGGACAGAAGTCCTATGTAGTATCAAATTTCCCCGGGGCTTACCTATCTCAGCCGCCGCTTTTACGGAGTCTGTCTCAGTAAATTTGAGTCCGGGCTCAAGCTCACTTTGATTGGCTACTGATCAATTACTCAGACCTAGGCCTTGAGCACCATGTTCGGTCTCTAAGCCTTTGCCCACTGTTTATCAAACACTTTTTAAATGGCATTTCTCAACCTATACCTAAGGATCCGCCTCCGCTCTATTCGATCTAGAGCATGAATATTTCGAATATTGATCAACCTTGTTCCGTGTTTGGAGACACAATGGCACCTATGCTCTAGTCCTGGATGGCTACCTTCAAGCTTCACACCGAAGACTTTGCTAGATATTGCTGTTGTTGAGCGCTACTAGCGAAGATTAATGTGGACACATTGCAGAACATGACATATTGAGTAGGGAATAACGCGCGAGAATGGGTTTTATATTTAGTAAAATGATGCCTATATGGACTACTACCTTCTTCTAGAGGTCCACGCAATCGATATGAACCTTTTTCAACTCGATGCCTAGCCCATTATGGGGAAAAGAAAAGGCTGCAGTCTGATGGTTAGTACTAGTGCTATGTCAATATTTCGAGCTGTTTGCCCGTCGCCGTGTCTACGAAGGCGCCAATAAACAGATGCGACGAGTACGAGCATTCCTCTGTGCTGGGGGAGGTTAAGCTAATGATGATATAGTTTCTTGGGCGTGGAAAGCTATAATAAGGCTGTGGCCTCCAAACGCCTTAGGTTAGTTGAATTTGGGCTAAGTACTTGATGACTGTGGATGTGCAATTAGACCGGCTGTACGCCACAGCGTTTTGTCGATAGAGGCCTCCGATCTGTTAACTGGCGTCTACTATCGTTTTGTAACCATAACAATTTTCGAACAAATAGAAAATAATTCGGAAACAATGGCTCTTGCGCAGTGAATAATTTAATATCCTACCTACCATCAGGTCTCCACAATATACTCAGATGTGCATTTATCAGTAAGCCAGGAACCTAGGAGATAAAACAAAACTACCATAGGTCCTCCTCCATAACTAGAGAAAGAGAACGAACATCCATCACACCGGTGTATCACCTTCATCCGAATCCTCAAGGTCTAGGACTTTGCCATCAAAAGCAGATTGAGTAAATATCTCCGGCTCTGCACAGACAAAACTATTCGAGGGGAAACACTTTTCACTACGGTAGAAGGGGTTTCAGTGAAAGCGGACTGAATAATCCGATCATGCTTCCGAGTGTCTGTCACTAGCTTACATGCTCAATTGGCATATTCCTTGATCCTAGAATGTTTGAGTTTTGACATCGAGTTGCCCGTTTCGCTGAGGTGATAGACGATTAATGTAAGATCTCATATACTTTCGTATTACCCCTCGGTTTCTCTTTTCCTATAATACCTGTGGATGCCAGGCAGACCTCGCCAGCCGTGGGTTTGGGCATTAGGTGACTAGCAGGCTCAGTGAGCACCTTCGGGGCTGGACAGTGTGCTTATGTGATGCTCAGTGGCGGCCAGGCATGCCCAGGTGCTCAGTTGGACTTAGTGAGCAAAAAGCGGCAAGGTCTGGGTACTAAAACGGAAAGAGAACGCGAAAACGTGACAGGGATCAGTATATCGTACGGAGTATATTGGCAGATGATAGTACTATCACCACCATCACTTGCGTGTCCGGCCCCTTTGATCCGAATTTGTTAAAAGGCTGAATGTCTCACACAGTAATAAAAATGGGGTCTGCCATGAAATGCAGTGAATCAATAGTTCGAAGGATAAGGCATAGTGTGAGACCAATCTCATTGCTGCAACTCCAACCAAAAGGGTATATATCTGTTAATCTTCATATGGGATTGTATTGTTTTATTTAATATTCTCTCGTTGACAATTGGTTAATAGCTCCACAAAATGCAGCCAATCCGACACTAATAGGAATTATATATAGCGATTATAATGTAGTATCGGCTCTAGGCAATTTCCATAAATAGCGAGATTTATTGGTTGGATACTCCGAAATGGCTATGACCATTCCATATGACTACGGATAGGCAAATGGCAATAAAATCAGCACTAATTGTGCCAAGCGCCTATCACCTCGGAATTTGTCCTATTGACTATTATGGCACCCAACATGGATGTATAAGTGACCCCAGAAACCCCAGGAACCCATCTGGGGTATTTGTCCCCTAATTATTTGGCTCAGGGTGCTTGGTTTCATTGTTATGGCTACGTGGTGGATCTAAGAATTTAGCCCCGAGTCACTGGAAAGCGGCCAAAGTGGTGATTCTAGAGTTTTGTGGAGAGTAGTGTGAGACACTCTTGCTGATCGAGCCACCTCTTCATGGCTCTATCTCCTTCTATGTACAATATAGCTAGACAACAGTCCACGAAGTGCATCAACTAAAAGGTGAACTCGTCCGAGAGAGGGTCGACCTCAGCTAAGTACCTTTCGGAGGATTACTGGTAGCCAGAAGCAAGTCTTTGTCGGCCACTAGTAACTTAGATGGATGGCATTTCATGCATTAATCGCAAGACATATGATTAGGTCCATGTGGTTAAAGCCATCGCTAAACATTGCTTATTAGATATCCCCACCATTATTCAAAATTTGTCACACTACTTTACTTGAGTAGCAAGACTAGACCCCGAGCTGCCGTTCGATGCTTCCAACGAGTTAATTGAACAGCCTAACGATATATTCTACCGAGATATCACGGTGATTGAGTCCTACATGCAGTGGGCTCTACCAATATACATGATTCCAGGGGGTTTATTCCGCTGTCGGCCGTCCCCCTCAATCCAAGTGGGAAGGCTGATCGCCGCCTGCTTGGGGACTAGATCTCAACATGGTCTTGGGAGAGCCTTCCTTGTGAGGATCTTGCCGCCGGATATCAGGGCCGTGATCTGCCTACTGCTGCCCTTTTTTTCGAGTCACATACATCATATCTTAATTGAATCAAAGGACAAAGCGCATACTATGTGGCGAGCCCTTCTCCACGGAGCCAAGGTACCCGATTTCACCTGACCCGGATTACAACAATCCGATGCGTCTGTCCGGATGCAGTCAGACTCTCAAGTAGTTTGTTTGCACCAAACGGGCGAAGAAAGGCAATATGAAGCACAATGCTTACCAGCATCCAGACTAATTCCGTATCTCTATCCACCGGCGAATATTACCTTGGCCACAGTGGTCAAGACAGCATGGGCAATCGTTGTTGGAGAATTGTTTACTTCAACAACAAACTGCTTGGGTGTCGACTACCCCGAATTGAGGGATATCATCTTCGCACAAGCTGTCAACACTCGAGGATTAGGATTTATGTGTGAAGACAGGATGGTCAGAGCATCCTTAAACGTAATACCAGTCCGAGTTCGCTTCTCCCAGACGACGCCTTCTTTGGATCTCCTACATCAAGTCCAGCAGCAACACGTCGATGCCGTGTTCGCGAAAAATATGGGCTTTGCTGAAATTCGCAAGAACTGCACTCCGTGGTCTTCAGACACAGTGCTCACGAGCTACATTCGTTATCACAGCTTCTCAGCCACACCCGCCTGCTCTCTAGGCGGGGTTCCCATGCAAACAAGAATCGATGCACCCAATGATCTACTCTTTGAAATCCCCGATATTGTGGTGAATAAGGTCGAAGATGGGCTTTTGTTCGCATGGACTTTGTGACCCAAATCTATCTATCTACAGAAGAATGCGGATTTGATGGTCGATCGACTTTGTCACAATATGCAGGCACTTTGCAGAGAAAACTGACGTCTCTCTCAGACTTAACCTCAAAAGACTTTCAAGTTTCTGAATATTGTCGTCTTTTGTGTTTCTCTGCAGTATCCTGACTTCGTGGATTCTCACCGCCCTGTGGTTTTTGAGTCCGAATCCCATCAATGTCTACAGGTAATAAATAGCAAATCATTTCATTCCCCGTCATCTGAAAGGGAATAGTGCGTTACGCCGGGTTATTGATAGAACCCATATGTGCCCATACCTTCGAGCATATTCAGACGCCACATCCCGCCCTTCAGATTCATCAACTAAACTCCGAGGGTTGCAGGTAAAATCATTCCACCTCGGACTATATCAAAATGGCAAGCATTCAACACCCCCAGTCAGCGACTACGGTCTTTCTAGATCAGCCACCCAGTTGCCTGGAGTTCTGCCCTGAGGCCCCAGACCATTTCATCGTGGGCACCTACCTTCTGTCAGAGAACAAAACAGAAGATGGAGAAATCGAGCAGTCCAAAACTGGGAGTCTACAGCTATGGAAATTAGACCCTGTTAGCAAAGAATTGTAAGCCAATCACAATAATATTACTCAGCCCATGAGCGAGTATAACACACTCATAAGTCACTAACAGCCCTTAGATCTCAAATCCAAAGAATTGCCGTCCCATACGCTGTCTTTGACCTACACTTCCACCCAAGACACAAGAACCTATTTGCAATTGCAACCAGCGTGGGATCAGTGGCTCTATTCCAAGTGTCCAACAACTCTACTGGGGATGCATCTGCATCCCCAAGCATCACCGAATTATGGACAAAGCAAGTACACGAAGACCCATCGATCCCAGCACTATTCCTCGCCTGGGCACCACAAAACTGGTTCCCCCAGTCAGCAGCAGATGGCTTCGCCGTCACATTCTCAGATAGCCGGACAGCCGTCTTCGGGACAGAGAACGATATCCGCCAAGAAGATAGTGTGACAGAATGGGGCACATATGAAGCCAAACAGATGATCGAAGTCTGGTTCGTTGCATTGTCAACAAGACCGGGAACCCCAGATTCCGAGACCCCAAACCCATCTGCGATCCCGTTCATGTTCACGGGTAATGACTTTGGCTCGCTACACACCCGCCGATTCGATAATTCCACTGATTTGGATGATCCAGACGAGCATATCTCGCCTATGCTACTCGAGCATGATGATCGAGCTCGCCACCACACCGCCGGTGTCACTGCTATCTTGCCTCTTGATGTTCCCGTGGTCGATGATGCCCCGGTTCTTCTGACGGGAAGTTATGACGAGAGTCTTCGTGTGTACCATGCTACACGGAGGGGAGAGGTTCTCGCCGAGGAAGGTCTTGATGGTGGAGTTTGGCGACTGCAGTTACTAGATACGAGGAATATTGCCGACTCGGATGACCCGTCGAATGTATCTGAATACCGATTTTTGGTGCTGGCGAGCTGTATGCATGCCGGGACGAGGCTTGTACGGGTTACTTGCAAGCACGAAGATGGGGTTCCGAATTGGGGGATTGAGGTTCTGGCGAAGTTCACCGAGCATGAGAGTATGAATTATGCTAGTGGCGTGTGGGAGGGTGGACAGGAAACGATTCAGTCTTCTGAGGTTTTGTGTGTCTCGAGCAGTTTCTATGATAGGAGGCTCTGTGTCTGGACCGTTGATCTATAGTCGAATAAAAAAGCCATGGCAATATGCAAGTCCATCCAGACGCTCGCTGATACCTTACCACATGCAGGTCTCCGGTTGTCTATGTTGACTAGAATGCTACTGGAAATTCGCAAGCCGAAATTATTCTAACATGATTGTGGTCATGAACACGCTAGAGAAAGCACAATGCATAAGCGACAGGTATACAAGTACATCCGCGCCCGAAGACAAGAAAAGAGCCATTCATATCCGAAGAAAGTATATCGTTCCCATTGATCCTTTGAGCGTGTAATTAGACAATAGTCTCCAGCTCGCGAGCATAACCCAAAGCATTCTCAATAACGGTGCCGCTGGCTACCAGGATATCCCTCTCAGACCTAGCAGTCGCCTCGGGCTCAACAGGGAAGTATATCCGGCCGTCTCGGAGGATCCAGCCACGCTCCTTGGCAAATTCGATCACTGCACCCTCAGAGTCGAGGAAGAGGAGGTTCTTGGCATTGGAAATGGGGAGGGAGGGGTATGCTTTCTCTGAGCAGCCTGCGATTTCATTGCGAATAGTGCCGACGAGAACCTATTAAGCTTGTGATTAGTATTCCTGACGACGAAGACATTCATTTCGAGCTGAGCACGCATGCAACTTACATTCGAAAACAGACCAAAGTCTTCCGACGGAACACGCTCGGACTTCGTCTCCCTCCACACCTTGTCGTAGCTTCCCTCCATCAAATTGCGCTCCAGCTCAACGGGGTACTTGATGCATGCATCATCCTCAACACGTCCACCCTTCAAGCTCGCCTCTTCCACCAATCCCTCTAGCACTGTGTGGAAGTTGGCACTGTCGCCCATGCTCAAAAGAAGAAGCAGATAAAGCCCTGTAATCTTGCTACGTTGGCTAGTGCTAAAGTCGACCTCCGAAGAGCTCTGCCCGGGCATACCAGCATGTCTCTCGAGATCGTAGAATGGCTGCAGTTGCTGGTAGTACCGTGTGAATAGCTGCGCGTCGGTCTGGCGGATGGAGGCAAGTGCTCCGAGTTCGAGGACTTGGCGGGCAAGGACGACAAGCTGGGGAGGTGTGGAGGGAGTCGGAATCAAGGCATTTTGCATAAGGAGAGCTCGCTTGGAACGGCTGAGGAGTTCGTTGGCGGCCTCGAACTGTTTGCGCTCGATAGCACCGTGCAGCTCTGACACGAGAGACTGTAGATCGGACATGGTGGAGGTTGTGTGGGTTTAGGACAATTCTTAAATAAAATAAGGCAGCCTAGCCGTAGGAGGACCAAGACAGTAATTGAAATAGCGGAGACGATAGAGAGTTTGGGTTTCAAGTGATGATTGTTGGTGACATTCCGATGCTCATGACGGAGCTGCGGTAGGCGGTCAGCTTGAGATCACGTGTGGGCACTTCTATAATCGCCGGTCTGGATGCTGACCCTTCTACTTCCAACTACCACAAGCCAGGCTATTTAATTTTTGTTTGTTAGTTATTAGTGAACCACAGCGTGTCACTCAGTGTTCATGATAGCTATATATTACTCAAGTTCATACGCCTACCCATCATCTGACAATGTCAATTTCACAAGTGTACGGAATAAGGGCGTGCCTAGCCCTGTCACTGGATCCCACCCTTCGGTGGCATCCCAGCTCGCATCATGTACCTGAATAGTAGCATTTCCAGCAGTCCAGTTACAGCCTGAGGAGCTTCCCAGAACTATATCCGTGAACCCGGTTTGCCCGTGGCTATAAAGCCATGGGTTCAGGAAGCCCATACGAGGCTTACCTTGGGCAAGACGGGCAGAGTTGAGCCGAGACACAATACCCGCAATCACGGGTGCTGAAGCACTGTATGTATACCGTCAGTATGTTCTCTCTGCAAATCTACTGAAGACAAACCTCGATCCGCGGACCGAGACCCACTCGCCATGGTCTCGAACAATGAAACTCGTGGCCTGGGCTGATACATCAGGATATCCTCTTCCCGTAGCATTATACAGCCCATTCCATTGACTTCCAAGATGATGAAGGTAGTCTTTCACTGCCTGGTCCTGGTATTGGGGACGAGGGAACACCTCTGAAAACCCACCTCCAGAGAAGTAAACCGCTCTTTCGGGATTGATGCCGTATGTTCCACCCACCGCGGTAACAAATGGACAAGAAGCTGGATATCCGGGAAGAAATCTGGTTTGGTTCGTCCCGTCATTACTCACACAAGAACGTCCCGGGCCCTCATCTCCGCTACTGAAAAGTATTGAAACTCCCCGGGCAGCGAGTTGGGCAAATAGGTTGCAAGTCGCGTTTACGTACGACGGCGGAAGACTCTGCTCGTCTTCTCCATAGGAGTTGGAAAGCACCGCGGGGAGCTCTTCATCTGGGAGATTCAAGAAGTAATGGAGCTGTTCAAGATATGGCTCATTTGTCGATTCGGTGGGGTCTGGATGATTTATTTCGGGGACAACAGGACCCCGTCCCCCAGTGCTATAAAATGTTGCTAGCACTTCATCCGCCAGCGAAATGGAATACTGTACATCTAGATTTGCTTCCACGCTATCAGACATGGAGTGTTGGTCGTCTTGGCCACCGTTGATCGAGATGACACTGAAGTTTGTACCCGTGTGGCTTTTGACGTAGTGATGCATAAACTCATCGAAATCAGCGTGGCGAGCGTATTGTTCCAGGAAACCAGATATCCCGAGTCGATTCCGCCACTCGGGTTGGGTGGTTGTGTTATCAATTCCATACAGATCCCGAAGGCAGTCTGGCGTGATAGTTGTATTGCATCCAGCGGCTAGTTGCTCGGCAGTCACTGGCTTCTGTTCGAGAGTGGATCTTCTTTGGGGAATGAGATTGCCGAATCGAGTTGTAGGTTGGATCAATTGAATGTAAGGATATAAATCCCTAGGCACAGAGTAACCTAATGTTCGAATAGCGATGGTTTGCTGGGCTTGTTGATGAAAGTAGAAAAACTGTGTCTTCAGCATTTGCTCGGCCTGGGAAATCGGGACAGTGAACGAGATCCAATGGCCATCTAAATTGATAGAACTGGCGGTGACATTTTCTGAATGCAACCATGCCATAATCCGGTCAGAAACAGCAGGAGGTGGGCTCAAGAACTTCTTCACTTCGTCTCTTTTCATATGTTGACCATAGCTGGCGTGGTCAGGGGTCGAAAGCTCGATAACCTTTTGCTCGAACTCTCCGGCGTTACGCTGGGAAATCGCTAATTGGAATTTTATAAGTTTAGAGGCCAACGGTCTATCTCCTCGTGACCAGCCATCCGGGATCTTGTCTAGCTGTTCAACCTCATGGTAGCTGGAATCAACGGCAAACGCCAACCGGATATAGCACAGCACAAGGGCCAGGTTCTGGAGAAGCAAAAATTGAAGTCTCATATTGTCAAGTACTTGCTAAAGTAGCACTATGAATAAACACCACACCGAGGCCATCAGGCGAGATATATCACTTTCTAGACGAGTTGGAGAAATATCGACATTCACGAGGAAACCAAGAATGTCATCTGCTAAGTGATTAGAATCATCCGAGCTAGGTACTAAGTGGACATAGGATTGACACAAGTGCAAATACAACAGTACAACGTTGCACATTAACATGAGAGTCACCGACATCTGCCGTACACCGAGCCTGATCTGTGTAAATCTCGTTATAGGAGCTTCTCAGCTGAGGTGACCTCGTGGGCAGTCTCATTTGGTCAGCTTGTGGCTGTACGACTGAATAAGCTTAGGTTGCAATAGCTCAGCCCAGTGCTTCCGCTGTATTACCCCATGGGAAAATGGAGTTTACATCCTCGGCCCTCAAGGTCCATATCCCTCAGTGGACCAGAAAGTAGATTGTGGGCCTTGATTGTGCCATCCTTAGAGGAGCTTATATCTCTAATCTTCCTCCAAATTTCTAGCTCAAAGGATAAGAACAATGTATGTGGTACAACACGGAAAGACGAAGTAAATAGTTATGGTTTACTAGTTATTCGGTAAGCGAGTGGCCATTGTAAGGGAGTGGCCATCTCCAAAACACATAGTAGATGCGATAAATTACAACGTTAGATATTAACAACGAAGGTCTGTAGGCGTTTTCTCTTGTAGTCTAATGCTTTTTAGATAACAGCTAGCTACTTTGAGTTTAGAGAATTTTTGTAGTAGAGTGATTGATATATATATTTCTACTTTACAACTTCGGGGATGTAACTTTCGATACCATAATAATGATGTAACTTTTAAGGTTTCTTAAAATTGATATATCGTGTTAGCAAGGCTTATCAAAAGCTATCTACAGGTAATGAAATAAAATAAAGACGTGATTGTTGAGATATGATGCTGTAATTTATCGCATTTACTATGTATTTTGGAGATGGCCACTCCCTTACCGAATAGTTACGTTAATTCAAGTCAAGTTGGTGCCTTGTCGCCTGAAAATGCGGATCATTTGATTTCCGACCTCCGTGAAATGCGGGATGATCGACGTCACAATGAAGCTGCAGTCGATTATCGCGTCAATCTGTGAGGTCTGAGACCAATCACTTCAAAAAATAATAATAATCAAAATTTATAACTGGATACTGGGGAATTGACTCCAGTATAGCCTGAGCTTCCGAATATCCGAACTTCCTTTGGAACTCGAGCAAGGAAAGTGATATAAATATTTGAAGGGAAATACGGCGATTTTTCGCTCATATCTGCATAGCTATCTTACAGTGCCAATCATCTGCCGCAAATAAGGACCAGAGCAGAGCTCTATTATTTGCCTTCAGTACCGTGCGGGGTGGCATGATCAAACTGGGGATCGAATCGACGTCATTTCTACATTCCACCTCTCTCGCTCCCTCTTTCATCTCTTTCCATCCTAAACCTTTTACATCATGGCTGAGGCAGGGTTACAACCCCGTCGACTGTCGGCGGATAACCAGACAGTCTCAAAGGCCGATATCCCCTTGAATGAACGCTTCTTCCGCTACTTTCAGCATGAGATCACCGGTATGTCCCCGTTAACCTTGGGCAAACGCCACCTCATTATACCTCAACACAATCACAACGGCCATTACTAATAACGTTACGATTATAGATTTGCAGGAGGAGATGGATCGGCTCGCAGATACATCGCTCGTGGGTGGTGAACGTGCCGATGCAACAGACCACTCCCTTGCCGGGATCGTGCGGTTATCCAATGAGGTCAAGGATGCAGCGAGCTATATCCCCACATATGATCAGAGGGTATACGCAGAGGTATACGCTACTCATACTCTATCTTAATAGAGCAGAGCTGACATCTTTACAGGCGATCAAAGCTTTGCAGGATCGATTGAGCGAGATACGTGCCGCATTCGAGCCCCGATCAAAGTTTAGCTTCAAGACCAAGAAAAACACCTCTGCTATTTCTTTATCAGATGCTGCGGTGTTGGCAGCTGAAGGACGGCTTAGCATCCCTGGTTACCACTCTCTGGGTGCCTCGTCCGTCGGCTCGTCCACGAACCATACACCCAACTACCCTTCCACCCCACTGAATGAGCCGGATAGGCAGCAACAAGAACGACCGGAGCTTGCGCCGACTTCATTCCCAGGTGTCTCGGTCGGAGACTTTGCCACAAAATCCACACCGGAGGAGCCTGCTGGTACGTTTGCGGCCACCGGCGTATCCTCTGTGTCGGTCGATGATCACCATGGACTTCACATTATGCTTCCAGCCTCCGGCTCGACATCCACAGTCCCGGTGTCTATTACCTCACTGGATCGCTGTATCGTTGACATGTCCATTCCCACTGCTAACGGAAAGCCATATACGAGTCTGACTGCCAAGGGGATCAAACAAAGCCTATTGGTCTGCGGTCAAGTTAATGGCCCTGCACACATCACCGGCGTTGAGCGTAGCGTGATGGTGGTATCATGCCGTCAGTTCCGTATGCACAACTGCAGTGACGTTGATGTCTATCTCAGCTGCTCTAGCAACCCCATTATCGAGGACTGTTCCAATATTCGGTTTGGTCGGATCCCGAAGGCCTATGTCAGTGTTCTCCCTGTGGCTACCTTCCCTCTTTGGTTTTGTACTTACATTCTTCTACCTAGGCCTTGAACCATGACCGTCCCGATCACGAAGACCGCTGGAGCCAGGTCGAAGATTTCAAATGGATCAAGCCGGAGCCTAGTCCAAACTGGAGTCTACTGGACCCCAACGATGCCGTTCCAGAAGAGGTCTGGGCAGAGATTGTTCCCGGCGGGCCGGGATGGTCTCTTGAGGATATCTTGCACGCTATCAAAGTATCCTAAAATTAGTTTTCGCCGCTCGATCGATCAATGTCTTGCTTCCTACTTGCATGGACATGTTACTACAGGACGCATCCTTGATATTGGTTCTCATCATGCGCCTATGCGATTGACAACGCTATTTCTACTTCAAATTATCATAACTTTTACTCTTTTTTCTTGACGCCACCATGATCGATTACGGCTTTTGCAATCTTTGAATTTGGGAAGGACTCAAAACTCAGCTTGGCTATTCACGTGTACCCTCGCTATGTACTTGTAGCTACACACAGAAATACAAGAGATTGACGGAGGAGCACAGACTAATTTGCTAGTTCTTTTTTATAACAGCTTTAAAGGCAAATCATGCTCTGAAGCCTAAAACTTCGATTTAAATGTCAATGATGTAGCTGGATGCATCCTTCTAACCGACCTTGCCAAAATTCAGGTGTTCCAAGAAATCATAGGTTATCAGGCATATCATATACATCTGGTAGAAACTCTTAACACTCGACTTGAGATGGCATTGGAATCTTACACTTAAGAGATAATACATACTTCGATGGGTTTGGGGGGTATTATTAGTGTTGTAGCTAGAGGGATGAAGATAATTGGCAAACTACAACTTAAGATATATAATTGTTGTTCATGTATAAGTATGATCGGTAGCATTACTTTTGAGGGATAGTCAGAGTCCCTGTGGTCCAAAGTCTAGGACTTACGTATTCCAAGTTGTGGGCAATTTGGGGTAATTGTTCGCGTGGAAGCCCAGGTCTTCATAAATTGTTTCATCTCCTAAGTTTTTAGGTCAGTCTCAGCCTGATCAATTTAAAAAAACACAGCAACATACCTTCGAGAGCATCAACCCGATGCTCGTTTTCGTCTTCCAGTTTCTCTAATTCCTGACCAGGCTCTTCCTCGTGAGGCTGTTTACCTCCCTCAGAAGATGCAGCCTTGCCAAGGTGATTCTGCGCCTCGCCGATCATGAGGAACTGAGAATTAGGATAGTCCAGGAACTCGGGCTGCAGAGGCACCCATCGAAGATCTCCGAATTTCTCGAGAACCCTAACGAAAACAACGTTAATATGGGAATAATACACACTCTCTGCGGGAGACTACTCACGATGGAGGAAATTCTGGCTCTTTCGGTAATCGACCGACTGGTGGACCGGCGAACTTGGGATTCTTGGACTGAATAATCCAACTCCCGCGTTCTCGCAGACCGAAGTCCTCTTGAAGATCACCCACCTCAGCAGGGATGGTCAAGATATAGGCGAGATGGGATGCCCGCGGTGTAGAGGTGATCGCGTAGACACCTTCTGCGTAAGGTCTAGCTTCCTCGGTATGCCGTTCACCTCGGGTGGCAGTCTGGTATGTGGTACCAGCGATGAACTTCTCATGGAGAGATTGCATAGACTGTCCGGCCTTCTCCACAAATCCCATATCTCGTTCTTTGGGTGAGGTCGGGAACTTCTTTTTCGGGAGCATCATTAAACGACACGAGGCATCTTTGTCGACGGCCCCTTGACCTTGGTTGAATTCCGCCCCAAGAACGGTGGGCCGGAGGACAAAGAAGCTTCGGGCGACGTCGCCGATACTTTGAGGGTCCTCTACATTGACGCGTGGGCGGAAGAAGAAGTAGATGAAACCTTTTTCAAGGATGGTGGAGGATACCACGTTCTCCCTCTCCTCGGACTTGCGAAGGCCTCCCTCAACTCCTTGAGGTTTCTCCGGAGCGATTTCGGCGGTATTCTCCTTTGATGGTTCCTCTTTCTCGACAGGTGGTTCCTCTTTCTCGACAGGTGGTTCCTCTTTCTCGACAGGTGGTTCCTCTTTCTCGACAGGTGATTCCTCTTTCTCGACAGGTGGTTCCTCTTTCTCGACAGGTGGTTCCTCTTTCTCGACAGGTGGTTCCTCTTTCTCGACAGGTGGTTCCTCTTTCTCGACAGGTGGTTCCTCTTTCTCGACAGGTGGTTCCTCTTTCTCGACAGGTGGTTCCTCTGTCTTGGGCACTGGACCGTCTTCCGATGTGCCTGGCGCCTGCTCCGCTTTCTCCTCGTCGGGCTTTATGTCCTCCGTTTTCTCCTTTTTGGGGTGGGGAGCTTCTTCAGTAGGACCTTTCCGCTTTGTTCCCTTAGGAGTCTTACCAGTCGGCTCGGCAGAAGTTGCAATGGCTTCCTTGGCCTTCTGGGCGGCATGTCGTGAGGATGTTCGTGTAGCCATAATGATGGGTTGATTTTGCCCTTGGTCTTTCCTGGATGGTGGTAAGGACCAAGACAGATCCGATCCAGCGAAGCGTTTTCAGCCTGCGATGATATATACATGACGTCATGTTATACTCAACCAAATCCGTCCACATATTCTGCGTGACCTTGACAATGACGGCCGAGAATTACTTGTAAAATAGATCTCGTAAAATAGATCTCAATCGAGATCCATCTCATCGGCCATGGGTGAGTTGTTCCCGGTCTCGTTGCCACTCAGGTCCATTGATTGTGTCTCGGAATCGGAACTTGAGCTTTTATTCGCGCTAGGCTCCCGGAAATCGCCAAACGAGTCCATGATTGAAGTATGCAATTGTGGGGGTTCGCTAACCCTTCGCTTTTTGGGGGGTGCTCATCCACTTGAGGCTGGGTCTCGGCCGATGCGTATCTTTGTTTGAAGGGCGGATTGTACTGCTGTGTAGCGAGAGTGCTGTAGGCTGGCTTTCTCTTCTGTCCTCTCTTTCGCATTGGGCGGATTGCATTGCGATTAGACCCAACTGGTTGATCGTCCATGTCATCGAGGTAGTCTGTCAAGTCACGCTGCCATCGTTCGAACCGATCTGGTAGACACAATCGATCTACCTTTTGCACGCTAGATTCTAACTCATCGTCGGGTTCTTCAATATCATAGGGCTTGATAACTCGAATGTTATCATTACTATCGTCGAACGGATGCGTATCCTGGGTAGGCGTTGAGGGTCCCGAGTCGTCTGTGCTATGCTCAATTTCCCCCAGCTGGGGGTCTGCAGTATCAAAAGAAGTAAACCCGGAGTAATCAAAGGGCTGGTGTGGCTGGTGTGGCTTGGCAGGACTGTCATCCATTGGGAGGTCTTCCATATTTTTATATCAAGCCTTCCAAAGTTGAACCCAAAAAGTGTTCACATCCCAATCCAAGGTATATGTAGTTCCAAGGTAGATAGATGGTCAAGTCCCAAAATACGTAAGCAGGCTTCCGAGGAAGGATGGAGTATGTGATCAAAAAAATATCTATTAAAAGATATAAATACAAGAGAAAGACTAGTAAAAGGGAATGGAACTGGCAAGAAAGATATGGTCGTCATAACATCATGGACTTCCAGATGCTTCCAACGCGGGGGTATATGGAGAACAACATATATCTCCACTCGAAGTTGAAATTTGGATGTATAGTCAAGGAAAAATAGACTAATTCAATTCATATCAGAATATATCAAAATATTTCCATATTGATGATCTAAAACAGTCTACGTTGTACAAAATCAAGGTCGAGACCAGCTATCCCCCTGACCGCTCACCGCCTGGCAGCGATTGGCCGATGTCATTCGCTTCCACAATAGAGTCCACGTTTAGTTTACTGCTACACCAACACAAGCACCAAGTGTTTACCTTTCGCTCTTTTCTTTATTTCCGGTGGATGCGGTGGTCGCCTCTGCCTTATATTGCTCTCTAGTGTGCGGAGCTTGCTACTTTACAGTGCGGCTCCGGCCAAATCTTCAAGATGCAGTCCTCCCCAAACATGCTCACCAAGGTACACCCCCCTCGGGCATCTTAATGCGCCATCAAACAACGGGACTCAATTGAAGATGCTAATAATTCTCTCTCGAGCAGTTTGAGTCGAAATCCTCCAGAGCCAAAGGAATCGCATTCCATCCCAAACGGTCAGTCAATCCCGCGGAGGGACACCTAACACCTCAAAGCACCCAATCTGACCTCAAAACAGGCCATGGATCCTCGTCTCCCTTCACTCCTCTACCATTCAACTGTGGGACTACCGCATGGGAACTCTTATCGACCGATTCGAAGAACACGATGGCCCAGTTCGCGGCGTTGACTTTCACCCAACCCAGCCCCTGTTTGTGTCCGGAGGTGACGATTACAAGATCAAGGTCTGGAACTACCAGACCCGGAGGTGTTTGTTCACATTGAATGGCCACCTGGATTATGTGCGAACAGTTTTCTTCCACCCCGAGCTGCCTTGGATTCTATCTGCGTCCGATGACCAGACCATCAGAATCTGGAACTGGCAAAATCGGTCACTCAGTAAGATGCATTGGAGCCACCTATATTAACATCAACTAATGCTTCAATTGCTTTTAGTCTGTACGATGACCGGTCACAACCATTATGTTATGTGCGCTCAGTTCCACCCCACCGAGGATCTCATTGCCTCGGCCTCGTTGGATCAGTCAGTTCGCATTTGGGACATCTCCGGCCTGCGGAAGAAGCACTCAGCCCCAACCTCGGTTTCGTTCGAAGATCAATTGGCAAGAGCCAATTCAAACCAAGCTGATATGTTTGGAAACACCGATGCAGTCGTTAAGTTTGTGCTGGAAGGTCATGACCGTGGTGTGAACTGGGTGTCATTCCACCCCACACTACCTTTGCTAGTGTCCGCCGGTGACGATCGGTTGGTTAAGCTCTGGCGGATGAGTGATACCAAGGCTTGGGAAGTCGATACTTGCCGCGGCCATTTCCAAAATGCCTCCGCCGCTCTGTTCCACCCACACCAGGACCTCATCCTTTCCGTCGGCGAAGATAAGACGATTCGTGCATGGGATCTTAACAAGCGTACCTCCGTTCAGTCCTTTAAGCGCGATCTTGATCGATTCTGGGTTATCGCTGCTCATCCCGAGATGAACCTGTTCGCCGCAGGCCATGATACTGGTGTTATGGTCTTCAAGCTCGAGCGAGAGCGTCCTGCGTCTGCTATCTACCAGAACCAACTGTTCTACATCACAAAGGATAAGCACGTCAAGTCATATGACTTCGGCAAGAACGTCGAGTCGCCGCCGATGCTTTCGCTGCGCAAGCTGGGTTCCCCATGGGTCCCTCCGCGTACCCTCTCTTACAACCCCGCCGAGCGTGCTATTCTGGTTACCACGCCCGCTGATAATGGAACTTATGAATTGATTCATCTTCCTAGAGATGCCACTGGAGCCGTTGAGCCTACAGATGTTAAGCGTGGACAGGCCACTTCGGCAGTTTTCGTCGCCCGCAACCGCTTCGCTGTCTTCAACCCTTCGAGTCAGCAGGTCGATATCAAGGACCTTAGCAACTCCACAACGAAGACAATCAAGCCACCGGCCGGCACGACCGATATCTACTTTGGTGGTACCGGATGTCTGCTCTTCATCACCCCTACACATGTTACTCTGTTCGACATCCAACAAAAGAAGCAGCTTGCGGAGCTTGCTGTCAGCGGAGTGAAGTATGTGGTGTGGTCTAACGATGGCTTGTACTGCGCTTTGCTCAGCAAACATAATGTCACTATCGTAACCAAGACCCTCGAGCAGGTCAGTACCTTGCACGAGACTATTCGCATCAAGAGTGCTACCTGGGATGACGCCGGTGTCCTGCTCTACTCTACCCTCAACCATGTGAAGTACTCCCTTCTCAACGGCGACAACGGTATTATCCGCACCCTTGATCAGACAGTATACCTCGTGCGTGTCAAGGGACGCAGCGTCTATGCCCTTGACCGCAACGCCCAGCCACGCGTCTTAGAGATTGACCCGACTGAGTACCGTTTCAAGCTCGCCCTCGTGAAGCGGAATTACGACGAAATGCTTCAGATTATCAAGACCTCCAGTTTGGTTGGCCAGAGCATCATTTCTTACCTGCAGAAGAAGGGCTACCCGGAGATTGCTCTGCAATTCGTGCAAGACCCCCAGACCCGCTTCGACCTTGCCCTTGAATGTGGTAACCTCGAGGTTGCCAATGAAATGGCACGGGAACTCGACCGCCCCAACTTTTGGAGCAGACTTGGAGCCGAAGCATTGGCTCACGGTAACCACCAGACCGTCGAAATGACTTACCAAAAGCAGCGCAACTTCGACAAGCTCTCTTTCCTTTACCTCTGTACCGGCGACCAGGAGAAGCTTGCTCGTATGGCTAAGATTGCTGAACACCGTGGCGACTTCACCTCTCGCTTCCAAAACGCTATCTACCGCGGGGACGTTGAGGATCGAATCCAGATGTTCAAGGAAGTGGACTTGTGTAAGTATTCACCCTGGTGGCAATTATTTCCTTAATGCTAATTTCGCTAGACCCGCTCGCTTATCTCACTGCCAAGTCACATGGTCTGATTGAAGAGGCCGAGTCCATTTTGGAGGCTGTTGGTCTCACCGAAGACCAGATCGGCCTGCCTACACTCGAGCACCCTCTGAAGGTTCCCCATCCCATTGTGCCCACTTTCAAGTCAAACTGGCCTGTTAAGGCTGCTGGCCACTCCTCCTTTGAGAAGGCTCTTCTTGGAGAGGTTGGTGCTGCCGATGACGAGGCTGGTGCTGATGGATTCGAGATTGAGGAAGAGGAGCAAGAGGCTGCTCTTGCTCGGGAAACCCTTGATGATGACGAGGAGGAAGTTTCCGGCTGGGATATGGGTGATGATGTCAATGTTGAGGAAGAGGTCGACTTTGTCAACGTGGAAAGTGCCGAAGCTGGCGCAGGAGGTTCTGAGGCCGATTTGTGGGCTCGTAACTCCCCGCTTGCTGCTGATCACGTCGCCGCTGGCTCTTTCGACACTGCGATGCAGCTGTTGAACCGTCAAGTTGGTGCCGTTCAGTTCGCTCCTCTCAAGCCTCGCTTCCTCGAAGTTTACAAGGCAACCAAGACCTATCTCCCGGCGACTGCTGGTCTGCCGCCTTTGGTCAACTATGTGCGCCGGACCGTTGACGAAACTGACTCCCGGAAAATGCTTCCCATCATTCCTCGAGACCTAGAGACTATTGCCAGTGCTGACTTGCAAGAGGGTTATGCCGCTATGCGGTCCAACAGATTGGAGGATGGTGTAGCAATCTTCAAGCGCATTCTTCACACTGTTCTCGTCAACACCGTCTCATCAGAAGCCGATGTGGAGGAGGCAAAGAAGGTCATTGCCACTGCTCGTGAATACATCCTCGCCATGTCGATCGAGCTCGAGCGCCGTACTCTCTCCACCGACTCTCCCGAGGACCTCAAGCGCAGCCTTGAGCTGTCCGCCTACTTCACGATCCCTAAGCTCGAGGTCGCTCACCGACAATTAGCATTGATGGCTGCTATGAAGTTGGCCTTTGCCAACAAGAACTACGGCTCAGCCTTGAGCTTTGCCAACCGGATGCTGGCCAATGGAGGCTCCGCTAAGCTTTTGGAGCAGGTAAGACTTTTCTTTTAATTGGAAGTTCATATTTTGGGATATGCCAATACTAACCATGATAAACAGGCCAAGAAGATCAAAGCTCAATGCGAACGCAACCCTCAAGACCAGATCGATATCGACTTCGACCCCTTCGCCGAGTTCGATATCTGCGCTGCCTCCTTCACTCCTATCTACAGCGGCTCTCCCAGTGTCTCAGACCCCTTCACCGGTGCTAAATACCACCCTCAGTACAAGGGAAGTGTCGACCGGATAGCGGATGTTACGGAGATCGGTGCCCCGGCCAGTGGCCTGCGCCTGTTCGTCCCCAGTCAATTCTAATTGCCGCATGACGAAGCATAACGGTTTTCTGCCTTTTTTTCTCTTCTTCCTGATATGAAGTTACAAAACGGGTACATTTTTCATCTGCACGAGGAGAAGTTGTGTTTGGCGGCGCTTTTCATTTTTTTTTTTCGGCTGGGAGAAAGACAAAACTTCCTGCACACAGTCCCCTTGTCTAGATGTCTTTTTGTATCCAAGATTATAATTGCTTAGCGATCTAGTTTGTATGCGAACATGTTTTGTCCACAAGATCTCTTATAGTCATCACCTGAAGGCAATGCCTCTAGTCGCCTAGTTCATATTACCTGGCCTAGTAAGTAGTGATAAAAGTACAATCTATATTTATTCGCCAAACAATGCATATCTAATGTACAAGGGAGATGTCCGAAACTGAAGAGCAGAGAGAAAACCACTTCAACCAAAACACCGCAAACATACAGCTCAATCACACCGACCATCCTTCCACCCAGTCCGCCACCTCTCCTCCCAAAGTCGACAATCAAACTCCTTCTTCCCAAGCTTCCGATTAACCTCATTATGCGCCTCACACATCCACCATCCAAACTCCTTCCGACTCCCCAGTTTCGGCTGATTCTGCCCACTGGGATGCGCCATCCATGTCTGGAAATCATCCGCACATACCCAGCACGGGTATAGCTTTGAAAAGAACTTCAAGAACCCGCTCATATTAGCTTGGTGTTCTGCGTTTGCCTTTTCGGGGTATGTAGCTGCCATCGAGTGTAATAGTGTCCATGTCGAACGACCTAGCTCTTCGACGTCTGGCGGGCAGTCTGAGGGTCTTTCGCTGAGGGAGGGTGTTGTGGCTGCGGCGAAGGCGGCCGTTGAGGCTGTCATTTTGCCTGTGCTCGAGATAGGGTTTGAGTTTGCGCTTTTGAGGTCGGCTTGCTTGGTCAATGCTCGCCATGAGGCGACGGAGGTGCAGGTGCGGCAGCTGTGAGGTGGATATGTTAGCTTGTTCTGTAGACGCGGCTCAACAAGGAGAACGGTTGAGTCTGGATGCTGCTAGTTGTAGATACGTACGGCTTTCCGTCTTTGTCCAGAACTACGCCTTTGGGCAATGGAGCTTTCGAGTCATCGTTTCCGGCTGGCTTGGAGGAGCTTGCGGAGGTCGCGAGGTTTTGCTGGTTGAATATTGACCTTGTGCCTTTATATTCACTAGTAACTTGCTCCGGTGGAACAGAGGACATGTTTTCCCTTGTAGGTATTTGATTGCCTGGGGATATTGAATATTTGGAGTCGTGAGAGTGATTCGGAGTTGATTTCTAATAGATTGCGGAGAAACAGCGGAGGGGAAAAAGAGGTGATAGTGACCGATATTTAGCGTAGCAGTCTCCAAGGAGACACTCAAAAAGAAGTGAGAAATATCCTCAAGATCAATGAGCTTTGAATATGTCAAAGATCCAGAAGTTGAGCTTTCAGAGCAAGAGTCGCAAATGACATAGTGAAATGTAACGCCGATCAATCTCGATCCTGCTTTGTCATCCATTCCCGCGCGCTCAACGCAGACGCGATCAGGTTCGCAGTTTGACTGCGATACATCAATATTTTTCTTCCATTACTTTGCTCTTTGGTCCTTATATTCCCATATATACTCCGAGCAGCTAGACTATTCATTCATGCAAACTCACTCATACTATTAACATCCTTTCAATCGTCATAGAACGACATCAGCATGCCGCCGAAGTATACAATGTCCGACTCCGAGTCTGAAGCTGAGAGTCAGGTACTCAACGCTCCCTCTGACCAGACTCTTGAGAGGAGTCTTCGCGACCAAGTGGCTGCAATCTTCAAGTCGGGGAACATGGAGGAATTGACTGTGAAGCGTGTACGACTTGCGGTGGAAGCTACATTAGGTCTTTCAGCTGGGTACTTTAAGTCTACAGATGATTGGAAAGCGCGGAGTGAGAATATAATCAAGGACGAGGTGGTGAGTCTTTGAATTTACTGTGCTCCTTCGGCAGCTTCAGCCAGCTTCAGGAAAAGACACTGATTGCGATGCTTTTACAGGAAATACAAGATCAGGCGATACAAAATCCACAATCCTCTCCTCTTCCAAAGCCTAAGCCTACTGCCCCTGCGAAGCGAGCAAAATCCGAGACCGCGCCAAATTCTAGGAAGCGCCAGAAGACTAAGACGCCAGTGCCCGACGAGGAAGTTGAGCTATCAGTCCCGTCGGACGACGAGAGTGACGAGGTCACAAAGCCTAACAGTCGATCCAAAGCACCAGTGAAGGAGTCGCCGATGAAGAAGTCCTCAATGAAGAAGGTCTCCGTGCAGAAACCCAAGAAAGATATGTCAGACGCTTCTGATTTATCCGGTAATGAGAGTGATGACGACGATGTCACAAAACCAAAGAAACGCTCGAAAGCGCCATTGAAGAAGTCGCCAGAGAAGAAGGCATCTGTGCGAAAGGCCCCCACGAAGGAAGCATCAGACGCGTCCGATGTTCCCGATGAACCCAATAGAGATACCAAGGATGATTCCGAAAGCGAGATGTCGGTGGTGCTTGACGAAGAACCTCAGCTTAAGGCTCCCCGCAAGCGACAGAAAACTGCTGGGGGAACTGCAACCAAGACGAAGAAAACTTCCAAAGCCAAGGATGAGGATATTAGCCCGGACCAGGCTGAAATCAAACGACTGCAAGGATGGCTCATCAAATGCGGGATCCGTAAGCTATGGGGTAAAGAGCTGGCGTCTTATGACACCTCCAAGGCCAAAATCAAGCATCTCAAGGGGATGCTGGAGGATGCTGGAATGACTGGCCGGCCATCCCAAGAGAAGGCAAACCAGATCCGCGAAGAACGGGAGCTGAAAGCAGATCTAGAGCAGATCCAGCAAGGCGCAAAGCAATGGGGTGCTAAGAGTGACGAGGAGAATGATGAGGATTCGAAACCTCGGCGTAGGCCGAATCGAGGGCGACAGTCGCTTGCGTTCTTAGAGAGTGAGGGCGAAGAGACCGATTGATGGATAGCATAGGGCTCGGAATGAAAGAGTTCGTCGGACCAGCGGCTGGGATGCCAGGAAATCGGATTATGCGTTCTTGTCACTTTGTATTTCATACTTCATAATGTCCAAATATATGGTAATAAGAGTCGCTATCATCGTCCAGCCTTCGGTCCACTCATGCGTTGAGCAGTCAAGCTAAAGATGGCAACAGAAGATATGAAGAGGACAAGATTGTAGAACTATACCTGTTAGCTTTATTCAATCGACTTGAGTGGTCCAATGACATACAGCCTTCCGCGAGTACTCGTTCTCCTCCGCCTCTGTTCTAGCCTCCACAAACAGGCGTCGCAAGTTAGGGAGATTAGCCTGCAGATGTGTTAGTCTTGGCAATTTGACAGTTCTGGCAGATGTAGAATAAATACCATTATGACAGCGAGAGTGTCTAGATTCGAGGGTAAAATAAAGGAGAGAGTCGATGACCGTAGAGCGGGAGAGTCCAGAAGCCACCATTTGTGGACAACTTTTGATCGTCCGAAACACCCTTTCTCTCCCTCTTCGCCCCCATTCTTCCTCGCAATCTCCCCAACCCAGATTGTTCACATACTTTCTGAGTTTGCGAACAAAGTCACAAACAATCTCAACAGATTCCATTCCCCGATCTCGCGCGACCGCGAAGCTCCCAATCCCCCGCAGTCGCCCAACGCTACTCCATTCCCACTCCCATCCCGATATCTCTAGGCGGAGGCACGACCTAGTCGTTGCTGAAGCTTATACATCCTCGCCATGGCGATGAACAAAATCCGCGGCGCCTTTACGGTGCCTCGGAAAGGAGAGACATTTGAATTGCGAGCTGGACTTGTGTATGCGGCCCCCTCCACCATGCGCTGGTTACCTCGCCATAGCGAATGACGAATGATATTAACTATTATTATAGTTCCCAGTATGCCTACGAACGGTATGTACAGTAGTGAAGCCCTCCATCCGGGCTGGGAGTGTATGACAAAGAGATGGTATGGCTGACGATATAACAGGAAGGAATCCATTCAAAAGACAATTATGGCCATGACCCTAGGAAAGGATGTTTCGGCCCTGTTCCCAGATGTTCTCAAGAACATTGCTACCGCCGATCTTGAGCAGAAGAAATTGGTCTACCTCTATCTCATGTGGGTACCACTGTACAACTGAACTTGGCTACGTATGCTAATCGGTCGAATCTCACTTTCAGGAACTACGCTAAATCGCACCCCGATCTATGTATTCTCGCCGTGAACACCTTCGTACAAGACTCGGAAGATCCTAACCCACTGATTCGTGCGTTGGCAATCCGGACAATGGGTTGTATTCGGGTAGAGAAGATGGTGGACTACATGGAAGAACCGCTGCGCAAGACCCTCCGAGACGAGTCGCCGTATGTCCGCAAGACAGCTGCAATCTGTGTGGCCAAGCTTTTCGATCTGAACCCAACAATGGCCCTTGAGAACGGATTCCTGGAGACGCTCCAGGAGATGATCGGAGACCCCAACCCCATGGTCGTGGCCAATTCGGTGACTGCACTTCAGGAGATTCACCACACGGCACCCGAGACACAGGCTCTACATATTAATGCTAACTCCCTACGGAAGATGCTGATGGCTTTGAATGAGTGCACAGAATGGGGCCGCGTCACTATTCTCTCAACTTTGGCTGAGTATAAGACCTCTGACGTGAAGGAGTCGGAGCACATTTGCGAACGAGTCGCTCCTCAGTTCCAGCATGTTAATTCCGGTGTGGTCCTTGCGGCAGTCAAGGCTGTGTTCTTACATATGAAGAATGTCAGCCCTGAATTGTCGAAGGCCTACCTCAAGAAGATGGCTCCGCCATTGGGTATGCACCCTCGCTGCTCTCAGTACACTTCTTTTTGCTAATTTTATATAGTTACATTGGTTTCGTCAGCCCCCGAAGTGCAATATGTTGCGTTAAGAAATATCGACCTTCTGCTGCAAAAGGAGCCTGACATTCTCAACAAAGAACTCCGTGTTTTCTTCTGCAAATACAATGACCCGCAATATGTCAAGTTCCAGAAACTTGAGATCATGGTCCGCATAGCGAACGACCGCAATGTGGACCAGCTCCTCGCTGAGTTGAAGGAGTATGCCCTTGAAGTCGATATGGACTTTGTCCGCCGAGCTGTCAAGGCAATCGGCCAGGTTGCCATCAAGATTGAGAGCGCCAGCGAGCGATGCGTTAACACACTGTTGGATCTCATCAATACTAAGGTGAACTATGTCGTTCAGGAGGCGATTGTTGTTATCAAGGACATCTTCCGGAAATACCCTGGCTATGAAGGTATCATCCCGACTCTATGCCAGTGCATTGATGAGTTAGATGAGCCCAATGCTAGAGCGGCAATCATCTGGATTGTAGGAGAGTATGCTGAGAAGATCAGCAACGCGGGTGATATCTTGGGTGGCTTTGTGGATGGTTTCAACGAAGAATTCTCTGCGGTTTGTTCTTCCTTCCTGGTATATGCTACGATCTTGACTAACCTCTAGATCTAGACCCAATTGCAAATCCTCACAGCTGTCGTCAAACTCTTCCTCAAGCGTCCCGACAAAGCACAGGGCCTGGTGCAGCGGGTACTCCAGGCCGCGACATCCGAGAACGACAACCCAGATGTCCGTGACCGAGCATATATCTACTGGCGTCTTCTGTCCAACACCAGCGATTCAAACGCGACAAAGAACATCGTTCTCTCGGACAAGCCCCCTATCGTCACCACCATCCACTCACTGCCACCGGCCCTTCTCGACCAACTCCTTTCCGAACTGTCTACTCTTTCTTCCGTCTACCACAAGCCCCCCGAGCAGTTTGTTGGGCACGGCCGGTTCGGTGCAGATGCCGTCATGCGCGCTGCTATCGAGTATGTACTAAATCCCCTGTATTCGTCGACCATATTACTAACCAATCCACAGGGAACAAATCCAGAACGCGCGCGAGAACCCACTGGCTGCGGCTGCTGCCGCTGCCGCTGGTGGCAACACAGCACCTGCGCAGGCGCAAAACAACGTCGAGAACCTGCTGGACATCGATTTCGACGGCGGTGCTCCTGCCTCCGCACAAACCGAGCCTTCCAGCGGCATGTCCGGCCTCGAGGGTCTGGCTGGCACCCCCGTACGGGTAGCGTCCCCTGCAGCTGGTACCCCGACCGCCCAAGCAAGCAACAACCTAGACGATCTCTTGGGTGTGTTCGGAGACTCCGGTGCCGCCCAGCCCTCGTCGAGCGGTGGTGGTAGTGCCGACCTCATGAACGGCTTCTCTGGTCTTGATCTCTCCAGCAATGCGGGTCCTTCTCAAAACAACCAGTCCAAGAAATCCAACGACGACATCTTGTCGCTCTTCTAGAGCAATGACATTGATGGTATAGCCAAGTGTGTCTAGCTGACCATACCGGCTGGTGTTATATTCGGGTGTTTTCGCAAGCGAGAATCTGAACTGACAGAGATAGATTGGTGTTTTTCTTTTACTTGTTTAATTTTGCTTGCATGTCTACCTAAACGGACTTCAAAAGGCCTGTACATTTCTGCCTCGAATGTCAATTTCTTTTATTGTGATGTTTTTGGACTTGGGGCTTGGATTAGGCATATCTTGGCAATGCAGCCAAGCTTTGTAGTGTGGAATTTGATATATATTAAGAGACATACACTCCCTGCCCCGTACAACATGTATATACCACGTAGCCCTATGTCGAGATGGAAATAAACTTCCGCTTTTTCCCGGCCAATGCAACTGGCTCCATAGAAAAAAAAAAACCAAGAAAAATACACCTAGGCATTGACCACACAAAACATAGTTCAAGCTGTATTAACAGAGCAGAGCCTGTTTAAATAGGCAAGGTAATGGATGTAGATGCTAGGGTATCAACAACCCAATTTTCTCTAAGCAAATACTCCAACCAGGTAAAATGCACACTTTATAGCTTACAAGTCTAAATCTTCAAACGGATCCATCAAGGCTGCTTACCAATTATTCAAACCGAAGTTTTCAGTGTGCAAAACCGAGTGGGACTCCGGACGTGGCCCGCTTCCAAGAGATATAAATGGGGCATACCCCCAGGAAAGATGTGTACAGTGAACAATTCTCCAAATTCACAACATGGCTCAAACAGACTACAAATTCGAAGGCTGGATGGGTCTTGACCCCAGTGCCGGCGAGGGCAACATGGTTTGGCAAGAATTCCAGCCGAAAGAGTGGGAGGAGACCGATGTTGATATCAAAGTATCTCACTGCGGCATCTGTGGTTCCGATTTACACACTCTCCGGAGTGGCTGGGTACGTATTTAGTTTGTATCAACGAGATCTCAGCATGGGAAAACTCACTGATATACAACGTTGTATACATCCCCATAAAAAACGGGAAAAAAAAAAACTAACATTCGCCACAGAGACCCACCGCCTACCCCTGCTGCGTAGGCCATGAGATTGTTGGCACAGCCGTGCGCGTGGGCAGCAAGGTCTCCGACATCCAGATCGGCGACCGCGTCGGAGTCGGCGCCCAGAGCGAGTCCTGTCTCGGCCGCCTAGGCGACTGCGAGGAGTGCGCCTCCGGTATGGAGAACTACTGCACCAAGAAGGTCGTCGGCACGTACAACAGCATCCACTACGATGGCAGCAAGTCGTACGGCGGGTATGCGCGGTACAACCGGGTGCCCGGCCACTTTGCCATCAAGATCCCCGATGCTATCCCGTCGGCTGATGCTGCGCCTATGCTGTGCGGCGGCGCTACCCTCTACAGCCCGCTCAAGCACAATGGCTGTGGTCCTGGCAAGCGCGTTGGCATTATTGGCGTTGGAGGTCTGGGTCACTTTGGCTTGCTGTTTGCTAAGGCTATGGGGGCTGATCGGGTTGTTGCTATCTCGCGGAAGATGGCTAAGAAGGAGGATTCGTTGAAGATGGGGGCGGATCTTTATATTGCGACAGATGATGAGACTGACTGGGCCACCGTTCATACTCGGTCTTTGGATTTGATTGTTTCCACTGTCTCGTCTACTAAGATGCCTTTTAATGACTACCTGGGTCTTTTGAAGACCGGTGGATCTTTTGTGCAGGTGGGTCTCCCTGAGGATGGTGGACTGTTTGCTCCTGTTCGGAGCTTGATGCGTCGCATAAATCTCTCCAGCTCCCTTGTTGGTAGCCCCAGTGAGATCCGGGAGATGTTTGAGCTTGTTGCTGAAAAGGGAATCCGCCCTTGGGTGGAGGAAATCCCGATGAAGGATGCGAACAAGGCGATTGTGGATATGGAGGATGGAAAGGCCCGCTACAGATATGTGCTGGTCAACGAGTAGACACCTATAACTAAAAAAATCTAGAATATGATCAAATATAGAGATGTGCCCATGAAGTCTGAAAAATTGAAGATTCAAAATATACACTGTATAGATGTGAGCCAATCAAATTACGCACGTGAGGGCCGTTCTCGGAGGCACTAATCCATTTTGGGACATTCAGATTTCCCCCGCGGTGGGATGAATCATTCTGCCTCTCTTCTTCTCTACTTCGGTTTCAAGCAATTTCTATTGAGTCAATTGACTTTTTAATCATGTCTCCTACACTCTCACAACAATACCTAAGTACTCGCGGTGCTGAGTACAAGGTGAGTCGAAAAAACTATTCATTGCAAACATGTTACTAACAACTCTGTCTCTCTAGAGATCCTTTGAAGATGTTGTTCTTCAGGGCCTAGCCTCGGACGGAGGTCTCTTCATACCCGAGGAAATCCCTAGCCTCCCCAAATCGTGGGAGACGGAATGGCGGGATCTGAGCTTCGAGGATCTGGCGCTCGAAATCATGTCGCTCTATATCTCTACCGACGAGATTCCCCGGGAAGATCTCAAGACCATTATCTATAAGTCATACTCGACTTTTCGTCACCCCGAGCGCACTCCTTCCGTCCCCCTCGAAAAGAACCTCTACTTGCTAGAGCTATTCCACGGCCCGACCTTTGCGTTCAAGGATGTTGCGCTCAGCTTCCTCGGAAATCTGTTCGAGTATTTCCTTGTTCGCAAGAATGCCGGAAAGACTGGCAAGGATAGACACCACCTGACCGTTGTTGGTGCCACTAGCGGTGATACTGGTTCGGCTGCCATCTACGGACTTCGCGGCAAGAAGGACGTCTCGGTATTCATTCTCTTCCCTGATGGCGGCCGAGTCTCGCCCATCCAAGAAAAGCAAATGACAACTATCTTGGACCCTAATGTTCACAACCTCACCGTCGCGGGCTCGTTCGATCACTGCCAGGATATCGTCAAGGCCCTCTTCGCTGATGAAGACCTTAACTCTACCCACAACATCGCCGCGGTCAACAGCATTAATATGGCCAGAATTTTGGCTCAGATTACCTACTACTTCTACTCCTACTTCTCCCTCACCAAAACCGACTCGTTCAACAAGGATTCCAAGGTCCGAGTGGTTGTCCCGTCCGGCAACTTCGGCGATATCCTTGCTGGTTGGTTCGCCAAGCAGATGGGTGTTCCCATCGAGAAACTGGTGATTGCCACCAACGCCAATGACATTCTCGACCGCTTCTTCCGCAGTGGTGGCCACTACACGAAGAAGGCCCTCAACGCAACCTCCGACCACGGCGTTAAGGAAACCCACAGCCCAGCCATGGACATCCTCGTCAGCAGCAACTTCGAGCGCCTCCTCTGGTTCCTTTCCTACCAAACAGCCAATGGGAGCGAAGCCGAGCGCCGCAAGCACGCCTGCGAAAGCGTCAGCGGATGGCTCAACCAGCTCAAGACGGAGGGAGGCTTCCAAGTCCCTAGCGCCGTCCTCGAGGCCGCCAAGGTCGATTTCGAGAGTGAGCGCGTTAGCAACGAGGAGACTATCTCTATGATCCGTGATATCTACAAGACCTCCTTCCCCAAGGGTCTTGGCCCTGGCTCTGCCAAGAGCTCCAAGACCGGTGGTTACATCCTTGACCCTCACACTGCTGTTGGTGTTGCTGCCACCCGCCGCTCTTTGGCACGTAACCCAGATGCTGTCCATATCTCTCTGTCCACTGCCCACCCGGCTAAGTTTGCTAGCGCTGTTGACCTTGCTCTGCGTGCGGAGGATGGTTACGACTTCACCGAGATCTTGCCCCAAGAGTTCATTGGTCTGGAGCAGCGTGAGAGCCGAGTCACCCCCGTCGGCGAGAGTGCTGGCTGGCAGGGTGTTAAGGAGATTGTCAAGGCAGAGCTTGAGCAGGAGCTGCAGGGTTTGCGGTAGATTCTGAACCTGGCAAGATAATAAAACATGTCTTGGGATACACTGAACTGGAGAGGTTTAACGGGAGGAGGGTGGAACCTGTACGCCGAGAAAATCTGCTGTTGTAGTATAGACGTGTTGGAAACGTTTGGTTTTACTATTCTCTCTCTTCTACCTAAATATGTGTCTTTTTTTTGTTGTTGTTACATAGTCAATATCAAGTTCAAATATAGACTATACAAATACATCAAGTGAACATAGCCTAAGGATGGAGCTAGGTAATTAAGACGAATAAATAAGAGGTAAAAATTGTAAATAGACAGAACACTCGTGTTTCCGTTGTAATCGTTGCTTTTGAAACTTCCTAGACTTAGGGCTAAGGTGAGCCGTAGTGAGACAGAACCTCTACTATCGAACAACAGGATCTGGAAATATCAAGCGCTTTAGGGAGCGAAACTATCTTAAGGGTTACAGCTATTTTCCTTGAGAATTTGTGAAAAAAAAAGATAGATTGACTTTTGATTCAATGCAAATGCTATCTCTAGGACAAGTAAAATCTTAAAACATCGAATGAGTCAAAAAATCCAAGCGATAAAGACACTATATATTACTATTAGTATATTGAAAACAGGTCTGACAAAGTAAAAAGAAATCTCGAAATGGCCAAGCAACCGTTTTTCTTTAATCCTCCAGTCTTGTTAGTAAAAAGCAGAAGGAAGAAATTCTAAGCGGAGCGAAGGTCGGACAATCTCAAAAATACTCAAGGTACCATGGGGCCTCTCTAATCCGCACCACTGAAGAGCAGGGTTCTCAGGAACCGAGAGGGATCCAGATCCCAATGAAGAGATGGATCGGCCGTCGATGGTTCTCAACTGATTTACAGGAGAGCCATGAGGGCAACAACACCGGCAAGGAGGCCGACAGCGGGCTTGACGCTGGAGGCGGCACCGGTGAACTCGTTGGAAGAGGGAGAAGCACCGTGCTGCTCGGGTGTGGAGGGGTGCTCCTCGGGGGTGGAGGGGTTGGCAGCGGGCTGAGTCTTCTTGGGGGCAGCGGGCTCGCTGTGGGCAGGCTTGGAGACAGCGGGCTGGGACTGAGCAGGGACGACGGGGTTGGAGGCAGCGGGGACACCGGGCTGGGACTGGGCAGGGACGGCGGGCTTGGTCTCGCCGGGGACAGCGGGCTTGGTCTCAGCGGGGACAGCGGGCTTGGTCTCAGCGGGGACACCGGGCTTGGACTGGGCAGGGACGGCGGGCTTGGTCTCAGCGGGGACACCGGGCTTGGACTCAGCGGGGACGGCGGGCTTGGTCTCGCCAGGAACAGCGGGCTTGGTCTCAGCGGGGACACCGGGCTTAGACTCAGCAGGGACGGCAGGCTTAGTCTCGCCAGGAACAGCGGGCTTGGTCTCAGCAGGAACACCGGGCTTGGACTCAGCAGGGACGGCAGGCTTGGTCTCGCCAGGAACAGCGGGCTTGGTCTCAGCAGGGACACCGGGCTTGGACTCAGCAGGGACGGCAGGCTTGGTCTCGCCAGGAACAGCGGGCTTGGTCTCAGCAGGAACACCGGGCTTGGACTCAGCAGGGACGGCAGGCTTGGTCTCGCCAGGAACAGCGGGCTTGGTCTCAGCAGGAACACCGGGCTTGGACTCAGCAGGGACGGCAGGCTTGGTCTCAGCAGGAACACCGGGCTTGGACTCAGCAGGGACGGCAGGCTTGGTCTCGCCGGGGACAGCGGGCTTGGTCTCAGCAGGGACACCGGGCTTGGACTCAGCAGGGACGGCAGGCTTGGTCTCGCCGGGGACAGCGGGCTTGGTCTCGCCGGGGACAGCAGGCTTGGTCTCGCCGGGGACAACAGGCTTGGTCTCAGCGGGGACAGCGGGCTTGGTCTCGCCGGGGACAACAGGCTTGGTCTCAGCGGGCTTGGTCTCGGCAGGGTGGCTCTCGACGGGCTTGGTCTCGCCGGGGACGACAGGCTTGGTCTCAGCGGGCTTGGTCTCAGCGGGCTTGGTCTCGACGGGCTTGGTCTCGACGGGCTTGGTCGCGACGGGCTGGGTACCGATGGGCTGCGTTCCAATGGGCTGCGTTCCAATGGGCTTGGTCTCAGCGGGCTTGGTCTCAACAGGGTAGCTGTGAGTGGACTTGGAGTGACCGGGCTTCTGGGGAACCACGACCTCTCCGGTGGGCTTCAGAATGGGGGCGGTAGGGCCTGCGGTGGGATGTCCGGTGGCGGGCTCAGTGGCATTGTAGAAGGTCAGAGGCTTCTCGTTCTCGCACATAGTGCAGACGGTAGTCTTGGTGATGGTGATGGTGCTTGTTCCGGTCACGGGAACGGTCCAAGTCTTAGAGCCAGAGGTGATCGTAGACGAGGTGACTAGGTATTGTTAGAATGTATGGTCAAGTGGCACAATTTGGTAGAGATTTTAGGGCTTACCAGGGCAGGTGGTGGTCACGAAGGTGAGCGTCTTGGTGGTACCAGGATTCACGGGGACGTGAGGCTTGGTGGTGTGCTCCCACACCGGGGTGGTGGTATTGTGCACCGGGATAGTGGTGTGCTCAGACACCGGGGCGGTCGAAGTGGTGCAGGGGGTGGTGGTGTTTCCGACCGGGGTGGTGCTATTGTGCACCGGGGTGGTGGTATGCTCAGGCACCGGGGTAGTGCTGTGCTCGTGCACCGGGGTGGTCGAGGTGGTGCACGGGGTGGTGGTAGTATGATCATGCACCGGGTGAGTGGTAGTATGATCATGCACCGGGTGGGTGGTAGTATGATCATGCACCGGGTGGGTGGTAGTATGATCATGCACCGGGTGAGTGGTGGTGTGCTCAGGCACAGGGGTGGCGGTGGTCGAGGTGGTGCACGGGGTGGTCCACGACTCAGCAGACTCGGTGGACTTGCTCCAGGAGTCATGGGTCGAGACGTGCTCGGCCGGCTTGGACCAGCTCTCGCCCCAGCCTTCAGCCTGGCCAGGGGCAGCGACGGCAGCAGAGCTCTGAGCGGCGGGACGAACGAACTCCTCGCCACGAGCCTGCATGATACCGGCAAAGGCCGGGCTGGCAAGAGCCAGAAGAGCAACGGAGTTGATCATTTCGAGAGATCAAAGTCTTATCAAACAGACTTGAGATAACGAGTGAAGGGTTGATAATAAAAAGTCTGGAATCAGGACAGACATGAACGATCTTATATGCCCTTTTCGAAAAGACTGGTTCCAAGTCATGACGGACGTGGGTGCCACGGTCGTGTCCAGGACAGAAAGGTAGACCTGATTCACAATGTGACATAGGAGGCCGAATGCAGGTACTAGGTTAGCTTACTGATTGATGAGAAAGGCACAGAAGTAAGGCCATTGGACAACAATTGGTGCAGTGATCCATTCATCTGGCAACTCAGATGCAAACGTGACAGACTGTAGTATCATTAGGGTAAGTAGTGCAAGGGGTCTCCATCTTCATCCACTAGGGTAACCTAATGCGGAAACAAAAGAATATCTTGGCAATCTTTGTAGTCTCTCCCGAGGTCACAATCCGCAAAAGTAGTAAGCAAATCACTGGAGTGACTGTACATTGGTTCATTTAGATGGAGAAAATCGCTCAATGATTGTTCAAGAATATGTTTATTTTGGAGTATATGGCCAGCAAAAGGACCATCCGGACCAGTGTTAGTAGGGAAGTAGACATGACACCCTTCAGACCTCGATTTGGTCGGTAGTGCGATTGTTGGGTAATCATATTCGAAAGGGACCATACTTGATACGATGAGGCTCCTCTGTTTGAGGACGAAAACCTCACGGAATCGCATGGGCTTGCAGTGAGAAAATAAACAAATCGACCAGAAGCAGCCAGAAATCCCCAAGTGCGATTTGAGGTGTTTTCTTGGCTCTGTGGAATGTGGGAATAACATTCGATTGAGTGTAGGGGCGTTCCATTGGTAGGTGTCAGTTTCGAAAAATGTACGCGTGAATCCGAGGTATTCCCGTAGCAAGAGGATCTCAACATCCTCGCAAGACATCCTTTTTTGAGGGATTAATCCGGATGTGGCTTATCGTAACATTGGCAACTGTAATCAATGACGGGGACATCTCAAGCCAGCACTGCACTAGGCCAACCCCACTGCGCGAAGATGGGACTTTTGCCGCAAAATAACAATGGGGTTTCTGTAGGACATTGACTCAGAGAATCCTTCAACCAATCTGTGCAGCCTGCACGCTCGTTGTTTTGGAACGGCAGGGCAGTCTACATGTCATCCAAGGATCCTGGTGGGCGAGAGGTACAGCGTTGAGGTACAGAGATTTTGGCCGCAAGCGGCAAGGGGATGGACGTAGTACCCCAGCATCTTGCGACTGACTTTGCGACTAGTCAGGGCTCTCCCCAGTAAATGTGAGGAACAGTGTCGAGGCAATCCGTTTTCGTTCATAGATGGCTGTCCCAATTGAGGATAGCACGTGACATAGGGCTTAGGGCGGACGCGTGCACGAGCCATCGCGCGTCACGCGTCGCGCCTTCCTGTTTGGGTTCAATTAAACCCCAGAGAAACTTGGAGCATTTTCAAGGTTGTTTTGCCCATCACCAGACTCGCCCACAATGCCTGATTCCATATCATCTGGCTCTGCGCAAAATGACGATGAGATGCCAGATGCCTCTCCGGTCGTGACCCCGACTGAAACTGGTGTCAAACTCGAGGACATGTTCAACGATGATGACGATGACGAGGAGTTCCCGGCTTCTGGAGATGTAAAAATGGACTCTCCAGCAAAGGAAGAGTGAGTGATAAGCCCTCCTGCAGTCACGTCTGGACTTGACTGCTGACCGAATGCTTGCAGGCCTCCAGCACCCACACCCTCGGGCGTGGACCCAGATGTCATGCTCGCCTTCTACCAACGACTTTTCCCCTTCCGATACCTTTTCCAATGGCTGAATCATGGAATTGTACCAACAAAAGATTTCGGCAACCGAGAATTTGCACTGACACTGCAAAATGACGCCTATCTCCGATACCAATCATATCCGACTGCAGACCTGTAAGACTCATTTCAACTTTTATTGTTGAATCCTCTTGAGCTAAAACTTATGTCCAGGTTCCGCAAAGACATACTTAAAATGAACCCTTCTCGTTTCGAAATCGGACCTGTTTACAGCACCAACCCACGCGATCGCAAAACGCTACGAGGCGGCCAAATGAAGCCTGTCTCCAAGGAATTGGTTTTCGATATAGATTTGACTGATTATGATGACATCCGTACATGTTGTGTTAAAGCGAATATCTGCGCCAAGTGCTGGTCATTTGTGACAATGGCAATCAAGGTCATTGATACCGCACTACGGGAGGACTTTGGATTTGAACACATCCTCTGGGTTTACTCGGGTCGTCGTGGTGCTCACGCCTGGGTATGCGATCCCCGTGCACGCAATCTACCGGATGATCGACGTCGAGCCATTGCTGGTTATCTTGAGATGGTCCGCGGAGGGTCGCAAAGCGGGAAGAAAGTCAACATCAAACGGCCACTACACCCCCATATCGTACGCAGTCTTGAGCTGCTCAAGCACGACTTTGCCCGGACCACGCTCGGCGACCAAGACACATTTGAATCTGCCGAGCAGGCAGAACGCCTTCTGTCCTTGTTGCCCGACAAGACATTGAACGAATCCCTACGGAGGAAGTGGGACTCCTCTCCAGATCGCGCCAGCACCAGTAAATGGGCTGATATCGATTCACTCGCAAAGACTGGTAAGAGCAGCACGCTTAACCCGGCGACGCTCCGAGATGCGAAGCAAGATATTGTCTTGGAATATACCTATCCACGTCTTGATGCCGAGGTTAGCAAGAAGATGATTCATTTGCTTAAGAGTCCTTTTGTTATTCACCCCGGTACTGGCCGTATTTGTGTTCCCATCGATCCTCGCAACGCCGAAAACTTTGATCCCATCACCGTCCCGACGGTAATGGACCTGCTCGCTGAAATTGACGAATATGACGCAAAACACCCTACCGGCACAGCGGAGGCAGATATCCCTGATGTTGAAGCTAGTGCGATGAATGGCTCCGACATGAAGGGTGGTCGTAAGGTGCAGGACTATGAAAAGACCAGCCTGAAACCTTATATCGATTTCTTCCGTTCCTTCGTCGCAGGCCTCATAAAAGAAGAGCGTGCTGGCAAGCGTGAACGCGATGACAGTGGCCCTGCTGTAAAGGCTGATCCTATGGAATTCTAACCGCACCATGTTCATGTTTGTTCCCTTTGCCCACTTTGCCTCATAGAATTATGACTTTATGTTCTGTTAACTACCTCCACCCATTTCATTTTGGACTTATATCAAGGGATTGCGCTTTCGAGGAGTTGGGGTTTATTGTGCATCGAACCGAGTCATTTGTTATCAATCAGCCTGATTCTACATATATTACCTTATTCTCGTTTGAACCTTTTGAATCAAGATGATCGCTCGGATGTGAAAAGTAACCTAGAGCCAGGAGCACGGCCATGTAGTAAGTGAAGTGATTGTATATTGGAAGTATTGGTACAAATAGAGTCACACAAGTAGTTGCTCTGAAGCTAACCATGACATGGAGGCACAAGGGTAATACCTCCGTATCAGGCAAACTTCTCATTAACAAAAGGCATATCCGACAGGATTAAGAAATGAGTCAAAGGTTGAATGGGGTAGTTAATTTAAGCACCAATGAAGTTCTTGACGGCTAGAAGAGAAAGGTATTGTTAGCATGAGTCAAGAAATATTGTATAAAAAGGGAAAACATACTCTCCAACCAGCGCATGTACTCCTTCTGCTCCTTGACGGAGATGTAGTCAGGAACCATGTTAGCGAACTCGGCGTTAAGGCCACGGTCCTCGAGGTAGCGGTCCCAGAGACCCTGGAGGTCCTCATCGAGGTTCTCGAAGGGGGGACCGGCGTAGAGGCTCTGGCGAGCCCAGTCCTTCTCAGCAGTCAGGGACTGAGCGAGCTCAGCCTTGGCGAAGTGGGAGACCTCCTCGATCTGGAAGACACCGTCCTGGACAACGGTCTGGATGAGAAGGGCACCGTTGTTGGGCTTCTCAACAGTGATGGTAACACGGGCAGGGAAGCTGGGCTCGGGGTGCTCAAGGTCCTCCTCGGCGGAGGCCTCGGCATCCTGGCCGCGGGACTGGTTCTGGAAGTCCATCTCGTCGGTCAGGGAGGCGTCGTCAAAGTCCTCCTGTTCGCTGATGTTCTGGATATCGGCGACGGTAAAGCTGACGCGGATGCTGAACAATGATATTTATTAGCATTCATCATCAACATTGAAATAAAAGATATAGTGGAACGGGGTGGTATGAATCGTACTTCTCGGTGCCGAACTTCTTGGTGAGGATAACCTCCTGTTCGCCGGCAACATCCTTCACCTGCCACTCGCCGTGCTTAACAACATCATCAATGGCTTCCTGTTGCTCCTCAAATTCGGGGATCTCGGAAGACTTCTCGTGTCTCAACTCATCCTCGAGCTTGGCGAGAAGGTCGATGTCGACTGTAAAAAAAGAAAATCCAAAATCAGCGCAAGGCCACATACAGAGTCCACCAGATTGGATCGGATCTCGGCGGATTCTTTCAGATATCAGTCAATGCATCTTACCTTCGGATGAAGGAGCCTTAAAGACGCTAGAGGTAGAGAACGCAGCGTAGGTGGGCTTATTGGCCTGCTTCCAGGACTGGAGAGCTGGCTTGGGGAATGCTGGGCGCAGAGCGGAAGTAGTAATGGAGCGCGAGAAAGTGCGCGGGATAGAGCGGGTGATTGTGCGAAGAGAAAGCATTGTGAATGTGGATGGTCTAAAGTTGATGAAGATGAGAGCTTGGGGAAAAAGTAAATGAGCTAAGTTATTACGAGTGCCAAGACCGGCGCTTCTGTTTTGGCCGACATTGCACCACGCAATTCGATTCTATATTAAATGCAATTATAGTCTTCATTGATTTTAATTGAAGACGATAAGGAGTAATTTGGGTTTGAAATACATATCACGACTCGCTCTACTATATGTGCAACGGCTGGAAGGCCTGGCGCATGAGAGAAACTATGTAGATGGACGATACAACCGCGATGAATTGAAATGGTATATTCGAGAAT